CTCTCTTCTCCCCCCTCTCACTCCCTTCTCCCCCCCTTGTCCCTCTCTTCTCCTCCCCCTCCCTTGTCCCTCTCTTCTCCCCTCCCCACTCTCATTCCCCCTCCCTCCCCCGTCACTTCCCCTCCCTGTCAATTTATTTTCCACCCCACCCTGTCACTCTTTTCCCTTCCTTTCAATTCCCACCCTCCTTCAATTTATTCCCCCCACCCTCCCTGTCACTTTATTCCCCTTTTTAATTTATTTCCCCCTCAACCCCCCCCCTTTAAATTTATTCCCTACCCTTTCAATTTATTCCCCACCCTCCCTTTCAATTTATTCCCCTTTCAGTTATTCCCCACCTCCTTGTCCCTGTTGTAGCGTGGCTGAGCCCTGTATGGTCCGCGGGTACAGGGAGCTTTTGTTTCCTGTACCTGGCCGGACCGAAAGGAAGTGCACACTCAGTGTGCACTTCTTGTTAGTCCGGCTGGGTACAGGAGACAGATGCTCCCTGTACCCCGCGGACCATACAGGGCTCGGCCACGCTACAGTGAGGGAGTGACAGGAGGGAGCGCTGAGCGCTTCCCTCCTGTCAGCCCCTTTCCTCAGGCTGTGCTCTCTACAGAGCGCTCGGGCGGCTGCATCATGATGGGGACGGTGCTAACAGGTAGCGCCGGCCCTGCTGCCATATAATTGAAAACAAGAGAAATCTCAATGTATCCATCCTGGTAAAATATTTTATAAATAAAATAAAAATGTCAGGAAAAATCAGATATTTAGCAATATTACAAATTATTGTTTTAATAATTACTTACAATAATTGTTAAAGCAGCCATGTCACTATATATTTTTTTTAAATAGACATGTCCCAAATCCCCCCTTCTTTGACCTTTTTTTGCAAAGTTATTTATAAGGAAAAGTAGGAACTAAGGGTCCTTATGTAGGCTGACAAAAACTGACAAAGGGTGGAACTATAGTCAAGCACCATGGACAACTTTGCCATTGAATGTTTGTGTGCTTACTCACGGTCACCTCCTTCTAACGCTGCTTTAGTATGTCACTGATCCCCATTTATGCAATTGCGAGAATCAACACAGAGGGTATTGTAAGCTGCCGTGCGGGGTATACTTGCTATTTCATTAGTACACCCAGGGTAGGGCAAAGGATTTGATGTCTGGGCACTGCCATGTTAAAGTTTCTAAGATGAAAGAAGATCTGGAGGGATCTGAAAAACATCAGAAAAAGTCAGATACACTGGTCCAGGGTAAAAAAATTTTGGGGGTGGGGTGTAGCCGAAAAATCAATAACATAATAGAACTGATTTAATGAGGGTGGGAGAAATTATTCACAGACAAATTCAAACTCTTATGAACACTCTCACACACAGACACTCTTGGACAGGCTTCTCTATGATCAGTCTGTGTGACGCCCCCTGTGACATCAGACAGAGGAGGGAGGTCAGAGAAGGGAGCTTCCTCTGGGCCTCGATTACATGTAAATTTTAAATTGGGTAGCAAATCCTGTGTCAGGAACAACTTCTTTGTAAGAAAGAAAATATATGTAAAAAAATAAATAAATAAAAAATCTGATTAAAAGGACACTATAGGCAACCGGACCACTTAAGCTAATTGAAGTGGTCTGGGTACAGTGTCCCTGTTGCCCTTAGTGCTGCAATATTAAACATGTTAAACATTGCAGCACTAAGTGTGACTCTAGCGGCTCTCTCCAAGATAGCCACTGGAGGCGCTTCCTGCATCCAAACGGACATCCAGCGTCAGATTTTTCTCCGCAGGAAAGCACTGATTCAATTCTTTCCTATGGGAAGGTCTCCTACATGAGCGGCAGCGCATGATCATTTGTTGCTGGAAAGAGGAGGAGGCAGAGCCACAACCCAGCGCCAAGGGACATTGGTGCTGGTATAAGGTAAGTAAATAAAGGGTTTTCAGCCCTTCGTTTACTGCAGTGGGGGGCACGAGGGAGGAGAGAGGCATAGGGAGCTATAGTGCCAGGAATACAGCTTTGTATTCCTGGCCCCTTTAGTAACCCTTTAACTATATTTTCATGTTATATCACACTATGCATGAATCTAGTCTGGTGTGCATGCAAGCAATGTCTGTTAAACAATTTATAAGGTGATATAGCTATATAAACATGACATAGAACATTTACAAAGAATTTTCCTTTAACAACACTGACACCTATTGGGCTGAATGAGAAAATCATGCATTTAAAAGGATACTACAGGGGCGTGACTGGAAGCCGTGCTGATCGGATGCTGTTGTAAAAGCTCTGCAACACGGGCACCGGATTAAACAGAATACAACGGCAGCACTTACCTACAAATCGCTGTGCTGAGCAATGTCACAGAGAAAGTCCAAGCGCCAACAAGAACACGCTGAAAAACGTAATTTTTTTCACCAAAAATTGCAGCAACACCAAAAATGCAAGATGGCGCTGAGGGGCCCCCAGCCACGAACCAGTCACAAGTGACTGACTCTGTCACAGAAGTAGACCTGCTAACTAGGAGCATTTTCCAGTCCTCCTTGGACGCCCTCTCAGCTAAACTGATATATATGGATACTTTTTGCAGAGACATCCAAAACGAAGGCACAAGAACCTCACACATTGAGGAAAAAATGGGCCATATTTCGGTTGTTCCTTAATGCAGGATAAGACACGTTCATATATACAGGGAGTGCAGAATTATTAGGCAAGTTGTATTTTTGAGGATTAATTTTATTATTGAACAACAACCATGTTCTCAATGAACCCAAAAAACTCATTAATATCAAAGCTGAATATTTTGGAAGTAGTTTTTAGTTTGTTTTTAGTTTTAGCTATGTTAGGGGGATATCTGTGTGTGCAGGTGACTATTACTGTGCATAATTATTAGGCAACTTAACAAAAACAAATATATACCCATTTCAATTATTTATTATTACCAGTGAAACCAATATAATATCTCAACATTCACAAATATACATTTCTGACATTCAAAAACAAAACAAAAACAAATCAGTGACCAATATAGCCACCTTTCTTTGCAAGGACACTCAAAAGCCTGCCATCCATGGATTCTGTCAGTGTTTTGATCTGTTCACCATCAACATTGCGTGCAGCAGCAACCACAGCCTCCCAGACACTGTTCAGAGAGGTGTACTGTTTTCCCTCCTTGTAAATCTCACATTTGATGATGGACCACAGGTTCTCAATGGGGTTCAGATCAGGTGAACAAGGAGGCCATGTCATTAGATTTTCTTCTTTTATACCCTTTCTTGCCAGCCACGCTGTGGAGTACTTGGACGCGTGTGATGGAGCATTGTCCTGCATGAAAATCATGTTTTTCTTGAAGGATGCAGACTTCTTCCTGTACCACTGCTTGAAGAAGGTGTCTTCCAGGAACTGGCAGTAGGACTGGGAGTTGAGCTTGACTCCATCCTCAACCCGAAAAAGGCCCCACAAGCTCATCTTTGATGATACCAGCCCAAACCAGTACTCCACCTCCACCTTGCTGGCGTCTGAGTCGGACTGGAGCTCTCTGCCCTTACCAATCCAGCCACGGGCCCATCCATCTGGCCCATCAAGACTCACTCTCATTTCATCAGTCCATAAAACCTTAGAAAAATCAGTCTTGAGATATTTCTTGGCCCAGTCTTGACGTTTCAGCTTGTGTGTCTTGTTCAGTGGTGGTCGTCTTTCAGCCTTTCTTACCTTGGCCATGTCTCTGAGTATTGCACACCTTGTGCTTTTGGGCACTCCAGTGATGTTGCAGCTCTGAAATATGGCCAAACTGGTGGCAAGTGGCATCTGGCAGCTGCACGCTTGACTTTTCTCAGTTCATGGGCAGTTATTTTGCGCCTTGGTTTTTCCACACGCTTCTTGCGACCCTGTTGACTATTTTGAATGAAACGCTTGATTGTTCGATGATCACGCTTCAGAAGCTTTGCAATTTTAAGAGTGCTGCATCCCTCTGCAAGATATCTCACTATTTTTGACTTTTCTGAGCCTGTCAAGTCCTTCTCTTGACCCATTTTGCCAAAGGAAAGGAAGTTGCCTAATAATTATGCACACCTGATATAGGGTGTTGATGTCATTAGACCACACCCCTTCTCATTGCAGAGATGCACATCACCTAATATGCTTAATTGGTAGTAGGCTTTCGAGCCTATACAGCTTGGAGTAAGACAACATGCATAAAGAGGATGATGTGGTCAAAATACTCATTTGCCTAATAATTCTGCACTCCCTGTATACACTGCTCAAAAAAAGGGAACACTTAAACAACACAATGTAACTCCAACTCAATCACACTTCTGTGAAATCAAACTGTCCACTTAGGAAGCAACACTGAGCGACAATCAATTTCACATGCTGTTGTGGATATTATAGGCAATTAGCAAGACACCCCCAATAAAGGAGTGGTGCTGCAGGTGGTGACCACAGACCACTTCTCAGTTCCTATGCTTCCTGGCTGATGTTTTGGTCACTTTTGAATGCTGGCGGTGCTTTCACTCTAGTGGTAGCATAAGACGGAGTCTACAACCCACACAAGTGGCTCAGGTAGTGCAGCTCATCCAGGATGGCACATCAATGCGAGCTGTGGCAAGAAGGTTTGCTGTGTCTGTCAGCGTAGTGTCCAGAGCATGGAGGCGCTACCAGGAGACAGGCCAGTACATCAGGAGACGTGGAGGAGGCCAACAACCCAGCAGCAGGACCGCTACCTCCACCTTTGTGCAAGGAGGAACAGGAGGAGCACTGCCAGAGCCCTGCAAAATGACCTCCAACAGGCCACAAATGTGCATGTGTCTGCTCAAACGGTCAGAAATAGACTCCATAAGGGTGGTATGAGGGCCTGACTTTCACAGGTGGGGGTTGTGCTTACAGCCCAACACCATGCAGGACGTTTGGCATTTGCCAGAGAACACTAAGATTGGCCACTCGCGCCCTGTGCTCTTGAAAGATGAAAGCAGGTTCACACTGAGCACGTGACAGACGTAACAGAGTCTGGAGACGTCGTGGAGAATGTTCTGCTGCCTGCAACATCCTCCAGCATGACCGGTTTGGCAGTGGGTCAGTAATGGTGTGGGGTGGCATTTCTTTGGGGGGCCGCACAGCCCTCCATGTGCTCGCCAGAGGTAGCCTGACTGCCATTAGGTACCAAGATGAGATCCTCAGACCTCTTGTGATACCAAATGCTGGTGCGGTTGGCCCTGGGTTCCTCCTAATGCAAGACAATGCTAGACCTCATGTGGCTGGAGTGTGTCAGCAGTTCCTGTAAGACTAAGGCATTGATGTTATGGACTGGCTCGCCCATTCCCCAGACCTGAATCCAATTGAGCACATCTGGGACATCATGTCTCGCTCCATCCACCACAGACTGTCCATGAGTTGGCAGATACTTTAGTCCAGGTCTGGGAGGAGATCCCTCAGGAGACCATCCACCACCTCATCAGGAGCATGCACAAGCGTTGTAGGGAGGTCATACAGGCACGTGGAGGCCACACATACTACTGAGCCTCATTTTGACTTGTTTTAAGGACATTACATCAAAGTTGGATCAGCCTGTAGTCTGTTTTTCCACTTTAATTTTGAGTGGGACTCCAAATCCAGACCTCCATGGGTTGAAAAATGTGATTTCCATTTTTAAATTTTTGTGTGATTTTGTTGTCAGTACATTCAACTATGTAAAGAACAAAGTATTTCAGAAGAATATTTAATTCATTCAGATCTAGGATGTGTTATTTTTGTGTTCCCTTTATTATTTTGAGCAGTGTATATATATATATATATATATATATATATATTTAAAAAAAAAAATCTTTGTTATAGCGACATTCTATATCTTTCAATGGTTTGCTGTTGAGTTTGTCAGTATCCTTCATGTGCACAGTAATGATGTATGTAACTACATGTGTGTACCGCTAGAGATGTTGCAAACCGTTCGCGAACTTCCCGCAAACAGCTCGCCCAACGGTTCGCGGCGAGCTCCGGTCAGCTGACACATCCCGGCCAATCTCCAGCAGACCCTCCCTCCCAGACCCTCCCACCTCCTGGACAGCATCCATGTTGAAGGTGGGAGGGTCTGGGAGGGAGGGTCTGCTGGAGATTGGCCGGGATGTGTCAGCTGACCGGAGTTCGCCACGAACGGTTCGTGGCGAACCGCGGCGAGCTGTTCGCGGGAAGTTCGCGAACAGTTCACAACATCTCTATGTACCGCCTGTAATTACATGTGACTTGTGGGTTGTTCTGGTGTGGAGTCAGGATACCCTATTGTCATGCATTCCTATTATGGCTGAAATATTGCATTGAAATACTTTGATATGCGTTGTTACCTATTAACCAGATATAGATATGTATGTCCGGTCAGCCCTACCTAACCTGGGTCTCTCCTGGCCATCATCCATGCCCCCCATGGAAAGTTTTCCAACAATGTGCCCAAACCCATGGGTATAGATGTATATACTTTTTGTTTTTCGTGTTTTCTATGTTACACCTGCCCCTTGGGCTTACCTATCCTGCCCCAACTTTTTATCCTAAAGTACCTGCACCAGCTCAAATACTAACTCAAATGGTTCTTCCAACTGCTTACCATAAGAACAAGATCAGATGGGCTTTTCTGCATAGCCTGCAACCACATATGCATCACAACCATATTACCGGGTTTCTTATGAGGTACAGAACCCCATTGAAAAATCTCTTCACTATTGTATCCTCCAAAACCTGGGTGAATCCCTCAGTCCTTCAACTGAAAGACACATTTGTTATATATTTAGCCTACTTTTCCCATATGATTTATAAAAGTGTACTCACATAATGTACGAGATCTTAAAACACCTAAAAAAAGACTCATGTTACTCAAAGTTACACATCGTGCACAATCAAATATAGTGTTCTTGCAGGAGACACATTTCATTAAAACAAAACTGCCTTCCTTTGGTCTATCACATTACCCTGTCCAACACCACGCTGCTTACATCACTAAAGCGAGAGGGATTTCCAAGCGAGATCTGTGGCTTTCGAACTGCTTCAGAGTTTGCTCGACCCCAAAGGCCACTACTATATCTTAGTTTTCCTACTGAATGACACACTCTATACGCTTGTTAACGTTTATGCGCCAAACTCAGGACAGCGTAGTTTTTTACAACACCTCTTAACTAAGCTTTCCCCAATCCAGAAAGGTGTAACCCTGTTATGTGGAGACTTAAACCACATTCTTGACCCCTTATTAGACTCCTTTGCCCCAATCAGATCTCCCAGGAACAGGAGAATAAAAGTAGCCTGCCAAGCATCAACCAAATTACTGCTCAGTAACAAGCTCTATGATGTATGGAGAACTCTACACCCCTCAGATAAACAATACTCGCATTACTTTGCGGTACACGCCTCTCATTCCAGAATAGACATAGGCCTAGTTCACGGGCCCTCCCTCAATCTCAGACGCCAAAGCGCATATGGAGGCATACTGTGGTCAGACCATGCCCAATTACTCATTACCTTAGCTGACAATTTTAAATTTGGAAGTAGTAACCCCTTGCGTCTGAACGATAATCTATTAAAAGAAGCATAATTTAACTCCATCCTAAGAGACGAACTGTGAGACACACCCCACTCCACAATTTGGCAGGTCCATAAATCAGCAGAAAGAGGCCTACTTATTAGTAAAGGCTTCTACCTGAAAAAACAAGCTCAAAACCATGAGTTTGATCTGCTCAGGAAACTACAGGATACCTCTATGGCACACTTTTTGCAACCCTCAGATGACCTAGCCAATACCATAAAACAAATAACTAAACAAATTGCAGAATTACAAAACCACCCATATGCTACAAAAAATTAAATCCAAACAATATTCCCTAAGCAACAAACCAGGGAGTGTCCTATCGGCTACACTTAGAGATAGACAATCCTCTTCTAAGATTTCCTACATTTTAAATGATTCTGGACAGAAAATAATTAAACCCCAAAACATTTGTAATGAGTTTGCACTCTTCTATCGCAAACTATACAACCTTAAAGGACCACTCTAGGCACCCAGACCACTTCAGCTTAATGAAGTGGTCTGGGTGCCAGGTCCAGCTGGGGTTAACCCATTTTTTCATAAACATAGCAGTTTCAGAGAAACTGCTATGTTTATGAATGGGTTAAGCCTTCCCCCTAATCCTCTAGTGGCTGTCTCATTGACGGCCACTAGAGGCGCTTGCGTGCTTCTCACTGTGATTTTCACAGTGAGAGCACGCAAGCGTCCATAGGAAAGCATTATGAATGCTTTCCTATGTGACCGGCTGAATGCGCGCGCAGCTCTTGCCGCGTGTGCGCATTCAGCCCAGGAGGAGGATCGGAGGAGGAGAGCTCCCCGCCCAGCGCTGGAAAAAGGTAAATTTTACCCCCTTTCCCCCTTTCAGAGCCGGGCGGGAGGGAGACCCTGAGGGTGGAGGCACCGTCAGGGCACTATAGTGCCAGGAAAACGAGTATGTTTTCCTGGCACTATAGTGGTCCTTTAACTCGGATTCCACAATTCACCAACCAACGAAAATGGACATAAATTGCTTTCTAGATAAGATATCCTTGCCCTGACTGTCCCAAGAATAGTACGAATCCATTAACACACCCGTAACAGCATTAGAAATACGTTATAAAACTCCATCCTAGACACAAAGCCCCAGGCCCCGATGGCTTTATGAACTACTACTACAAATGTTTCTCACACACTTTAGCCCCTCAAATGGCAGCTTTCTTCCAAACTGCCCTATCTTTAGAAACTGTCCCCAAGGACCTTCTAGCTGCTAATATAGCAACCCTTCCTAAACCATGGAAGCCCCCATCAAATGACCGAACGTCCTATTTCTTTTTATTTTTTTAAATTCTTTATTTTTCACTCGATAGGCATAGCAAGTGTACATTAACATTTGGGCTTGTGCAGAAGCCAACATAAATATTGTTCTTGGTAACATAATGCAATTCAAGCAATACAATACATGCTAATTATTTAACCCATTGAGACTTGCCTCCCACCAAGAGTTTTTATGACCAAGTGGGATTCATCTGTGGACGACAGGGTACAGACGGAACCCATCAGGCACTTAACCTACTATATACCATTCATAAACAACGCCAGGTAACTGTGATTCTTTCCCTTGACGCCGAGAAGGTGTTTTGACAGCCTTCACTGGGGGTTCCTGCAAGCAGTTTTGCAGAGATACAATTTTCCTCTCGCATTTATGGACGCTTACAAAGTCCTATACAGCTCTCCCACAGCTTGGGTGTTCAATGGAGATTTCCTGTCTGAGCCATTCCCCATTACAAATGGGACCAGGCAGGGATGCCCCTTGTCACCCCTGCTTTACATATTGGCCTTAGAGCTGCTGGCAGTGCTAATCCGCTCAAACCAAGACATAACTGGAAATCATGTAGTAGCTAGACCATCACAGCACATATGTCTCATGAACAGACAACCCTCCTCAAATCAAACTACCCATACGACTGGAGGACTGATTCACTTACCTTTCTGGTAATAGCCCTCCCCAAAGATATCTCCCAATTGTATAGCCTGAACTACTTGACTTTTTTAAAAACAGTGACAGAGCTCCTGGCAGCGTGGCAAGGTAAATTCTTGTCTTGGACAGGCAGAATTGCCACTTTGAAAATGTCTATACTACCCAAACGCCAATATGTTTATCGAACACTTCCACTGAATGTCCCAAATCCTTCTTTACCACACTAGAGAAAGCAGTAGACAAGTTTATCTGGAATGGGAGGCGTCAGAGAGCGGCCGCCCAAATCTTGACAGCTCCACCACATAAAGGTGGGATGGGGATGCCGAATATAAAGCAGTATTATCAAGCATCCATCCTTAGTAATATTATAGTGGCCTTGGCAGGGCCAGAACCCCCACAATTGGTATAAATAGCATAGTACACAGCACACTAACAGTACCCTCACAAACACAAACAGGACCCTAACAAATACACACACAGCACACTACCAGTACCCTCACACACAAACAGCACCCTCACAAGCGCGCGCACACACACACACACAAACAGCACCCTCACAAGCGCCCACACACAAACACCCTCACCCACATAGCACACTACCAGCACCCTCACACACACACACACACATCACACTAACAGCACCCTCACACACAGCAGTGTATGTGTGTATATATATACACAACACCCTCACCCACATAGCACACTACCAGCACCCTCACACACACACACACACATCACACTAACAGCACCCTCACACACAGCAGTGTATGTGTATATATATATACATATACATACATATATATACGCGGCGTGTGCTTGTGCTTTAGGGTGCACACCCTAATGCAATAGGCTGCGCACGCCTCTGATAACACGTAAATGGCTGGCCACCACTAGCCCTTCCCGTAATGAACTAGTTACCAATATCACACAAACTAGCAAACTGGAGAAGTTAGTTAGAAAGGCCCCAATGACCCACCTCTTTTGGCAAATAGCCTGGGACAGGTGGGACTCACACACTAACACACTTAACTAAAAGGGACTTATCCGTATCCTCAATGTATATCATCTTGGGAAATGCATGGAGCAAAGTACTCCTCTCCTAAGTACAGAATGTGCAGAATAACACTGCAGGACCTCGACTACTTCCCCTCCCTTATGACCCGTTGCTACCCCCCACTTTTTTAGAAATTTTATATATCTGTGTTTTCAGTAAGGAAATGCTTGCACCACTTGTTTCCAATACAGATATACATATGATCTTAAGACATAGCTTGTATTTCCTATGTTATCTCCTTCTCTCTGTTTTGGACTCACAATCCTGCGCGACGTGAGGTATGTCAAATTTCTGCCTGAAATATATGAAACTCACATGATGCAACAATAAAATATTATACAAAAAAAAAAAGATACTACAGGTGCAAACACCTTTTTTCTTTTTTAGCATTTGGCCTAAATAAGTCGTTTTTGCATGCTCAGTTTTGTATAGTGTTTGCATGAAAACAGATATTTGGTGCATTCTGCATTTTACCCTGATTTCTCCTTTCCTACCTATTTAATTCTAAAATGCTTTTCCTGGCTAATCATGGCAGCATCACTTATGGGTAGCTCCTCCCTTAGCAGTCACAGGACAGGAATTAATAGATTAATTAATTAGACTGATTAATCCCTCCTCCCCTTACACCTCAGTCTTTTTTCCTGTCCTCAGCAAGTTCTACAGGAATTTTTACATTTTATTTTATGGCCACCTTCCTGCGTTTGTGGTGGGTTCGTTCCAAATGAAGTTGAGCCTCTCTTTATTTGAAGGACCCAGTAAACAGCCTGCATGAGCAGGACTAACTGGGTCGGGTTCAGTGTAAGTGCTGAACTGCAGCGTGGGAGACACTGTTCCTGTTTATTATGGGGTTGGTTATCCTTAAAAATTCCCCTTGTTATTAGCTTGCCCCTAATAATTGGGGTCTAAACCCCCCCCATCCCTTGATGGCGGTTCTTTCGAATCCTGTAGGGAGACCCTGCACAGACCTGTAGTGTTTTACTGTTTGCCTGGATACTATGTGGTTCCCTGAGGTGTCTCCTGGTTTTTTTGTCTGCCCGGGGACGTGGAGGCACGTCCCCGACTTCCTATGGCTTAGTGGGGGTTCAGACATTGTTGGCTGGAACGCAGTATGCGCTCTAGCAGACAGGTTTGTAGTTGTAGCGTGCGTTCCAGCGGTCTGCGCATGCGCGGACCGGACATTCCCCGGCTCTATTTAAACTCTGTGATACAGTTTTTCTTCCTATGCGCTGTATCAGCTGTTCAGGAGATTGTATATCGGTCCTGACTTCTCTGCAGTTTGGCCTTTGCTGTTTTTGCTTGGCTGCCTAGAGGATTTGCCTAGGTAGGATTTCCAGTTCTTCTGTGTTGCTTGTTTGTTTGTTTTTTTCCTTTCTTGTCGGTTTGCTTCTGCCTCTTATTGGGGATTGTGTTTTGAATTTCGGGGACTGTGGGAGGAAGACTGAAGTTCTTCTACCCCGTGTGGGCCAAAAATATTACGGACGTGTGGGTCACATCCATCATAAAGGAGGGTTACAGGATAGAATTTTCCTCTCGCCCAAAATTCGCTTTCTTCAAGAAATCCAGGGTGTCGGTAGGTATCAAACGAAGGGCCATGAGGACCTGCATTTCTACTCTCCTGGAACAGAAACTGGTGGAAGAAGTTCCAAGACAGGAAAGGTTCCTGGGGGTCCTTGGCCCCAAAACCCCAGGGAAAGTGGCATCTCATCTTGAACTTGAAGGGTGTGAACTCCATGCTCGATGTAAGAACATTCAAAATGGAATCTTTACAGACCATCTTGAAGAGCGTCAAAAGAGGAGACTGGATGACCTCCATAGACTTGAGGGACGCCTACTACTAAATCCCTATAAACCAAGATTATATGCAGTTTCTCAGGTTCTGGGCGCTAGGAAGGCACTTTCAGTTCCGGGGACTACCGTTTGGTCTCAGCTTGGCGCCAAGAACGTTCTTGAAAGTTCTTGTCACTTTGATAGCCTTCATAAGGGAGAAAGGTATTGAGATCTTCCATTACTTGGACGACATCCTTATCTTCAGTCCATTTCAAAGGATAGTAGCTCATCATACGTCGGTGGCAATAAACATTCTTCAAGACCACGGTTGGCTTCTGAACGTAGCGAGAAGCTCCCTGATTCCTTCACAAACTATCGTATTCCTCGGAGCAGTGATAAACACCATATCTGCCCATGTGTTCCTGTCTCCGGAAAGGGTCACAAAAATCAGAGACAAAGTAGGGAAGCTGCAAGGTCTCGAGACTGCCTCGGCAAGAGAAGTCATGAGTCTCCTGCGTTCTTTGACATCAACAATAAGGTTAGTAAAATGGGCCCAGTGGAAGTTTCGTCCGGTCCAGAATTGCTTCCTTCTCCAGTTCGAAAGAGTGGGAACAGATTGGGAGCAAAGGATCTCTCTACTCCTGCCCATGAGGAAAGGGTTGAACTGGTGGAAGAACAAGAAGAATTTGTCAGCAGGCTTCCCATTGGAAGAACCTCCTTGGAAGGTTATTACAACAGATGCCAGTTCTTTTGGATGGGGTGCCCACTTCAATTCAACATGGACTCAAGGGAAGTGGACCCGAGAAGAGAGTCAGCTACACTCAAATCTAAGAGAACTGAGAGCTGTTTCCAAGGACATCTTGGTGTTCCTACCAAGGATCTTAAATTCTTGGGTACTGATCAAAACGGACAACCGAGCGGTTGCTTCATATGTGAACAACTAAGGTGGCACAAGAAGCAGATTGCTCTTGAAGGAACTAGCTCCCTTGATGACAATAACCATGACTAATCTCCAGGGTCTGAAGGCGATCTATCTTCCAGGTTCGGAGAACCTGGAATGCAGACTTCCTCAGCAGGAAGGAAATTCTTCCGGGAGAATGGAAACTTCACCTGGCAGTCTTTGCATGAATTGCCCATCGGTGGGGCATGCCCCAGATCGACCTGATGGCGTCCTCCCAGAATCATCAGGTGGAGAATTACTTCTCCCTCCAACCCGGACAGTCAGGCAATGTGCCAGGATTCTCTCTCTCTTCCTTGGTCATTCGATCTTGGGTATGTGTTCCCTCCCCTACCCGTGATACCCAGGTTCCTGCGGAAGGTTTGGTCGGAGGGAAAGAAGGTTATAGCCATAATTCCGATTTGGCTTCGGAGGCCGTGGTTCCCCCTGTTGGCTATGATGAGCCAAGAACAGCCTTGGCCTCTTCCTGTTATGGAAGATCTGCTAACGCATGGCCCAATATTCCATCCTCATCCGGAACGCCTCAAATTGGGGGTATAGGTCTTGAAAAAGAAAGACTTCAACTACAAGGTCTCTCAGAAGCAGTGGTCAATACCCTTTTGCAATCAAGGAAAGCTTCTACTTCCCCATGCTACCATAGGATCTGGGATGTGTTCCGGGAATGGGCTTCGGCCAAAAATGTTGACTTCCTGCATCCTCACAAAACTGAGATCTTGGAGTTCCTGCAAGAGGGTCTGGATAAGGGCCTTAGCCTCAGCACTCTTAAGGTTCAGTCTTCGGCACTTTCAGCTTTGTGCAACATCTCATGGACTTCGGATCCTTTGATCTCCAGGTTCTTCAAGGCAGCTTTCAGGTTGAGACCTCCTTCCAGATCTACTACCCCTCCTTGGGACCTTCCTCTGGTGCTCAGATATCTAACTGAGGATCTATTCGTTCCTCTTGAGAGTTTGGATGCTACCCTCCTGACGTATAAAACTTTGTTTTTGGTGGCAATTACTTCCACAAGAGCACTGCGGAATTAGTTGGCGCTATATAAATACCAATAATAATAATAATAAAGGTGGGAGGGGCAGTCTGCTTCAGGTTACAAGTGGCAGGGGGTTGCACACAGAATCCATATGTCTCCTGTGCAGGCACTGCTACCTGTGCTGAAGACACGGCATCAGTACAGAGCTGCAGAAAGCTATGCAGTCAATGTACAGGCTGATCCCAGCAACAAATCACTAAAAAACAAAATGTGTGTATTAATATGACTATGTGTGTTTATATAAATTTGAGTGTGTATTTATGTACGTGTCTGTATATTAATGTGTGTGTATATAAATGTTATTGCGTGCATTTGTAATTTCCACAGAGGTTGACCCAGCCCACTGAATCCCAATGTGAAAATCAAGTCTGGCGGCAGAAAAGACAGAGTCAAGGTAATAATTATATGTATGTATCTCATTACAATCGAAAAATAACCTTTGTAAATGTTTGATCTCCAGTTTGTGACATAGTCCACATGTTCCCTAGCTCTCCAGTTATTAACCAAATTGTAAATTGAAATCCAAATTAAAAATTTCAGATTAAAATGGCCAAATTGGGACTATAGCTGAGTTGGAGAAATTATTCTAGATTAGCTATTTTAGTTTGTGAAGAATTTCGGAGATCAAAGCATTTTCTACCTTATCATCTTGTTTACAATTCTATCAGGATAGGGTGTGTCTGAAACCAAAACCTGAGTTTCTTCCTAAAGTGGTCTCTCAGTTTCATCTCTCTCAAGAAGTGGTCCTTCCATCGTTCTACCCCAATCCTTCTTCACAAGAGGAGGTTAGATGGCAACGTTTGGATGTCATGAACTGCCTGTCTATGTACCTTAAGTGTTCTGAGTCTTACCGAAAAACTGACCAACTCTTTGTTTTACCGTCGGGAGCCAGGAGAGGTGAGGCGGCTTCTTAATCTACATTAAAACGTTGGATTTCACTGGTAATCAGGAAAGCACATACCTCTCAAGGTCGATCTCCTCCAATGAAGATAAGAACTCATTCTACTAGAGCATTGTCGACTTCATGGGCTAATTGGGCAGAGGTTCCATACAATATTTGCAGGGCAGCCACCTGGTCTTCCCCGATGACGTTCTTGAAACACTACAAACTGAATGTAGACTCTCCTTCCACCTCCTTTGGGAAGAGTGTCCTGTCTACGGTTTCTTTATCCCGTTGATATTAAATAGCCAGGAAAAGAAAATTACGTTAAGCTTGTTATAAATTTTCTCTATTTTGTTGCTAGTCATCCACTTTATCACACTTCCTAAAAAGATTATGAGCAGAAATCAACTGTATTCCCTGGCCATTTAAAGATCTTATTTGCTGCAGCTAGGTTTCTCAATGGGGCATAAGTTCATTGTCCTTTATGCTGGATATAATTCTGTAAGTCTCAAATGAACAACAGACACAGTAGGACTCTCTCCTCTACTGCTCCACTGATTTATCCCCTCTACAGCCTAAGAACACCTTCAATATCATTATAGTCCATCCCTATGAAGATACTACCACCTTTGGTGAGATCCACCCATTTATCAAATATTTTTTTAGTGCACTATTGGACTGCCAACGTGTATGGGATATTAGGACTGTAAATATTTGTAAACAGTATTAGTATATATCATGAACTTGTGCTATGTGTATGATATATGAATTTATGAAGGGATCACCAATTGTCTATAGTAGCCCTTTTCTCCAATGAAATACACTGAAGTAATGATTAATAAATGAATTTTTCCCACATACGTATATTTGAATTTTTTCTTAGTGTGCATAATAAATGCATTGAGTGCGGTATTTATGTTTAAATTGTCAAATTATACTTATATTGCAGGTAAGAAACAAGCAGAAAAATGGAACAAGTGCAGCAAGCATGCTGGTGCAATCAAGTACTAATTAAGTTTCATGACGGATATTTAAAGTTACAGACATTTTGTATGTAATGTCTCATACACAGACAAAGAATCTCTCACCCTATCATTTCTAACTTTGGATGTCCTTCATCAAACTTAATTTTGTGTTTTCACCTCAAACTTACCATTCTGTATTTTTCCTTTGCTTGACAAAGGGTGGAATGTAAAGCAGGCTCCACTTTCATGCTCAATTAATAAATGCAGTGAAGTTAACCTTAAAATCCACCATTTGTCAAAATTGCCACGTGAAGGAAAAATACACAAGTGTTTGTCTTATGTTTTAAAAAGAAACAGATCAAAAACGAAGAATAGATTCTGAAAGACAAAGCAATAAGAGAAAGGTAAGTTTGAAGTGATCGAGCCACTTTAAGTAGCTCTTTGTTACACAAGCATGCTTCTGCACTTGTTCCGTTTATTTTGAGTCTCACATTTTTAACATTGTTTAAGAACCGCAGTGGCAGTAGCTGGAACTTATACAGGACATTCAAACGCCCTTCACTTCAGATCCCTAAAGCACTTTAGCTTGCTGAAAAGCTTTATATGGAAAGTGTTTTTTTTTTTTAAAGAGTCTATATTTCACTAGAAATTGGCACTTTAACCCCTTCAGGACGGAGTCCATAGTACATGTTCTGATCAAAACAAAATGAAAACAAAAACTGGAATTTGCGCTATAGGTCTGTTCACCCGTAATTCACCGCTGTCACATTAAATGCACCCACACTTCTTATATATCATTATTTTCAGGAGAAACAGGGCTTTAATTTATCATTAACTATTCATATATGGAACATAATTTCTTATGAATAAAACTTTTTTTAAAATTGAGAAAATAGGATTTTTTTTTAATTTGTATTTCCGTCTGACATTTTAGCTGTTAATGTCATAATACTGTTAGGTTTTACTGCAAAAAAAAATGCACATATTTGTAATCAGCGATGTCTCACGAGTACAACAGTACCCCCGATTAACAGGTTTTATGGTGTTTTGGAACGTTCCATTTTCAAATTGAAATTTGCCAGATTAGTAAAGTTACCTTTGAGACAGTGTGGTAGCCCAAGATTGAGAAATACCCCCATAATGGCATACCATTTGAAAAAGTAGACAAGCCAAGGTACTGAAAGTGGGGTATGTTTAGTCTTTTTTAGTAGCCACTTAGTCACAAACACTGGCCAAAGTTAGTGTTCATATTTTTTTTGTGTGAAAAAAGCAAAAAACTAATATTTGGCCAGTGTTTGTGACTAAGTGGCTACTAAGAAAGACTGGACTTGCAATACCTCGGGTTGTCTACTTTTGGAAATGGTATGCCATCATGTGGGTAATTCTCATTCTTGGGCTACCAAACGCTCTCAAAGGCAACATAACCAATCTGGCAAATTTCAATGTCAAAAAAATGAAATGCAAGCCTTATATGTGACTCTCTAACTTTCCAAAACACCATAAACCCTGTACATGGGGGGGTACTGTTATTCTCAGGAGACTCCACTAAACACAAATATTAGTGTTTTAACCCCTTAAGGACCGAGGACGGTCCTGGACCGTCATCGGCATTTTTGCGTTGCCGACCGATGACGGTCCTGAACCGTCCTAACGGTCTGAGCTACTTACCTGATCGCCGTCGTTCCCCCGGCGGCGATCAGCGTGGCTCCGGTTGTGGGGAGACTGCCTGCAGCCCAGACAGTCTCCCCGCGGCAGATTAGGACCCCTGTGGCCATGTGATCGCTTAACACAGCGATCACATGGTCACAATAGGTGTCCATAGTGCTGCCTGCAGGGGGACTGCCTGTGCTGACAGGCAGTCTCCCTGCTAGTGTAAAATCAAAAAATAAATTAAAGTTAATGTTAATAAAAAAAATAATAATAATTATATAGGTGTATATATGATATATAGACATATTATATCTATATAATATATGTCTATATATCATATATATATATATATATATATATATATATATATATATATATATATATATATATATATATATATATATGTCATACTAAGTGTATTTTTATATTAATATGTACTTATATTAATATAAAAATACACTTATAATTAAATTACACGTGTGTATGTGTGTGTATATATATATATATATAATAACTATATAGTGTGTGTATATATTATAAAATATAAATAGTAAGTAATTTAAATTAAATAATTTTTTTTTTAAATAATAAAAATTTACAAAAATTATATAGCTATATGAAATTTTATTCTAACTGTATTTTAAAATTAATATATATATATTTATATCAAAATACACTTACAGGGAGTGCAGAATTATTAGGCAAATGAGTATTTTGACCACATCATCCTCTTTATGCATGTTGTCTTACTCTAAGCTGTATAGGCTCGAAAGCCTACTACCAATTAAGCATATTAGGTGATGTGCATCTCTGTAAAGAGAAGGGGTGTGGTCTAATTACATCAACACCCTATATCAGGTGTGCATAATTATTAGGCAACTTCCTTTCCTTTGGCAAAATGGGTCAAAAGAAGGACTTGACAGGCTCAGAAAAGTCAAAAATAGTGAGATATCTTGCAGAGGGATGCAGTACTCTTAAAATTGCAAAGCTTCTGAAGCGTGATCATCGAACAATCAAGCGTTTCATTCAAAATAGTCAACAGGGTCGCAAGAAGCGTGTGGAAAAACCAAGGCGCAAAATAACTGCCCATGAACTGAGAAAAGTCAAGCGTGCAGCTGCCACGATGCCACTTGCCACCAGTTTGGCCATATTTCAGAGCTGCAACATCACTCGAGTGCCCAAAAGCACAAGGTGTGCAATACTCAGAGACATGGCCAAGGTAAGAAAGGCTGAAAGACGACCACCACTGAACAAGACACACAAGCTGAAACGCCAAGACTGGGCCAAGAAATATCTCAAGACTGATTTTTCTAAGGTTTTATGGACTGATGAAATGAGAGTGAGTCTTGATGGGCCAGATGGATGGGCCCGTGGCTGGATTGGTAAAGGGCAGAGAGCTCCAGTCCCACTCAGACGCCAGCAAGGTGGAGGTGGAGTACTGGTTTGGGCTGGTATCATCAAAGATGAGCATGTGGGGCCTTTTCGGGTTGAGGATGGAGTCAAGCTCAACTCCCAGTCCTACTGCCAGTTCCTGGAAGACACCTTCTTCAAGCAGTGGTACAGGAAGAAGTCTGCATCCTTCAAGAAAACATGATTTTCATGCAGGACAATGCTCCATCACACGCGTCCAAGTACTCCACAGCGCGGCTGGCAAGAAAGGGTATAAAAGAAGAAAATCTAATGACATGGCCTCCTTGTTCACCTGATCTGAACCCCATTGAGAACCTGTGGTCCATCATCAAATGTGAGATTTACAAGGAGGAAAACAGTACACCTCTCTGAACAGTGTCTGGGAGGCTGTGGTTGCTGCTGCACGCAATGTTGATGGTGAACAGATCAAAACACTGACAGAATCCATGGATGGCAGGCTTTTGAGTGTCCTTGCAAAGAAAGGTGGCCATATTGGTCACTGATTTGTTTTTGTTTTGTTTTTGAATGTCAGAAATGTATATTTGTGAATGTTGAGATGTTATATTGGTTTCACTGGTAATAATAAATAATTGAAATGGGTATATATTTGTTTTTTGTTAAGTTGCCTAATAATTATGCACAGTAATAGTCACCTGCACACACAGATATCCCCCTAACATAGCTAAAACTAAAAACTACTTCCAAAAATATTCAGCTTTGATATTAATGAGTTTTTTGGGTTCATTGAGAACATGGTTGTTCAATAATAAAATTAATCCTCAAAAATACAACTTGCCTAATAATTCTGCACTCCCTGTAGAATGAATTTGTATATTTATCTATGTATATAAAAATAAATAAAAATAATAAGAAATATACATACGTCCATATACAAAATTACATAAATAATTATATAAATATACACGTAGACTTCAAATATATAAATATGCATATATATTTAAATTCTACGTGCGTATTTATGTAATATTTTTACATAATTCAGTAATTTTATTGATTGCAATTTGAGGGACCTGCCTGCCAACCCAGGCCGAAATTCCAGAGAATTTAATTTGTTAGCACTGTATTTTACCCTGTAACGTTCTACGACACCCTAAAACCTGTACATGGGGGGTACTGTTTTACTCGGGAGACTTCGCTGAACACAAATATTAGTGATTCAAAATAGTAAAACATATCACAGCGATGATATTGTCAGTGAAAGTTACTTTTTTTGCATTTTTCACACACAAACAGCACTTTTACTGATGATATAATTGTTGTGATACGTTTTCCAGTTTTTAAACACTAATATTTGTGTTCAGCGATGTCTCCCGAGTAAAACAGTACCCCCCATGTACAGGTTTTATAGCATTTGTGAAAGTTACAAGGTCAAATATATGGGTCAAATATTTTTACATTGAAAATGGCCAGGTTGGTTACGTTGCCTTTGAGAGCGTATGGTAGCCCAGGAATGAGAATTACCCCCATGATGGCATACCATTTGCAAAAGAAGACAACCCAAGGTATTGCAAATGGGGTATGTCCAGTCTTTTTTAGTAACCACTTGGTCACAAACACTGGCCAAAAACATATTTTTTTTTTTTTTTTAACACTACCCACCAGCAGGGGGACTGATATTTCAGACAGTCCCCCTGCTGGCAGATCCACAGCCAGCTATAGGGAGCCATGTGATCGCTCTTTGCCGGGGTAGGGCTGCCTGGGCTGTCAGGCAGTCCTCCCGAAGAGGATCGCGACGGATGTAAGTAGTTGCAGTCTCCTGGGGCTGAAAGCCGTTACGGTGTTCTATGCCGCTGCAACGGCTTTAAAGCCGGGACATCATAGAACGCCTTAACGGCGTTAATAAATTATGGTTTTCAAGCAGACAACAGCACCTGTTACTTTTTGGTTTGGTTAGCTTAAATGTGCTGAACTCAAAAGGCAGCAATTGTCGAGAGCACCTGCCTTGCAAATATTTCTCATTGATCTGCATTGGGAAGTTTGTGAGTGGAGAGTCATAGAAAGTGTGGGCAGGATTAGAAGGGGAGGACTTGCAAAAGTCCACACAACTCTTTTGTATTACAACATGGCAGCAATATCAGCCTTCCCACTTCCAGGTCTGCCATAGTAGCACTCGCAATACACACTGGAGAGGGTATGTTAACGTTTCTACAACTCTGGAAACCTTAATCAATGAACAGTTCATATTTGCATTATTATTTTCAGTTTTGCTTTGTCATTAACCCTGACCTTAATGTGTCAGATAGGACCCAAATGGGGTGGTATGCCCACTTTTCTTGAAAACACTTTGCACAGGGCTTTTGTCTCAAATAAGTCACTTCTGTGGTAAAAGTACCAAAAAGATATCCTTTGCTACTCAGATGGCAATCTTTCAGCAACCAGATGTGATCTTTCTCACCTTCTTCTGGCTCTGGGCAACTCTGTAAAGTTAATAACATCAGAACCTTTGCTGGGTCTTGGAGGTCACATGGCACCAATATTTGGACCCAGGGTGAAGCTGAAAATACAATGTAGCAGTCCTATGCTGTCCTTCCTACATCTGGATACAGAGTGGACAACACACATCTGGACTGTCTCACTGGATACAAACTCACGACCTGATAGACTTGTGTATGTACGCTTTTGTACGAACTGCTCTTTACTGCATGCTTCCTTAAATGAAGGCTGTTAAAAACTTTAGCACAGTCTATACCGAAGAATTAATATGTGGGAGAAAGCCCTATTTTTAAATAGGTGTTTCTCGCAGTCTAAACATTTGCTGGAAAATATGAATCCACAATGCATAGCTAGAATTTAAAGCTCTTTAAAAAAATTGCTTAAAGGATCAATATAGGGTCAGGAACAGAAAAATGTATTCCTGACCCTATAGTGCCAAAGCCACCATCTTGCCCCCTCCCCCGCGCCTCTCATGCCTCGATAAATATAGCAAAATCTTACTGTATTCAAGCCAGAAGCTGTAGCTCTGAATGCGGTTTGCCTAAACAAATAAAAAAAACAAGCAGTCTGCTGACATCAGAAGTGGTAGCCTGATTCAATCACAATGCTTCCCCAAAGGATTGGCTGAGACTGACAAAGAGGCAGAGCCAGCATGATTCAAACGCAGTCCTGGCCAATCAACAACTCCTCATAGAGATGAACTAAATAAATGAATCTCTATGAGGAAAGTTCAGTGTCTGCAAGCAGAGGGAGGAGACGCTGAATGTTTGGATGCATTTTAGGCCAGTGAAGTTATCAGTAGGCTGTAATGTAAACACTGCATTTTCTCTGAAACGACTGTGTTTACATCAAAAACCCTGAAGGTAATGATTCTACTCACCAGAACAAATTCAATAAGCTGTAGTTGTTCTAGTGCCTATATTGTCCCTTTAAAGAAAAACTAGAGGGTCAGGAACACAAACTTGTATTTCTGACCATATAGCATTAAAATTAACAACTAGCCCACCTGCCTCCTCTCCCCCACCCCTCCATACATAGTAAAATTTTACTTGTACAGACAGTCCTCACTTACCGACCGGGTTCCGTTCCTATGACCCGGTCGTAGAACGAATTGGTCGTTAAGTGAGAAGTTAAGAAGAAGTTAATTCCCGGCTATGCTGCGTTCTATGTTCAGGGAAAAGTCCATGAACATAGACGAATGCACAAGAGAAGGAAATATCCCAGAACGCAGTAGAGCAGGGAATCCCTCTAATTCACACCCCACAAGAGAGCTGGTCGTAAGTGTGAGCCTTTGTAAAACAGGTATGTCGCAAAACGAGGACCACCTGCATTCAAGTCTGCAGCTGCTGCCTCTAATCTGCCTGCTTGGCTGATATCAGAAGTGATTTTATGAGCCAATAACAATGCTTTTCCATTGAATTGGCTGAGACTGTCAAGGAAGGAGATCAGGGGCAGAGGCAGAGCAAGCCAAACAGCCTCACAGAAATGAATTGAATTAATGCATCTCTATGGAGAAAGTTCAGTGTCTGCATGCAGAGGCTGGAGACACTGAATAGCAGCGCTGCCCCAGAAAGCATCTCCAGCAGCCATCTGAGGAGTGGCCAGTGGAGGTATCCCTAGGCTGTAATGTAAACACTGCATTTTCTCTGAAAAGACAATGTTTCCAGCAAAAAAAAAAAAAAAAGAAGATTCTGCTCACCAGAACAAATACAATAAGCTGTAGTTGTTCTGGTGACTCGTGTCCCTTTAAGTTATGAACTTAAGCAAGAGCAGAAGAGACTTTCTACAGGCCAACTATTCTGCTCTCTCAAGCATAGCAACCACAGTGCTGCTAGTGAGCATAGGAAAGGAGTGAGCAATCCAGTGCTTGACAGATTTCTTTAAATCAGACAGTTGAAGCAGCCTAAAGTTTTAAAAGGTTATATTTTACACCAATATTAGCTTTGTTACAATACTGATTTCATTAAATGTATTGCAACTCCATTTCAATTATTTATACAGTGTTTATAAGTAATCAAAACCTTTCCTAAATGTATAACAACAAAATAGGAATCTGCTGGGTGCTGGTCACATCCTCCATAAGAGCAGGAAGATCTTTGCAAAGACCTATGCCCAGTAGTGCAGGATTTAGCTCAAGAAAGCCAGACATTTTCAGCAGGAAAAGTTCCTGGCGTACCCCAGGTAAACTAATGGCAACTTCAAGGCTTTTGTAAACACACTACACTCTAGGAGTGAGATTTCTTTTTATTATTATTATTATCAATAAGTCAATCTGCACAGTTTTCACTCACATGCCATTGCATTTATACAAACTGAACTTACTTCTTTAACACAAACATACATTCAACATAAAAAAAAAAGCCTCAAAAATCAAGATCCAGAATGGTTTTATTTTCAAATGGTAATATTTAAATCCTTGATGGGTAAAGCATCTGTAAAATATAAGAAAAAAAAAAAAAAAGGTTTAGTAAAAGCCACACAATTTCAGTGTACGGTGTATCAATAACATTAAGTGTATTATACAATCCTAACGTTTCCCCATTCATGCAGAATCTATTGCATGAAAACACCCTAGAGATGCCCTTCGGACCAAAAAAACAAACAAAAAAAAAGCACTGCCCTGATCACCATGCAAGCCCTCTTATGAAATTCACATAAATACTGAAGGTTGACATAGGACATAATGAATACCAAATACATCAAGAAGAAGAAGAAAAAGAAAAAAAAAAAACGTTTTATGGAGCAGCCTGCTAGCACGTGATGATGGGGCTAGCAGGCTGTGAATCAAGTTTCCTTCCCGCTCAGAATTAAAAACTTGTCAGCTAATGCACTCAGCCTGTTAAATGCCAACAAAGTTTATATTGCTAATGTGGAAATGGAAGGTCAGCATGAGCAACACAAAAAGTGCTATACAATGGGTATTACAGGACCACCTCTCGCTTTAGAAAAAAAAAAAAAAAAAATTCACTTGAAAGCATTTTAACATGGAACCAGTGGAGGAGACTCACACCATAAGCACAATGCACACAGTGGTCATAATGCTTAGACTGCACCTTTAAATTTCAATCTGATTTGAAAAATGTATATGCCCATAATAAATGGGGAAAATGAGCACTAACCAGAAACCAAAAGCTAGAATTGGCAGGAACTCAAAAAGAATTTAAAAATATTAGACCAAAAGCGCCAACCTGGAAGCTTTGAGATTTCTGCAAAGTTAGCTATTTTGGACTTTTATTTGAAAATTCACTTTACGTAAACAACCCTGTTTGACATTTACACTGTTAGAAAATATGCTATCCAGCAATAAGCATGGTTCGAATACAACTGGTATAACAAGGATAATTTAAAAGGCACACACTGCACTGTAAAGTCTAAAATAAGCTTTAGACAGCTACGATAGGCCAACAATGGTGGGACTGCACTCTAAGCCATTTACAGCCATAATTAGTACCACAGGTTTTGACAGAACATTTTCACAATGGCAGTACAGTTGTACACAAGGCTCAAAATTTCTACATGGTGCAGACCATTGGCAAATGGAAATTTAGCTCTGGCAGTAGAAATTCACCCTATACCTTGCAGTGGCAAAAAAGTTTTATGACTTGTCTAGTAGCATAGAACATCACTTTTTAAGCACAACAATATAAACAAAAAACAGCATAGAACTGAAGCTCATTAAGACTATAAAAAGCACATCAATCTGAAAAACCTGGTTAAACTAAGTGTGTGCAGTAGCCATGATAGACCTATAGGTGCAATGATGACACAAAATGGAGGACAAAGTCATGGTCTGACCAAAGCACATTTCAATGAGAAAATAATTCCAACACTCATTTTTTGTTTTGCCACCATCATCAGCTAATGGACTTTACTAGAAAGTGTTAAATTACTTCATATGTACACTTGGAGAGGGCTGTAATAGTTTTCTTCGTAATGGGACACATCTACATTTAGACATAAATTTGGTATGTTGGTGTGACTTGCTACAATGGTAACAGACAAGACCCAGCTATTTGTATTGTAATTAAAACTATTAAGGGGAGAAAAAAATGACAGTGTTAGATTTGTCTTAAACAAAAAATAATTTCAAGTTTTACTTAAGTCAATTTTTTTTTGATCATATCCCTCAGACTTACCACACGGATTCTATGTCCAATGGCCTTGGCTGGGAGGTTAGAGCGGAACTTGGCACGAACCATCCCGCTGTTACCATGAGATCGGGTCACCTTTCCCCAGATTACACGGGTCCTGTTGGGCTTGCCACCTGGAGTTACTGTGTTGCTTAAAAAAAATAAAAATAAATGTTTAAAATATGGCTTTATGAAAGCATTGAACTTGATTGACAAAGAGCACAGAGTCATATCAAATAGACCAGTGGGCCAAAAACATTACAAAAAAAAAAAAAAGTATGGAAATTGCAGTTAAATATGCGGGGGTACAGCACTAAAGTTTATGGTGGATTCCACGAGACCCTCAATAGATCGAACCAATTTCCTGCATTGGACAGTGGGGACATCTGGTCCATGGTTTGTCTCAGTATAGCTTTTGACTGGGTTGTAATTTCAGTGAAATTGAAGATTTTATTTTTATGAAACAGTCAATTTGCAGGGAGACGGCAACAGTGCCACTTTAAGATGGATCAAACTATCCTTAAAGGGACACTATAGTCACCAGAACGACAGCTTATTGTATTTGTTCTGGTGAGTAGAATCAGTCCATTCAGGCTTTTTGCAGTAAACACCTTTTTCCCCCAGAGAAATTGGATTTTAACACTATAGGGGTCAGAAATTTTGTGTTCCTGGCTCTATAGTGTTACTTTAAAGTAGGCACTGTGTAGGGAAGGTAGTTTGTAGGACTCAACAAAAACCACTCTAAAGCTTCATGTAGTTTTTTTTTTTTTTATTCTTTATTTTTGGCATGACAGTGTGATACAATGATGAAGAACCACATGCATTACACGGTGTAGGCACTAATCCGCTTTGGTTGGTAACCAATCCGTAAATCCAGTTTACATCTGATTATACCATCGTTACAGTTCGCGTGATTGTGGTCGTTTTGTAAGAATGTGCTAGTTGGTGTCATTTTTCATACACACATTTTGTGAGAAATTATAAGAGTTATACAATAAAAAGGAAAAAGAAAGGAAAACATACAATAACTGGGTATTATAATTACCGCAAATGTCAAGCTTTGGTTTCAGCTCATAGTAAGCCGTGTTATTAGGCGTGAGACCGTTCTCGTTGCAGGGGGACCTGTTTGATATCGACCTGAGCCCTGTGTGGTTAGGTACTGATATCCTTGGTCCCATTTCTAGCAACGGTGTTGTAGATAAGGTAGGGGTAGGGAAGGAAGGGGGAGGGGAGGAAGGGGTGAGGGCCCCCGTGGCGGAATCCGGAGTTCATGTAGTATTCTTAATTCAAAAAGATGACTACCATTTAGCACTTCACATACAGTAGTGGGCAATGGGAATAACGGTCAAGCAGATAAAACAATTTGAACTACTGCACCTTCCAAAATCTGTAGTTATTTACTGTATTGACTCTACATAACTAAGGCAGTGCTCTTGTTGCTACTCTATGAAAAGAAATGCACCTTGTGCAATTAGTATGGATCTGACACCTCAGTGTGAAGTAAACTGAAACACGATAAGAATGGACAGTAGTATGAAGCACAACATACTGTTTAAGCATGTCACTAGCAGAGTTACATTTAGCATTAAATATTGGGGCTTGACTTCGTAATGAAAACATGCAACGTTTTAGTGTAACAATAGCAGTGAAAATTATTAGGAATTCAAACTGAGCTTCAAATTTAAGGCCACAGTAGCTAAACATTATCATTTTCCTAGTCCATTATGGCCTTAAATTTGAAGTTTAGAGTGAATTCTCGAATATATAAACACAAGATCCAGCGCACTCACCTATCGACTATGTGCGCTGGATCTTGTGTATTTTATAATTTGGCCCCCAGCAGCACCCCCATTTATGCATGTTCAGGTGAGTGCAGCCAACCCCCCTTGTAATACTAAAATATATATTTTTTATTGTTATTCTACCAGATATTATAGACTAAGGCTATACCTACCTGAACGAACTTGTCAACAGGACAGGTTCCGTTTTATTTTTTAAATTAACCATTGCAATGAAGAGAACTCAAACAAAAAACATCTCATAAGATATTACATAAATGCATTTACATGCATACATATGTATATTAAAAAAAAAAAACTATATATATATATATATATATATATATATATATATAAAAACTCACTTTTTTGCTTTGTACACATAGGCGCATCTCTTGCCCAGATAGAAGTCTGTTTCATCACGAGCGTAAACTCCTTCAATTTTCAGGAGAGCTGTGTGTTCTCTCTGATTTCGGAGACCTCTCTTATAGCCAGCAAAGGTGGCTTTGCACCAGAGTCTGAAAGGACAGTGAATGAAGTTACCAAAAGGACATGTTTACAAGTAACCTTTCAAAACCTCCAGAGTGATATGATTTAAGAACATACCTCCCAGACATCTTGGGTTTATATTATCCTGGTGCAGTACTGAAAAAAAAAAAAAAGGAGAGGGGGGAGAATGTTATATTAGCAATACTTGGATTTATCAGTTGACTTTTAAAACAATTTTATTACACTGCGAAAACTGCATATTTACACTAAGTGGTTACTCAATACAAAAACATTTAAAGCTCTCAATAGCTTGTGCTCAAATCTCCTAACCCACCATATCAGCACCTGCAACACTTTTCTAACCTACCACCCACACTATAACAGCAAAAGACCACTGTCACAGGCTGGAATACAACACTGAGCAATAGCGATCAGTTAGAAAAGTGCAACTTATACACAAGAAGAAGGATTTCCAAATGTGAATTGTCAATGCTAGCCTAAATATTTAGGAAGCCAATTGGTTGGCAATGTAAATGCAGTATTCTAGCACAGCATTACAAATGACAGATTATGACATAATGACATTATGAACACAACATAATTAGCCATATACACAACATAATACAGTAACTGGCACTGGGGTTGTGTGTGTATGTGAGAGACACACAATGCACTTTATGAAGATAAATATAGACCAGTAAAATAATGTCAGGTATGTCTGGACATCTCACTACACCTATTATATATCTCATTGATAGCTGATCACAGAGCTGCGATACACACACACACACACACACAGGCTCATGTAAACACCCCGAGCACAGAGACCATGGAAATGACACAGTAATCTATACACACACAGACTAGCTCTGCCTTGAGGTTACATGGGGGACGTGTTGCATGGGGAAGCATGGAGCTTATTCCTGCACAGGAGTCTCTGCATGGAGTGTTACACCAGGCTCTACATGGAGTCTCTACATGGAGTGTTACACCAGGCTCTACATGGAGTCTCTGCATGGAATGTTACGGGTCAGCGTTAGTCACTGTGTTCGCGGTGAGAGGCCGAGTCTCCATGTCAGACACGGCTGGAGAGAACCCCTACCACCCCCGGCAACACAATCCGCCCTGCATCCCGGCCATCCAGCCCCGCACACAGCAACCACCCGCCCCAGGACATACTGCGAGAAGTGCTGCCCCCGGCTCGGTGACTATTACCGGAGCCACGAGAGCCAGACCGGCGATATTTGAATGTATTAAGAGACGCCGTGTACACTCACCCTCACTGGCATCCAAGATGGAGGAAAAGGAAGGGGCGGCGCGCTGCATTCTGGGGAATCATCAGCGTCCATGACGTGAGGTGTCCACGGATATGCCTGAGGAAAATAATGCGCATAATCTATTCTGGCAATCGTGCATTAAAAGCGGTTTCTACATCGACATGGCATTGCGGTGATATTTCTGAGGCGTATGTCTGGACAGTGCAATCAAACCGGCGAATAGTGGCCATTAAAAGACCCGAGGCCCCCGCTGGTCTCCATAGTAACACGATGTAAACAAACATTCCCTCCATGTTGGCAGACAGGCAGGTAACCAGCTCTGTCCTTTGAAGCTAGGCCAGTTTTAGTCACACACATTGTGTATAACAGGGAGATGTCTGGACAGTGTGTTAGTAAATCTGTCACTAATGCTGCCAGTCTGGGATACACTTTACTGTTTGTGGGAGCCTCTTATTCTCTTTGAATAGTAAGGGTGGGCATTGAAAGGGTTAAGGAGAGGGCTAGAGGAGGGGTAAGGCAGGTTTAGGGTGTCAGGGGACACAGGGAGTCTGTTCACTTAATTCCAGATTGCAGTGAATTCTATCATGAATGGCAAAATTGATGTAAAAATAACCAAGCTATATCCATTGTACCGCGCTAAGGAATTTTGTTGGCGCTATATAAATAATAATAATAATAATATTGACAGCTTGGTTACTTGGTTAAGTTGAAGAATTTTCCAAATCAGCCACGTATGCCCGAATTTTGTTGTTTAGAATTCAGTTTGCTACCATTCAGAGTTTAGTTAATAAACCTGACATTGATTTTCACAAACAGGGATATTCAGTCAAGCGAGAATTCAATATTAATTTAAAGTACCTTTAAATATATTAGGCCAATGTAGCTAAACTGGAAGCATATACAACTAGTTTGGCCTTACAATTGAAATTCTCTTGGAATTCACATTGAATCGTAGAATTGTAGACATAGCTGACTTGGACTTATTTTAAAACTTTGAAATTTTTGTTGTTATGAAACAATCATGCAAACCACAAAATTTTTAAAACGGAAAAAAAAAATGATATTAACACATGATATTAGGAACAAGATCTAATTATCAGTAGACTCTGGCACTCCCTTTGAATTTAATATGCAGAAAACACTATCAAAGTGCATGAGGAAATAAAGAAGTGCCCATTGTTTTCTATTTATAAGCTCTGCAGAGACCTGTAATTAGCTGTGATTTTTAGATAAGCTTGGTTCTAGCTTTCTTTTAATAGTGCATGCTATGCATATCCTATTCCATGAAGTTCATCTAAAATACAGAAATTTGCTCTGTGCTCAAGGTAACACCACGTGGGCATCAACAATGTCACTGGTAATCATCAGCCTCAATGTTGAACTAAACAAAACAAAAAAGTTATCAGCACACTATCTCAAAGAGTGTTTTCAACTTGACATTGGCAGATGAGCATACTTTTTAATGATCATTGCAATTGTACCAAAAACCCCTTATTTATTTAAATAGAAGTTAGTGTTTGGAAGTGCGCTGGTAACATTTTTGGTTTTACCAAAGATAGTTTAGTTTATGGGGAAAAAATGAAAACACAAGTAGTGTAATAACTACTTCCATGTGGCTTCAACTAACATGCTGAGTAGCTTTTTCATAGTATCACTGGACTAATACGACTACAATCTCTACTTCAGAGTATCACTTGATACAGGACATGCTTTATCATAGTAGGGTGTGTATATAAGTCATAAAGTGGAAGAAATAATAATCATCTTCTATCATATGTCCAAAATTGTGTGATAGCTTGTGTTTTTTTGACACCATTTCTATCTTTAATATTTGATTGCTGCTTGAAATGGTTGTTTATGTTTGTTAGAATTTAAACTTGTAATCACTTATTTATGGGCATGCATTGATTATGTATACGCGCACCTTTCAAAAACACAAATTTTTTTCATGTGTATAGTAATTACTCTTTTTACAGTCATATTATGATTATATATATAATTAAATTAGTTCTAGGCAGATCCAGCTGCTCGTAGCCCCGAAGATGACTTCATTATCAACAATGGACATACTGCATGTATGCACAGTGCTCGAGGACAGTCTCGACCAACTTTCCATCCTTGGATATATAATGATTCCAGTCTCTTATCATGGCCGCAGAAACGTAAGTAACATTACAAAATAGGCTTTCCCATTTATCAGTTTATATAGGCAGTTTCTTAAAGTAGCAAAGTCATTAAAAAAAATTAATTATTTTTGCGGGTTTTTTATATACATAGAAGAAGTGTTTAACAATGTTGGGAGCAGACTTTATAATACAGTACTGCTACCTCAGCTTGAAATTCTGCAAAAATAAGCAACATATTGCAGGGAAACCACAGGGGAGGCAAGGATGACCACAGAGAGCTGTGGCTAACCTGGCCTGCTGAGAGAATAGAAGATAGTAAAAGTTGGGTCGTATAACTGACAATTGGCATGAAGGTACATTAAAGTGAACCTGTATTGTAAAATTGAACATTCACAAAATCAGCCCCAAATAGATTGAATACATCATATATCACAGAGATACAGTATGTATTTACTCACTATACTTCATTTCAGCACCACCATTTCATCAGCTTTGTGGATATGACTTTTCATGTAATATTCACCATCAGTCTGTTGTCAGCTCCTCCTGCAGTCTTTTTTGTTTTGTCCTTCTTGGGAACACTTACCGAAGCAGGGCAAACCTCCTCAGTGATGTCAGCACGCTAGTCTCGTTGCCAGCATGCCGACAACTGAATGGAGTCACATCAGTCAGTTACTATAATCCCTAGCAGCACTAACAGTGCTGGCTAGGGAGTTTTTCTTACAGCTACAACACATGGGCTGTGGTTGCTTTGCTTGAAATAGCAGGAAGACCTCTTATGAGAGGTCTTTTCTGCTCTCCCTTGTAAGTCACATTGTCTGCATAGATACTCAGATTTGACTAAGAGGTAAGAGGAAAAAAAACAATTTTTAAATAGGGGTTTCTCCTAAATTATACATTTGTATAGACATATACATATATACAATGTATAGACAGAATCAAAAAAAGCATAAGTAAAAGAAGAATGCAGGAATCTTTTAAGGTAGGTAGTCAGAGAGGGGGAGTGGGAATGAAAGTCAAGAAATGTATTAAAGGAACAATCCAAGTACCACTAACCGTAGTGGTTATGATAGTGTCCTGGCATCCCCTAATGTAAGTAGTTATTGGCAGACACCTTTGTGTTTAAATTTGTTTCTCATTTGAATTTTTCTTACTAGCATATTTCTGTTAAAATCTATGGTAGATTATATGTGTCCTAGTTAAGTTTTTCTAATACTTAGGGTTAGTGTGAGAGCCAGAACAACATTCGTTTGTTTTTTGTTTTTTTTTTACAATTGGCTACTTAATCTGTGTGATTGACTGTTAAATATTTAAATAGACACTGTAGGTACTGTAACTGCTTCATTTCATAGTGTCAAAGTGGAATCCCTTCACTCTGTCCTTCGATTCAGTGTTAAACTATTTTGAATGGGTCCCCAGCAGCCTATCCTCTTTTAGAGGAAGGATCAACTTAGGCTGCAATAGGTGACAATGATCATTTGAGAATGTCAGCTGACCGCTTTTAGCGAGATAAAATGGTTATAGTGCCCATTTAATATTTAGAACAGCTTCATGGTTATCTCATTTACCACATACACATATGTGTGTATGCTTTGTGAATTATTATTAAACCTGAGAGCTTTATGGATCCTCAGCATTACTAAGCCCATTCGAGACACAAATACTTATCGACGTATAGGTAGACATGGAAAGCAGAAAGCACCACTCCATAAAAACAAATCATCCTTCAGGTGTGAGGAGGTGGGTGGTTGTAATCCTAACTATAGAGTGGCCCTGTAATGGCATTAGTTTCAAGTTTTAGTTATCTAAAAAATAAATATCTGCTTGTGGTTGACCAAAGTACATAAAGAAAATAAGACCAAAAATAAACAGGAGGACCTGTACAGAAAAGAAACAAAGAAATCTTGGCTCAAGTCTTTATTTGTGCTGTATGTAAAGTGCCACCCTTTCAATGTTACCCCATGAGTTTTCTTGTATTTTAGAGGTACGTATTTTTACACTTTTCATAATTTCATCAACTTTTTTTGCTTGTATTATGTAATTATGTCTTATGTGTCTTATGAGTATTGTTGAGAAGATTGCTGTAGACAGTTAAACTTAATTTCACTCATTATGTCTTTTTTTCTGTTAATCAGGAACTGTCACTGCTTTAGTTTTAGCACAAGCTAATAGTTAACTAAAAGTTAGCTATTAGTTGTACTAAAAAAAAAAAAAAAAATGCAATTCCTTAAAGATTCTATATTCTTTTACATGCCAGGCAAGTATATGTAAATTATGTATCTCTTGCAGTGCCATATGCACAGTACATGCATGCATATGTCATTGCTGAAGGAAATGGCATTTGTGCATGCATATGCTTAGCATTTCTTTATTAAAAGCCTGAAAGTTTGAAGACAGGAAAGTCACTGCAATGCAGGACTGCAGTGAAGGTAAGTACACAAAAAGCAAGTAACCAATAATTTGCAAATGTGCATCCTACCAAATGCATTCAGCCCCAATTTTGTGTAAAAAGAATGTGTTACAAATGTCCGGGTAAGCTGTATTCCTAGCACCATCGCTACCCCTGCCTCCCCCTCCCTCACGCCCCCCCACTCACCTCTCCCGGTAAATAAAGGGTTAAAACCCATTTATTTACTTACCTTAACACAGTGCTTATATCCCTCGGCACTGGGTCAAAGCTTCACTCCTTCTGACGTCCCGCTGGCTCTAATGCACATGCGCGGCAAATGCCGCTCACATTAAACCTCCCCATAGGAAAGCACTAAATCAATGCTTTCCTATGGGGAAAAATCTGACGCTGGAGGTCCTCATGCAGAGCATGAGCATGTCCAGCATCAGATACTGGATCAAAGATCCGCTTCAATTCAGAAAGCCCTCTAGTGGCTGTCTGATAGACAGCCACTGAGGGCAGATTTAGAACTGCAATGTAAACATTGCAGTTTCTCTGAAACTGCAATGTTTAACATTGCAGCACTAAGTGCAAAAGGCACAAAGCACCCAGACCACTTCAATGAGCTAGCTTGCCTCTAGTCATACTGACAGCCACTAGAGCAGAAGTAAGTAAACTGCGAGACTCCAGATGTTGTGGGCTACATCTCCTGCAATGCTTTTACAGCCGTAATGCTGGCAAAGCATCAAATAAGATGTAGTCCAAAACATCTGGATTGCTGTAGTTTACCGACCAATGCACTATACATGCTGTTTTGTAAAATTGTATAATAAAACTGACAGAGACCATCTGATTGTTTTAATGCGCATGCATACTAGCCTCCCAACGCTTTCCTATGGGAAAGCTTTGAATTGTCTAAGATCATTGATTTTAAAGAGGCATAGCTTCACTGAGGAGACCAGCACTGCGAGGGAGACAGGGTAAGTAATTTACCGTTTATAAGCCTAGCAGTGGAGGCCTGGTCACCTAAATGGTAATTAGAGCACTATAGCATTAGGAATACATATTTATATTCCTAACGCTTCCTTAACTGTTTTTACTAGAGTTTTACAAATTTCCCTCTCTCATATTACTCCAGATTGTTATAAATGAAATTGGTAACATTATGAAGGAACAAAGACAGCTTGGGAAAAACTTTGAGGAGCTAATAGGTTCACGCATTGCTGTTCGGTTAACATCACCTTCCTCACCAAGCATGCTGGCGGACTTGACAAACGAGGTTCAGGAAACCAGTGAGAAGCTGAAAATAAGCAATGAACAGTTTACACGGGCTGTGAAACAAGGCCCCTTGACTTCAGATAATCTCAAGAAAATCCAGGCTGAGAATCTGAAGAAGGTACAGGCTGACAGGTAAGACATAACAACAAGGCAAACAGTTTCAAACATCTACTGTATGGAAGCATGCTTTTTTACCTTTCAAGGGACGGGACAATATACCCCCTGCTGCCAGAAATGACAAAAACTTTTGTTTTCAAAACAAAATCATATATGCAGCTTTTACTTAAAGGGTTACAATATGCATACATCTACACAAGGTATGGTAGGGGTGTAAAGGCTTTAGTGACACAGGGTATATTTATAGTTCCAGACTGGTTGAGGTTGAGGGTAGTTACACATCCAGGCTGCAGATCTCATTTTACTGTCTTTCTCATACCCTCTTGAACAGGAGAATCTGGGGAAAGTTACACAATGTCTTTCTTTATTCTCTCTTTAAGTCTGAATGTTTCTTAAAAAGGTTCCAGTTACACAACAGATTTTGTACAATCGAGTTTTCTATAGGATTTTCTTTCTGTTTATTGTTATATTTGCTGCAACTATGTGGCCACAAATAATTGATCATTTTCATTGGATGAGCTCTCATCCCTTCTTACATCTCATACCATCCCAGGGATTTGTATTGACCTAGATGCATCACCACTATATGCATCAATCGTGAGGCTCTATGGTACAGTTCTATGTTGGGGAAATCAATCCCTCCATATTTCTTATTTATAATAATATTATTATAGAATATTTCTTTCTCGTCCATTTGAAACTATAGTTACTATATAACTGTTTTATTTCATACTGATTCATATAGAAGGGCATAGCTATTGTTTTCTTGATGTTTTACTTATAATTTGATATATTACTATATTTCTGTATAACTTACATTACTGTATTAAACAAGAGGTAGGGATTAGACAACAATAGCAATGTATCATCTGCATATTGGCAGATTTTAATTTCTTTTTTACTTAGCTTAAATCCTTGTATATCGAGATTTGTTCTTATATCGATAGCTAATGGTTTTGCTGCCAAAACATAAAGAAGGGGGGATAGAGGACACTCTTGTCGAGTTCCTTTGGCTACTTCAAACCAATCAGAATCTATTCCCCGCCGACCACTCTGCCTGAGGGAAATTAATACATCGCTGAGATGGCTGAATATATTTTCCCTGAGAAAGCAAAAGCGTTTAATACAACTTTCAGAAAATTCCAATTTATCCTGTCAAAGGCTTTTTCTCTGTCAAGTGGTAGTGTTATAAAGGGACTTTTGTTCTTATGTATTCTTTCATATATATTTATAACTTTCCTAATATGATTAGGGGAGGATCTGCCTGGAATAAAACCTACCTGGTCACTATCTATCAGAGTGATTATCACCAAAAAGTGACACAATGTCTTATTCACCTTGCATAGTACTAGTAAGCCAGAAGGACTGAATTAATGATAGGAGACACAACCAAGCAAGAGCTGTGGCTGCAACCTGGAGGAAAGCCCCAACAAGTTTGTGTATTGTATGTGCATTATGTTCTAAAGAAGCTGTACTAGCAGGGAACAGACAATATTGGAAATGCTGTGGAACATGGTCAGCAGGTAGAGTTTTTGTTTGAACCATCCATTAAAATGGGAAACAAAAGTGTTTCAAGTGATTTTAACTATGGATTGTTACTGATAGATGTGGTCTTTTAAAACGGCTGACCTCCTAGGATTTTGCATAAAACAATCTCTACGGATTACAGAAGGTGGTTCAACCCCCTTTCCTATCCCTCCCCCCCAAATATCCCTCCCCACCAAACATCCAGTGATTGGTAGTTCTGAGTTCTGACCAGAGCAGTTTCAAATGACAGGAAGGCAACAATAAATGTAATGACCGCCCACTGTTGCTCAAGGGTGTAACATTTACTACTCTCCCTTTAATGTGTTAGCCTTGTCCATATATTGTTTTTTAAATCGTAGTAACCTATTTCATAATCTGTGAAATGACAGTAAGACCTAGATATGGCATACAAAGCTCTTTTAAGGCTTGTTTTAATATATTCAGACAATGCCTAAACAGTTTTTATGCTCTATTACTTGTAAAATTCTCTTGGGTGCTAAAATTGCTTTAGTCTTTATTAATCAGTGGTTCAATACATTGCTCACACATTTGGTAAATGTCATTATTTCTCTTATATATTAGGCAGTTTGCAGCTGATATCATTATGGAAATGTTAAAGGAGCTGGAAGACTCCAGGACATTTATTAGCCTCCAGGAAGCCGTGGAAAAGGAGAAGGAGAGGAAAGACCATTTCCGCAGGACAATAGAGAGGTGAGAAAAGGGAAAGCATGGAGTCTGCTCACACAGTAATTACACCACTTTACAGCTTTGCATCAATTGTCAGCGCACAACAGTGTTATACGTTACTATACATTACCTCATAATTAGTGCATCTATTTAAAAAAAGAACCAGAAAGGATCAGAGAAAGATAAGGAGAAGGAGGAGAAGGAACTGGGGATATTTTGTCTGATGGGAAAACGTTGTCATTAGCAATGAGGACTGAAATCTCATGGTATGTGCAGCTCATGTGGGAAACAGAGAAAACAGGCAGGATTATTCACAAAGTGAGATTTGTTGAGAATTCAAATAATGCCAAAATAGCCGAATTGAAAAACATATTTAAGTCAGCTATGCTTCTAGTGTGGGTTCTTTGGCCTTGAATTTGAAATTCACTTGGAATTCGTAACTATTCTCACTTTAGTGATTAACCCCAAAGGTCTCTAAACAGGGAGCTGTTCTGGATGGATATAAGTGAAAGCACTGTAGAACTGTGCATAGGACAATATGGTAGAGAATGTGGTGGTCTGAAGAAAGTAGAGATTGATGGCAGGTGGGTTTTTAGAGTCTAATGATGTTATATTATTAGCATGGACTATGCAATTTCTCATTGTAGCCAGTTTATTACGGTTCTATATTTTTTGCAGAGAAGAGGAGGGAAGGTACAAGATTCATTTACTGCAGAAGCAATTGGAAGAGATCAGAAAAGAGAAAGAAGTGGAGTTGCAGGTAAATTGTGTGAGATGAATATGGATTAAAACAGGTCATTGTAGGTCATCTTGCTAAAACACTTGTTTGATTTTTGGAGTCTCCATCTTGTAATGTATTTTTTTCCACCTGATGCAACCTCTGCATGAGAATGGATTTGTGTGATCTCCAACAAGTGCATGCTAGAATTATTTCACAATAATTAGGATTTCTCTCTTAGATGTCATCTGTAGGAACCAGACAAATGTTAAAGCATAATCTCCTGGACACTGCTTTTTACTAAAAAAAACTAGATAGAAACTGTTATTGCCCAGCCGCCTTACTTTTCTTTGGGCAGGGAGGGTGGGTCAGGAATCCTTATTAATCCCTGGTGGTTCGTGGTGGAATTTCCATTGTTGCAGACACCTTCTGGCTCTCACTATGTTCTGGCCCTTTGCAAGTGAGTTGAAGCATTGCCATGGTATCCATGGCAACACTGACTTCAGATAGTGAGGGACATCACAGGCTTGCTTGGGCTCTGAGTGCTGAAGCACTCTGGGCTGGTTGGATGTCTCCCCATCTGGCACTTTTGGGTCAGCAGCCTCATGTGCCATAGTTTTCTGACCACGGCAGTAGAGTTTAATGAGAGAGCAGTAGCATTGCACTGAAAATCGATGGAAGTGGGTGCACACAGCACTGTTACTAATTGTAGTGTAACAGAGCGGGACAGCGATAGAGGACCTTTAAGGAGGCGGAGATAAGACATTTAATCTTATACTCTTCTGGCTGCTCACTGTACGCTGCTTGCAGCTCCTATTTCAAACTGGACAGAGAAACATTAAAGTCCTCTACTTCTACTGCAGTCCTGCTCAGCCATGCTTGCGAAAGAGATAGGATGCTAGAAGAAGAGGTTTCAGTGGGGTTAATGGACACACAGTGGGTAAGGGGGATTAACATGGGCTTAGAGACATACAAGGGGTAAGAGATGAGCCTAAAATATAAGAAATAAGTGTGGTTAAAGGAGCACAACAAACACCATAACTACTGCAGCACTGTAGTGATTATGGTGCTATGACCTGGTGCCCTGCCCCCCTTCCATTGTAAGTAGTCAGTTTTTGAGAAGTTTTTTTTTTTTTTTTAACAATTAGACTGCTTACCTGGGATGGCTGTATGCTGCTACCTGCCTCCACTACTAACACACAAGAACCAGAAGTTCCTAAGCAGGGACTTGAGTTAGCTCTCTTCAGTACAGGGTTTGCTCATTGGCTGAGAGCATCATTGCTGTTCACAATAAATTCATGATTAGTAACCCTTCAATAGCATTCTCAAGCCACAGAAACAATGCAGGCACTGTAACTCTATATTTCTTGTAGTCTCTTGGCACTGTCTCTTCATTCGGTGTTAAACCACCAAAAAATGTGCAGTTTAACCCCTTAAGGACCAAACTTCTGGAATAAAAGGGAATCATGACATGTCACACATGTCATGTGTTCTTAAGGGGTTAAAGGGACACTCCACTGCCCAAATACAAAAATTCACTGGTGGGTTTAATTTAATAATGTATTTTTCATTGTGAATATATCTAAAAACAACTTGCAAAAGCTGCAGATCTTTTTGCCTCCCTTAAACCAGCAAAGACTTGCCAATGCAGCTCAATAAAAAGTCTGAGCAATGGCCTCTGTGAGGTTATTTATGGAGATGAATTATTATTATTAATTTTCATTAATTAAAAATAATATTTTTATAAAAATTTATAATCTTTATTAAAATATCAGGGGTTGATATTCTGTTGGTGCGAACTCCCATCTATAGCGAAGAGTTCCCACTATTTAACTCTTAGATCTAGAGCACGTTGTTCGAATGTAATATTTCATATATTTTAAAAATTATAATTTATTTTTGTCAATAAGTGTATTTAAACATGGTAGTAAGTGAATAGTTTTTCATTAATATTGAATTAGATATGGCATAGCGCAGTATCACAATCTCAGTAACAATTTCAAACTCTTTAGAGTGATAGGATTGTTAGTTCATGATAATTCAATCAACCGTGTTAGTATATGGAATATTTTCTTCATATACTATTGATTAAGACAATTAGCAAATAGAATGTTAATATTTGTTAAATTATGAAGAACCATATGAGCTTATCAGCATATGGATTATTATAATTTAAAGACAGAATTTTTCAGGATCTTAAAATACAATCTTCGCTTTTTGCTCTTAGTACGATTTACAAACACATATGGATTGTTTGCTTATTGTAAACACCCTTCATAAGACTTAGCTGGACATAGTTCGTTATTTACTCAGGTGATCTGTACACAAAGTTCTATGACAATGTTTTACCAGCTAGCACCAAATTATAACCAGCTCAGTGCTGTTTTCAGAGTAATTAATTATGATTAATTAATTCATCCAGTAACTAAATTCTTGCAGGTTTAGTTAAAGCAGTTCTTATCTGATAAATATTTCCTAGATTGTTATAGGATTAATATTCCTGGGTAACTCTTGATATTCTATTTGTATTTCATGGTTTTGATTAATATTCCAGTCTGCAGTTTGAGATATCAATCTTTATCATGATCTATCATGAAATCCAATCTGGCAAACTATTGAAAACATCCTCAATGACATCTTTCACATGATCCTGGGAGCGGATGCCCCACACACATTCAGCTATGAGCGGGCACACAGAGCACTACGCCCCAGGTCGTCGGACGACAACCCGAGGGATATAATATGCTGCCTCAGCTCCTTCCGTGACAAAGTCGCCATCATGAAAGCGGCCAGATCCAGGCCTACTTGGAATTTTAGGGACACAATGGTATCCCTATTTAATGATCTCTCCCCCATCACATTAGAGGCCAGAAGGGCACTGAAGCCCATAACAGCAGCCCTTCAAGAGAGGAATATCCCATACAGATGGGGCTATCCCTTTGCCTTGTTGGCCCGCCACCAGAATGGATGGTCCTCCATACGTTGGCCCGAGGAGATTCCGAGATTTCTGGAAGAAATGGATCTACCGCATATCTCGGTCCCTGATTGGATCCTGGGCCCCCTAGGGGGGAGACCACAGCCGCAAAGAGCACCCAGGAGGCGAGGAGGAGGACCGCCACAGGGACCAGCGCAATGAAGGCGCAACAACCAGGAGGCACCAGAATAAGGGGTCATGTCGCCGCCCCCGCCGGGCACGTCTCCCTGATCCTCGCCCCCACCTGGGAGACCTGCACTTGCCATAGATTTCACGGAACATGCTACCCTGCTGGACGATCCGGGGACCTACACAGCTTGATAACGAAGATGTAACGTACATGTATATTTTTCTCCTTTTTTTTTTTTTTTTTTTCCTGCCGAGACTGAGCTCGAACACAGCTTGCTATACCATCACACGGGAATAAGGTTTGGGGTGGGGAAACTGGGGGGCACTCGTTATACGAAACAAGTGGAGCTGCCGTACCAAACGGATAAGGGCGGCATAACACAAGCTCTAGATGACATGACGAGCTAAGTACTTTGGGGGATGAACATACACCACTACACGAAGCTCCATCACTCGAGGAACGGAATCCCCAGCATTACGCTGTCAACTCAGGAGAAGCTCACCACGGTTTTACGGTACAGGACACTACCCCTGCACATAAGCTAATGGTTATGCTCGACCCCACTGATCTGCATGTTTTGCACCTAGAATTAATGGTTATAGTATCTGCACAACACACAGGGAATAAGACGCATCAATAGCCTTATACATGACACCTCCCTGGATCTTGCAGGCCTTTCATTAGTTAAGCCATGCTCCACCACGTGATATTTTTCCTCCGTCAAGTACCAGCAGATAAGAGGGTGGGGCACATTATACTCTGGATAGTCATTCGATGGGCTGCCACACCCAGGGGTAGGGGGCACTCGCCACAACACATCTGCAGAAACAGATAGGAGGATTTAGCATAGATAGATGTGGAGGGGGATAGTACTGGGACATAGAAGACACCCGGGCCATATTTCGCAGACACATTATTGAATATATTCCCCAATTGCCACACAAAGGGTAAGCAGAGAGGGGGGAGGGAAGACAGATGGGGGGAAGGTAGGAAAAGGAAGGGGGAAGGGGAATGAGACATAATAATAACCTCATATTATGTATGCATGCCTAATGTTCGTGATGCTGTCACTTATACGTTACTTGTTTTTCATTGACTAACGTCCAGGATGCAGGAGGCGCATCCAGGTCCGGGGAATCGGGGAGGGCGGGAGACGGGACGGTGGAGGGGGCAAGCCGATTGGACTCTGGGTATTGTCCTCATATGTTACAATGTTGAAATGTATGTATGCTACTGTTTATATGTTTGGCTTTCCATGTACCGATACCGGCACCAGGCTGGAGGGCCGGCGGGGGGGAGCTGGTTAGTATTGATCGGTTACAACACTCTCACTTTCGGCCCAAGAAGGATTGGGGCGGGGCTGCTAACCCCTAACAAAAACCGTGCACAGTTTTAGACGTCGGGGCTTCCCGTAGGCCCACACATCGGTCTGGTTACCGGGGTGGGCCCGGGCACCTCCCGCCGTCGCACGGCTACACCCTCCTTTCCACAAAGGAGGACCGAGGTGGACACTTTCCTTTCCCCTTCTCGGGGCCACCTCTACTTGGGGGTCTTTATAACTCCCCACTTTTTTAACCCACACACTTTCCTCACTCTACAACCTACTTTGACGGACCTGTGACAACCCCCCCGACTCAGGGGTGTGCTCCGCGTGTGAGTACACTTATCGCCCCTACTACCCTAGTCGCTTTGAGCCTACCACATAAGGACGACGCATATCGACCCGCAACCCGACGTACCTGACGTCTCGACATAGCACCGGTCGCGGGGTGGGAGCCCTGCGCACTCGGTGATCCCACGCCAATTGACCCACCGCACCTGCGGCTACACTGTGGACTGACTACCGGGTGACTTTGAGGGAACGTGGACAGGCCTCCAGCTAGCTGTAATATAAGACCTGGTGCTGGGATCTCCGCGTGCCCCCTCCTGGCTGGCGGACTGACGATGGCGTACCTCGGTGCTCCGCCAACTGCTATGGCTCTCAACTGCCGAGGCCTGAACGTGCCGGAACGACGCACCCATCTGCTTCGTGAACTACGGAAAAAACGGATCTCCATAGCGATGCTCCAGGAAACTCACTTCCTCGAGGGGTCCGATACCCCAACACCTTCTTCAGCAATCATCCCACAACCCGTAAAGCAGGAGTCGCTATCACCCTTGCAGCAGAACTGGACTTCAAAGAACTAGATAAGGTAACTGACAAGCTAGGGAGATACCTCTTCCTAAAAGGCACGATAGCGGACAGAATGTACACCCTGGCTTCCATTTATGTGCCCAACAAAAACCAGGCACGTTTCCTTCGGAGAACAATGAACAAACTGAGCGGATTCTCGGAGTGCACACTCATTGTGGGGGGTGATCTCAATACCCCGTTGGAACCTCAGATGGACACATCCACGGGACACTGTTATATACCTATGTCTAGCATTCACTCGATACGTAAGTCGATGGGTGACTTGGGACTGGTGGACTGTTGGAGAGTACTCAACCCGGATGTCAAAGATTACACCCACTACTCCGTACTCCACAACCGCTACTCGCGGATTGACTACATACTAATCCAACAGGAAGGCCTGTCGCGACTGAAGAAGGCCACAATCGACCCCGCTACATGGTCGGATCACGGTCCGGTTACAGTGGAACTGGAATCGCCACTGTTCAAACCGGCAACATGGACCTGGCGTCTGAACGAATCCTTGCTACAGGACCCCGAGGTGGAAAGCGAAATTGCACGAGCTCTTGACCTTTACTTCGAAGAAAATGATGTGTCAGACACCTCTCCAATTGTACTCTGGGAAGCTCATAAGAGTACCATCCGCGGTATACTTATAAAAATAGCCTCTCGACGACGGAAGGCAACCATGCAGGAAATGGCGGACCTATATGGAACTATCTCGAAGCTGGAACTCCAACACAAACAAAACCAACTTGCCAGTGTCCGACAAGACCTGACAGATGCCCGACGCAGACTGAAAGATCTTCTCACGAAACGATACTACCGCTCACTACAACACTCCAAGAACTTTTTCTATATCCATGCTAACAAAGGAGGCAAATACCTAGCCCGCGTCCTGAAAGGCGATACCCCCCGCACACGGATACATAAAATACGTCTACAAACAGGGACAGTGTCCCAATTCCCTGAGGACATCGCCAATGAATTCCAACGATATTACTACGCCTTGTATAATCTACATGGCCCTGGAAATATGACGGTGGGAAGCCACGCCAGCACACCTATTCAAGAATACCTACAAGACAACGTAGGTAGCCGGGTATCACGGGAAGCAGCGAATACGCTGGACGAACCGATTAGCATTGAGGAAATGGCCGCAGCCTTGAAGAGTGCTAAGGCGGGCAAGGCACCGGGACCTGATGGATTCTCCATAGGTTATTACAAACGCTTTTCCTCAACTCTCCTACCTCGACTAACTGCTGCGGTCAACACCATCACCGAGGGAAAAAGATTCGGAGCGGAATCACTAGCCGCCACTATCACGGTCCTGCTCAAACCAGGGAAAGACCCGGAACAGTGCAGCAGTTACCGACCAATATCCTTACTAAACGTGGATACGAAACTGCTCACGAAGTTACTAGCAACTAGGCTACAACGTATACTGCCAAGCCTGATCCATGAAGACCAGACGGGGTTCATACCGGGGAGGGAGGCGCGAGACAGTACACTGCGCCTCTTCTCCATACAACACAGAGCACGGGAGACGCGGGACAAGATCTTACTCCTTTCCACGGACGCCGAAAAGGCCTTCGACCGTGTTAATTGGTCATACATGATGGACACACTGAGGGCCATGGGTCTAGGACAGAACATGTTGACGTGGATCTCTGCCCTGTATGATAAACCACACGCATCTATCCGGGTGAACGGGGCCCTTACCTCCGGCTTCGAGATTCAAAATGGAACTAGACAGGGATGCCCCTTGTCGCCACTACTATTTGCAATGACTCTGGAACCACTGCTACACGCGATCCGCCATAACCCAGACATCTCGGGATACAATTGGAGGGGAACGGAGCATAAGGTGGCCGCATATGCGGACGATCTTCTCTTCTTTATCTCTAACCCACGAGTCACGATGCCCTGCTTACTTCTAGAATTCGAAAAATTCGGGAAAATCGCAGGATTTAAACTCAATCTTTCAAAATGTGAAGTACTTAATCTAACCTTTCCACCGGAAGAATACCTGGAATTGGGAACAGTCTTTCCATTCCGCTGGTGCGCGGAGAAAATGAAATATCTTGGAGTGTGGATCACCACAAACCCGCAGGGACTTTATCGACATAACTTTGCCAACATCCTGCGACAGGTAACCTCAGATCTTGACAGATGGGCATATCCGCACATCACCTGGCACGGACGAATCGCAGTACTCAAGATGAACGTGCTCCCGAGAATCCTCTACCTATTTCAGACAATACCCGTGGCACCACCGACAACCTTCTTCTCCACCCTGAAATCGGCGGTAATTAGATATGTCTGGAGAGGAGAGAAGTCTCGACTACGCCACAACGTACTTTGCCTACCTAGACTTGGAGGTGGCCTGGCGCTCCCGGACTTCAAAAGATACCATCAAGCCACCACACTTCAACGAATCCTGGAGTGGCACGCGGCTGATTCCCCAAAACAATGGGTCGTGCTGGATGGGGGAGAATCGCGGGCCACACTTAAAGCGGTGGTATGGCAAGGGGGAACGGGATGTCGCGATGGCGAAGGAGCAGGGAACCCGACGACGCAGACGCTAAAGACTTGGGCAACGATACGGAAAACCAGCCATGTGTCCCCGACCCCTAGTCCCCTGCTCCCCATAGTCCCCAACCCAAACCTGGCGGGAGGCATTTCGGCCAAGGCCTGGATATTTCTGGAGGAGGGGGACTACATCCCGATTCGAACGGTCCTCCAAGAAGGGGCAATTCGACCCCTAAGCACATTAATGGCCGACAGACCTAATACGCCCATGGCGTCCCTCCGCTACCTGCAACTAACACACTACTATAGATCCATTCCACGCAGGGAACACCTACATAGAGACCTCACATGGTTTGAGGGTCTTTGCCAACGAGGCGCCACACTCGACAAAGCAATCTCACTGCTCTACCAACACCTGCTGTTGGGAGCTACCCCAACTAACAACACCTTCAGGAGACAATGGGAAGAACAAATGGGCGAACCGATATCGCAACCACAGTGGGACGCAGCACTTTTATGGCAACACAAGAGTTCCTCCAGCTCACACTATCAGGAAGTAAACAAACTGATATCCATGTGGTATAGAACACCAGTTGCCCTACACAGGATCTTCCCAACGGCGTCCCCAACATGCTGGAGATGTCAGGAGGAGAGAGGCACGATCATACACCTTTGGTGGGACTGTAAGATCATTATCCCATATTGAGAAGGAATCCGGTCTGAAATCAAGGAGGTACTAGGGGAGGACACGGAATGGTCCAAGGAACTAGTTCTCCTGCACATCAACTCACGATCCATATCTGGTTACAAGAAGTCCATCCTACGTCACCTACTGAATGCAGCTAAAGCCCTTATCCCTGTATATTGGAAGCGAACTGAGGCCCCCACGGTTGCAGAATGGCGAAACAGGATCGGAGACATACAGTTGGCGGAAGCACTACAGGCATCCCTGACGGGTCGGGGGACCAGGCACGCGGAGATGTGGCAACCATGGTTCGTCTACCAGGCTGGAGGGCACTAAACGTCTCGTGAGGGGGGAGGGAGTGACGGTGGACGGGGAGACAGATCACGCGCCTATCCCGCCAAAGCTGTGGGGGTTGGGACCACTCCATCACTGGAAATATAATCCCTGGGCAGATGAAACCAACATCGGCCCGCCGACCCAACCCTCCCGCACACATTCCGAAACGCTGAAAATACGTGACCCAACTGAGACTTCCCTTCTCGCACGCGACTATAACCACTGGGCACCCACGGAGCGCGATATGGGGACAAGGGGGGGGGGGAACCTGATAGGACCGCTACTTTCTTTTCTCCCTTTTCGACTCTCTTTCCCATGCTGACCCCTCTTACATGTCTAATACACAGTGCGCACGCCTGGGGGATAGGGGGAGGAGGGGGAAGCCAAGAGTCAAGAAAACCAAAAAAAAGGAATACATAATACTGGCACTATTATCGGTACATCGAATTGCGGGACATGGGAACACACCCATAGGATAACCAAGCCTAACCTTAAGACCAAAGCACCTACGCTCCTTTCATGTCAGGAGCTAGTTAACTATGTCCAGCCTATTATTAGGCACTCTTGCTACAAGGTATACTGTGTTTTATGAATGCACCCGACTTAGAGCCACGCTTTATGTCAAAAGACCGCTTTCTAGCAATAAGGATGTTACATACTATACATATGTACGTACGCCAAAACAATGACGGTTGTCACTCTACATACTTTACCTTTCTGTTATCCTATGTACGCCTACTGTTAGTTACGTAACTTATCGCTGTAATTAAATCCTGTCAGGAGACTTGGTTATGTGGACACAAAAAATGTGACTCAAAATATGGAAATATTGCTACAATACCCTTATCTTCTAAGTAGGCCTGCGAGCCGAATTCTTTCTGTAACCCTCTCTTTCCTTCAATAAACAGATTTACAAAAAAAAGAAATCCAATCTGGCGTATTTCGTACCAGCTTTTACCCAGAAAATATTAGCTTTTAGTTATTTAATTTTATAGTTAGTACAATTGGCTTATATTTACCGATAGATCTGGATGTTATTTTTAAGATTGTAACAGGATGTCGTCTTGTCCATCTCTTGTCTTGTGTCATATCTCCTTTCTCCTTCTGTGTATTTCTGTCTCTCCATTTATGTGTGTTTTTCTTTGTGTACATCATGGGGGTTATATGTCATTCCTTATATATTAACCTTGTGACCTGGTCCAATTACATTTTGGGGCAAGTCATTATGTTAATGGCTGTTGACATAATTTTTTTTTTTGTTTAATTCGAGTTTTATTGTTATTTCACAACGTATAACGGGGATACAGAAGGCAAGAAGGGAGGGTAAGGTATGCGGTTGTGATTCGTACATTTTATACAGTAAAGTCGATATAGACAAATATAGACAAATATACATCAATCCCCATTGTTCTTTGCATATTGGTACCGCTGATATTGTCTCATCATTCTGTATTACACGAAACCTTGGTGCAGGGTTGGTGACTAGTGTCCCCAGAAAGGATGGGGGTAGGGAATGGTGGGGAGAGCGGGGAAGTACTATATACATGGGAAGTGGGTGGGGGGGGGGGGAGGTACAAGGTATCTTTTATTGTTATTACTGTTCCGTCTATTGTGGATTATTCTGTACTAGTGCCCAGTGTTTTAGCCATGGTTCCCATATGTTTAGGTATGTAGTGTATTTGCCTATTGTGGACCAATGTAGCATTTCCATTTCTCTCATGTGCTCTACCCTTTCTATCCATTGTTTGGCTGTGGGTGGTACATTTTGTTTCCAATGGACCGGTATAAGGTTGTTTGCTTCTCCCAGAAGGAGCCATAGTAGGCGCTGACTCTTCATACATTGAAAGGAGTGTGGCCACCCTAGTAGAATTTGGGAGGGGGTTAGGGAGTGTGGTAGTTTTAAGATCTCATCGATCTTGGAGGTCACCTCTGCCCAGTATGGTCTCATGAGTGGGCAAAACCACCACAGGTGTTCCATACTGCCCACCTCTCCCCCGCACCTCCAGCATTGTTCGCTAACTGTTTGCCAAAATAAATGAAGTACCTCCGGGGTTCTATACCACCTAGTGATACGTTTATAGAATGACTCTTGTCTTGATAGGCTACTGGAGGTGTGCATGGGTTTTGTGAAGACATATGCCCAGTCCTGGTGTGACATATGTATGTGAAGTTCCTTCATCCATTTACGTTGGTATGCTAGGGTCTCTTGGGCCCTATCATTAGTTTGGATGAGTTTATAAATTTGTGATAAGGTGCGTTTTATTGGTTGTGCGGTCGTGCATAATTGCTCAAAGGGGGTTGAACCTCTTGGGGTCCAATATGGTAGTACCGCTTGAGTGATAGTGTGTCTTAGTTGTGCGCATCTCATTGCTTCCATGAGTGAATGGTGGCCTCTCGGAATTTGGGGTTGCTTGAGTTTAGGGGGTGTATCTCCTGTCAGCAAGTCTCCTATTTGTGGGTTTTGTATTCCCCATAGTTTTAGTATAGTATCTGCCCCTCTGCCTCCTAATATATCCGGGTTATGGTTTAACGGGTATAATGGGGATATGCCCGGTGACAGTTTCCAGGTATTTTTGTGCAATCTCCACTTCTTTAGGATGTGGGGAATAAGGGGGTGTGTCATGGTGGTCAGCTGCTGAGGTTGGCATGTCTGCCAAGGGAGGGATGGTAAAGGAGCCTGTGCATGTATTTGTTCTATGTCGTACCACGATTTTTTGTGTTTTATATCTATCCATTCCCTGAGTCTAGTGAAAAGGACTGCTATGTAGTAGTTGTACATATGGGGTAGCCCGACACCTCCTTTCTTTTTATCCCGCGTGAGTATGTCATATGCCAGTCGGGATTTTTTATTTCCCCAAACAAACGTAAGGAAGATGTTTTTCAGTATGTGGAAGAACTGGCGTCCGAGTTCGATGGGAAGTGTTTGAAATGTATATAAAATTTTTGGTAGTATCATCATCTTAATGATGTTGACTCTTCCAAAAAGGGAAAAGTGGGGTTTGTCCCAGTGTTTGAGTTGTGATTTAATGTTATCCAGTAGGGGAATGTAGTTCATTCTATAGAGGCTTGTCGTTGTGGGTGCGAGTTTGATGCCTAGATATGTTAGGCCTGTGTTTGCCCATCGATAAGGGTAGTTGTGGCTTATGTGTTTGTGTTGGGTCGGTTTTAGGTTGATGCCCATTAGTTCGCATTTATCAGCGTTTATTTTTAAATTTGAGTATGTACTGAAGTGTTCTATTTCGCTCTGAAGATGCAGGAGGGAGCGCTCAGGGTGTGTGAGTGTTAGGAGTACGTCATCTGCGAAAGCAGATACTTTTACTTCCTGGTCTCCTGCCCTGATGCCTTTAATGTTGGCATTTGCCCTGATGGCGTTCAGAAATGGTTCCATCACCAGAACGAATAGTAGCGGCGACAGAGGGCACCCTTGTCTTGTGCCATTACCTATGGCAAAGGGGGGAGAGTCTTGCCCATTGACTCCAATCGTGGCTGATGGTCCTTTATATAGTGTTCTCACCCATCGTATGTAATTGGGGCCGATTCCTAGGGTTTCAAGGGTGGTGAATAGGAAGGTCCAGTCTACTCGGTCGAACGCCTTTTCAGCGTCCACCGAGAGGAGTATTGTCGGTACCCTGGTGGTAGAGGCACCATATATGAGGTTGAGTAGTCTTGTGGTATTGTCTCTCGCCTCCCTTCCAGGGATGAAACCCGCTTGGTCTGTATGGACCAAGTCAGGCAGTAGTGTCTTGAGTCGATTGGCAAGGATTTTTGCAAGTAATTTTACATCGAGGTTAATTAGGGAGATGGGCCTATAACTACCACACAGGCTCTGGTCCTTGCCGGGTTTCAGCAGGATTGTTATCGATGCTTTCAGCATCGGGGGTGGTAATTCGGTAGTGGTTAGTAGATTGTTAAGCACTTCTAGATAGTGGGGAGATAGGATGTGTTGAAAAGATTGGTAATATCTGGCCGTTAGGCCATCTGGTCCCGGGCTTTTACCCTTAGGAAGTGTTTTAATTGCTCGCTGCAATTCTGCCAGCTGGATGTGGGAGTCTAATATGGTTGACTGGTGTGAGTCTATTGTTTTTTGGATATGGGAGGAGATATATGTTTTAATGTCATGGGAAGGACCTCTATGGTGCTCTAGGTTATATAGATTACTATAGTATTCCCGGAAAATTTTGGCTATGTCCTCGGTTTTATCTTTGCGTGTACCGTCTTGCGCCTTTATGTGGGATATGTATGTTTTTTGGTGCTTTTCTTTTAGGGCTCTGGCCAGGAATTTCCCACTCCTATTACCGTGTGCGTAATATGTTCCCCTGGTTAGGAGTACTGCTCTGTGTGCCTGCATCGTAAGGATATTGCGTAGATCCATTCTCAATGCCGTTAGCTTGTTATACGCCTCCACTGAGGAGTCGGTTTTATGTTCCATTTCTGCTCTAGCTATTGCTTCTGTGAGTGATTTGATCTTTGCTTGGCGTTCTTTTTTTATATGTGCACCCCACTTAATCAGTATGCCTCGGGTGATACCTTTGTGTGCCTCCCATACCCAGGTGTCTGCGGTGTCTTTGTTTTTGTTTTCAAGAAAGTATCTAGGGAGGGAATTATTGAGGTCATCAGTCACTCTTGGGTCGTCCAAGAGCGATTCGTTTAACCGCCACTTGTTGGTGGGTGTGCATGTTCCTGCAAGGGATAGTGTGAGGAACACCGGGGCATGGTCTGACCATGTGATGTGGCCAATTGATGCTTCCTTTAACAAGTGTAAATGCCTATGTTCTAAGAGGAACATATCCAATCTGGAATAACTATGGGCCACCTGTGAATAGTAGCTATAGTCCCTCTCCTGTGGGTGGGATATTCTCCAGCAGTCCACCAGCTGGTGGGCATGGAGGGATCTTTGAAATAAAGCCCTTTGGTGTTTCTGTGTGTCTTTACTGGTTGTGGAGCTGTCCATAGAGTGGTCTAGGACCATGTTCCAGTCTCCCCCTAAAACTATTATCCCATTAGCAAACTTGTGTAGTTTCCTAAGACATGAGTTGGCAAATGATACTTGTTTGGTATTTGGGGCATATATAGTTGCTAGTGTCACCAGTGTGTTATTCAGTGAGCCCTTGATAAATAGGTATCTTCCCAAGTGGTCTGTTTTGATTTCACTCGGGGTGAAGACTATGCGTGGTGATAGTAGGATGGCTACTCCTCTCGCTTTGCCCCCGTGATTGTTGCTGAAGAATGCTTGTCCTATTGTTTTTGCCCTTAGTTTAGGGGTTTGATCCCCCTTTAAATGCGTTTCCTGTAAAAAAACGACATCAGCCCGTTGTCTGTCTATTTCTTGGGTTAGTACTGTACGTTTCTCTGGAGTATTAAGTCCCCTGACATTTAGGGACATTATTTTGAGATCAGCCATTGGGGGTCAGGTGGTAGTGATGGCGTGTCTCCTCTGGGTAGTAATGCTTACACTTGTACCTTCGGGGGTCAAAGGGGTATATGGGGGGATGTAAACTTGGAATGCTATGTACAATGAGCATGTGGGTAACATGCATCTACCAGATGGTGTCTAGCGCGCTAGGCTCTGTGTGAGTCCTACGTGCTCTCTGCGACTCCTCTAGGGGGTTACGGGGTCTTGGTTGTCCAGAACTTGGCCTGTAATCTGATTGGTAAATTTAACATTCTAAAAGCGTTTCCTATAGTGTGGCCTGTGTTTTCTTATGCTAACTCGTTATAAAGTTGAAATGTGGGTTTTTATCCCCTAATTTCGCGCAGCCAGGGCCCGAACCCCAGGAGGGTGTAGGCGGTGGTCGCACGAAAGGCAGTTTTAATCTACAATATGATAATCAATATTCAAGTCATAACAAACGGCATACAACTTTCAAACGTATAAGAAAGAGCGTCCAGGTGCTTCAGAGGTCTGCTTAACATAATAAAGGATATATTGGATCCCTCAGGTGGGTCTGCTTGTGGTGCCTCTGGGTGATGTGGTCTGTTCATTGCCCGATGGGATACGCCTTCTGCGCTTCTTCGGGGTTCTTTGCCATTTATTTTTCTGAGAGGCGTGTGATGTCTGTCCCAGTGTTAGCCCAGTCCAGTCCTCCACTGCGGCCTTTGGTAGTTTTAGGGCTTGCTGGAATGCTTGGACCTCCGCAGGTGTCGAGATAGAGTACGTCGTCCCTTGCTGTGTGACCACAAGAGCAAAGGGATATGCCCATCTGTATCTTATGTTCATGTCCGAAAGGGCTGTTGTTATGGGTCTGAGTGCTCTCCTCGCTATGAGGGTCGATTGTGCCAAGTCTTGGAAAATCAGCACTTTATGGTCGTCATGTTTGATTTCTCTGAGGTGCTTAGCTTTTTGCAGGATTGCTTCTTTAAGTGGGAAGTGGTGGATTTTACAGATAATATCCCTCGGTTTGTCCTGGGGCAGTGCCCGAGGTCTAAGCGCCCTATGTGCGCGGTCAAATTTAATGACTGTGTCAAGAGGCCTGCCCAGTATCTTGTTAAAGAGGCCAGTGAGTAGGAGTATGATATCTTCTGTCTCCCCCTGCTGTGTTTCAGGGAAACCCCTTATCCTGAGGTTGTTTCTCCTGCCTCTATTGTCTAAATCCTCTATTTTTCTTTGTAAGAATAGGATGGCTTCATTGTGGGTTTGCTGGAGGGATTGTATGTTTGTGAGATGCAGGGCACTTGCCTCCCCTTCTTCTTCTAGTGTCTGTACCCTGTGGCCTATTTGGCTTACCTCTTCGTGGAGCGATTGTAGTTTGTCCCCAAAGCTCCTCTCCATCTTGGAGAACATCAGTTCCAGATCTAGTTTAGATGGTAGTTGTGAGAGTAGGGTTTTTAGGTCGTTACCCTCTAATGAGCTTTCTGAGGGTGCAGGGCTAGAAGGTGCGCTGTGCGCGGGAGATTTCTCTACCGCCGCCATCTTGGATTTGCTCTCCGGCTCCGGTTTTTCTCCGAAATACCGTCGGAGGGAAGTTTTGGACGTGGTAAGTGGTACCGCTGGGGTAGTGTTTGCCTGTGCTCGAGGTTTTTTTGATGCCATGTTGTCTTAGCTGCCGGGGATGCTGCTTATAAGGCCTGTTCTGGACGGAGCTCAGCTCTCATGCGGCCATTCACTCCGGTGACCAAGCCACGCCCCTTGACATAATTTTTGATATATATTTCTATATGTCTCAAACAGTAGGTGGAGCTGTTGGCTTACATCAGGAGTATTATCAGCTATTATCATATAGGGTTAAACTTTGTTCAGGACAATTTAGGAATGTTTCATTTCAAGATACTTTTGGTCAGCAATTCTTCTTTCTATGTGGACTTTGGTTGTTCAACCAATGTGTCCTTGTTCACCTAAGTGTTATGGCAATTTCAGGATATTAAACCCCTTCCCGACCTGGACCGGCAATCCCGGTCCAGGGGGACTGCCCGAGATCCCAGCAGTCCCCCTGCTGCAGCTCCGTCCTCTCTGGCCCTCCATGGCCATGTAATCACCATGCTCACATGGCTGCAATGGAAGTTCATGGAGCTGCCAGCAGGGGGACTGCCTGAGCAATCAGGCAGTCTCCAGCCACCAAAAATGTAAAAAATATATATTATACATATATTACATAGGTATGATATATAATATATTATACATATATAATGCATATATATGATTGCATTATAAGTGTACTTTGAGATATATACACATATATCTCAAAATACACCTATAATGTAATCATACATATGCATTATATATGTATAAAATGCTTTATTTTATAATATATTATGTGTGTGTATATATATATATGTATATATATATATACACACACACATTCTACATTCTACAAGTAGAGTAATGTCTCACAAGTACAACAGTACCCCTCAAATATAGGTTTTATGGTGATTTGGAAAATTACAGGGTCAAACATAAGATTTGCCAATTTCTATTGTTGTAAATTGCTATTTGCCAGATTGGCTATGTTGCCTTTGAGACAGTATGGCAGCCCAGAAATAAAAATTAACCCTACCATGACATACCATTTGAAAAAGTAGGCAACCCATGGTATTCAAAATGGGGTATGTCCAGTCTTTTGTAGTAGCTACTTAGTCACAAACACTGGCCAAAGTTAGCATTTATATTTGTTTGTGTGTCAAAAATGCAAAAAAAAAAAGAATATGAACACTAACTTTGACCAGTGTTTGTGACTAAGTGGCTACTAGAAAAAACTAGACATACCCTATTTGCAATATCTTGGGTGGTCTGCTTTTGTAAATGTAATGCCATCATGGGTAATTCTTATTCCTGGGCTACCATACGTCTCAAAGGCAACATAACCAATTTGGCAAATTTCAATGAAAAAAATGAAATGGGCAAGCCTTATCTTAAGAATTACAACAGCAGTAACAATCACAAAAAGTAAGCAGTATAATCCCTCCCTCCAGAGTCCCTTCTTTTATATGGGTGGCTGGTCTCTTCATTGGTGTTCCCTTGGGCGTTGTTCACTTGTTCCAGCTGTAGAGAATCAAATTTCCCGGGTTTCAACGATTTTCTGATGTCACTTCCGGTTTTCGGCAATAACGGAATGTCACTTCCGGTGCAGCGATTTGCACGGATGCAATGCATTCCACCTATGACTTACACAGTAAACAGATTACTATTGGGAGCCCTGAAGACTCAAAAAAAAACATAAAAGCAAAAAATGAAAACGGAATGGCAATAACTCCATATGTAGTTAGTGCTAAGAAGGTCTATTGTTAAATATTTCTCCCCATGTATGGAAGAATGTCTATTATAAGATATAGTGCATTTATTTGAGATTTTGATGTAAAAAGAAGCACAATGTTAATATCTATTTATTCTTTATAATTTAAAAATTGCTGTGCATGTTGTATGTAAGTTACTTCCAGATGGGGGAATCAATATGAATTTTCACTTTTTTAATATATACATAGTTTCACATTAAAAATGGGAATACTGTACCCATTATGATTATTAATAAAAAAAAAATAAACAATTGATTTAATTTTAATTATGGATCTTAACTTAAGAATTCAAAATTACAGATATAATATACATAATGGAAAATGTTTTCCACACTGAAAAAATATATATATATACAGATGAAAGAAATGTATATATACATGAAAAATGTAGTGAGATATAATGAAAAGAATATAAATAAGGATAAATAAATAGATAAATAAATATAAAATAAAAATAAAATATTACAAAAATGTAAATAATAAAACATAATAAGAAAAATAAAATTAAATACAAATAAACAATCATAGTAATAAAAATAAAGAATAAAAATGAAAAAATGAAAAAAATTTGATAGAAAGAATAAATTAAGTAATATGAATGTTCCAATCCACTTTTAATTTACAGTGGTATCGTTCCTACAATGGGTCCTTATGAGGGGCGTACCATAATCCCATTTACATTAAAGGAAGCAGATAATGTCTATTTCAGCATTGAGACCTCTGAGTTCCAGGGTGCCTAATTGATGGATCCAGAAGGTCTCTCGCTGTGCTAGCCTCTTGTCCCTGTTGCCACCTCTCCAATGGGGTCTTATATGTTCTATACCAAAACACATCATGGTCTACCACTTAAAGAGGGGACAGTTGTTACAGTGAACTGGAACTGTGTGATTGATATCTTTTTTTCGAATATTATTCTGATTTTCTAAAAATCTGATTTTGAGTATTCTCTTGGTTTTGCCGACATACTGTTTGCCACACGGACACTGGAGTATATACACCACATAGTCCGTGTGTCATCCACTATAGTCTCTAATCAGATATTTTTTCCGGTTGCTGTACTGATGAAATCTTTTTTTATTCCCACTTTGTTCCCTATGGTCTTACATGATTTACATGTTAAGCATCCTTTACACACACTGCAGATTTAGATATTTCTCTCTGATTATTGACAGTTTTAATACTATAGCTAGGTGCTAGGGTATTTTTTATTTTTTTTTAATTATGGGTGGGCGGTCTGGAAGGAGAGGTCCTAAAAATATGTCTTCCTGTAGTATAGACCAATATTTTGATATTGCCCTTTTTATCTTGAAATGATCTGTATTATATTTTGTGATGAAAGTATGATCATATTTCTTTATATTTTTTCTATCTATATAATTCTTTTCTTTAGGTTTGTCCTCTAATAGGTTGCTCCTATTACTCCTATTTATACTTGAAACTGAGTTCCTTTTCTAAGTGATTTTTATCGTATCCTTTTGCGATTCATTTGTTTTTAACAACAGTGGCTTGGATTTGAAATTCATTTGATTTGGAGCAATTGCGACGTACTCTAGTGAATTGGCTTTTAGCGACTCCTCTGAGCCAAGGGTCATGATGACAACTCTGTCTGTGTACAAAGCTATTGCCGGACCTGAGAGTAAACCACAGTAGAAACAAATACACAATTACATTGGCTCTCAGGTCCAGGACACTCCCATACAAAATCAGATAATCCCTCCTCTGTGCCTGGGAGATAATTGGATCAGGAACTGTACTAGTCTAATCCAGTTATCTCCAAGCACAAAAAAAAATATACTTTTTCCAAAACATACCAAAAGTACCCTACAAATACATAAAACCTCACAAGTTACATCCCCTGATAGCCCTGATCTGGGTGACCAACATATCCAAAAATCATCCAGGTCAGTTCAGGGATTAAGGAATTTCCTGGAAGTCATTAGTTTAACCGACCGCACACATTGTCCCATGCCCAAAATAGTTCCAGAGAATCAGGGGCTTGCAGTTGGTTTAGTTCGGTAGTTTAAAAACAAACAAACTACTGAACATAGTCAATAGTCTTACCCTGGAGCTTGCTCCCCTTGTTCAGATGAACGATTTCACCGAACAGTGCCCTTCTAACTTGTGTAAAACCGAACACAGGCGATGATGGAAATCCAGCGGTGTTCGGGAGTTTGTGTGTCCGATTTTAGTTCCATGAGATTCATGCCCAAACACCGCTGCCTGCGTTCATGGGAACAAGATGGCCGCCACCTCGTGGTCGTCTATAGAAATTGCGGCCACCCAGACGAACACTTAGAACACTGAGGTGGAAATTGTTACGGTGTAGCAATTAGGCTTAACAAGCTCCAGGGTGGTCTCCAGTCCGTGCGGCTGTTTGGTTTCCGAACCACATAGTCCAACTACACGAACGGAGACTTTTTTTTATCACATTATACAAGGTCCATAGTCTGTGGGCAGGAAGATGGCAAGCATGCTCCTCCAGGAATTCGTGGCAAACTCACTTGAAAAGAGGAGTTTGTCACATACCTCCTATTTTTGCTTAACATGTAGTTTTAATTAACATATACTTGTCTTATCTTTTATTGACACAGATGCATTTACTCACTGTCTGGCTCTTTTAGTTGACAGGGTAATACTTTGAGAAAAACATATTGTTTCTTCATTTTAGCACCTCATGGCATATTAGCTAAATTGCATTTTTGCTATTCTGCATGTATTATTTTGATCTCACAATATATACATATTTCCTTCCTACACAATATCTGACACCTCCCTCTTGAGCTTAGGGCCACTTAAATATTCCGTCATGATTCCCTTTTATTCCAGAAGTTGTGTCCTTAAGGGGTTAAGAGACTGAAATTTCCCTATAACACTTAATAAGGGTCCCTGCCCACACGCAGCCCAGACTCCACTGGAGGAATGGCTAAGACATAGGTCACACCTTTCCTTTTAGCCATACCAATTCATACTGGCAATGTCAGCTATGGTCAGCTGATACTCTCCCAATCGCCACTGTCCATTGCTGCTCAGGTTGTTTCCTCATTAGCCCAAGCAGCAGAGAGGTGATGGGCTGCTGCGGAGTCTCATTAAAAAATGGTTTAAGACTAAATGGAAGGGTAGTGCCAAAGACTCCAGACACTATAACCACTTTAATGAGATGAAGCAGTCACAATGCCTACAGTGTACCACTACGTTTAAAGGTATGTAATTTCTGGGCTGAGGTTTTCATCTCTTTTTTAATATGGACACCACGTCTCTTTTCCTCCAATTCAATGGTAAGGAAAAAATCTTCAAAACTGATTTGAACGAAGCTCCCCAAGTACCCCTAGTTCTATCACATTTTCATATGGAGCTTTGTTTCCTTTTTTATTTTCATTTATTTAGCACTTTGTCTCCATTCAGTTACATGTTTACTGTAAGGTTTTTATAGTAGTGATTTTCATCTACAGCTGTAAGATCGTTTGCTATACAGGGAGTGCAGAATTATTAGGCAAGTTGTATTTTTGAGGATTAATTTTATTATTGAACAACAACCATGTTCTCAATGAACCCAAAAAACTCATTAATATCAAAGCTGAATATTTTTGGAAGTAGTTTTTAGTTTGTTTTAGTTATAGCTATGTTAGGGGGATATCTGTGTGTGCAGGTGACTATTACTGTGCATAATTATTAGGCAACTTAACAAAAACAAATATATACCCATTTCAATTATTTATTATTACCAGTGAAACCAATATAACATCTCAACATTCACAAATATACATTTCTGACATTCAAAAACAAATCAGTGACCAATATAGCCACCTTTCTTTGCAAGGACACTCAAAAGCCTGCCATCCATGGATTCTGTCAGTGTTTTGATCTGTTCACCATCAACATTGCGTGCAGCAGCAACCACAGCCTCTCAGACACTGTTCAGAGAGGTGTACTGTTTTCCCTCCTTGTAAATCTCACATTTGATGATGGACCACAGGTTCTCAATTGGGTTCAGATCAGGTGAACAAGGAGGCCATGTCATTAGATTTTCTTCTTTTATACCCTTTCTTGCCAGCCATGCTGTGGAGTACTTGGACGCTTGTGATGGAGCATTGTCCTGCATGAAAATCATGTTTTTCTTGAAGGATGCAGACTTCTTCCTGTACCACTGCTTGAAGAAGGTGTCTTCCAGGAACTGGCAGTAGGACTGGGAGTTGAGCTTGACTCCATCCTCAACCCGAAAAGGCCCCACAAGCTCATCTTTGATGATACCAGCCCAAACCAGTACTCCACCTCCACCTTGCTGGCGCCTGAGTCGGACTGGAGCTCTCTGCCCTTTACCAATCCAGCCACGGGCCCATCCATCTGGCCCATCAAGACTCACTCTCATTTCATCAGTCCATAAAACCTTAGAAAAATCAGTCTTGAGATATTTCTTGGCCCAGTCTTGACGCTTCAGCTTGTGTGTCTTGTTCAGTGGTGGTCGTCTTTCAGCCTTTCTTACCTTGGCCATGTCTCTGAGTATTGCACACCTTGTGCTTTTGGGCACTCCAGTGATGTTGCAGCTCTGAAATATGGCCAAACTGGTGGCAAGTGGCATCGTGGCAGCTGCACGCTTGACTTTTCTCAGTTCACGGGCAGTTATTTTGCGCCTTGGTTTTTCCACACGCTTCTTGCGACCCTGTTGACTTTTTTGAATGAAACGCTTGATTGTTCGATGATCACGCTTCAGAAGCTTTGCAATTTTAAGAGTGCTGCATCCCTCTGCAAGATATCTCACTATTTTTGACTTTTCTGAGCCTGTCAAGTCCTTCTTTTGACCCATTTTGCCAAAGGAAAGGAAGCTGCCTAATAATTATGCACACCTGATATAGGGTGTTGATGTCATTAGACCACACCCCCTTCTCATTACAGAGATGCACATCACCTAATATGCTTAATTGGTAGTAGGCTTTCGAGCCTATACAGCTTGGAGTAAGACAACATGCATAAAGAGGATGATGTGGTCAAAATACTCATTTGCCTAATAATTCTGCACTCCCTGTATACTTACGAAAAAAAAAGTTTCAAATTGTTTAATTGAACCAACAACTGTTTAATTGTGCTTGTTTGTTTTGTTTTTTTTAGATATTTTTATTTTGCGTGAAATGTACTTAACATAGGTGAGGTCTGTGAGTTTCTGTTCTGGATTCATTTGGAACTAATGACCCCACATTTTTTTTTACAATCTGTGTTGCACGTTAGAGTATATGAGTGGCTTCCAGTGTCGCTCAATACTAAGCATTACGATGGTACATATTCTGTGATCTGTCTTGACAGGGTTTCAATCTGGGGGAAGGCCTACAACATGTAAATATGAATGTGAGCGCCTTCCAATTCATAGCATCTAAAACATGGTGGGGAGTGCAATGGGTAGTGCAAAGTTGTAAGCTGGAGGACCGTTGAGAGTGTTTTGTAACATTTTTCTATAAAGGTTATGTAAACTGTGACTTTTTGTGGTTTTGAAGATCTTCGACCTTTTTGGATCGAGAGACTTCAGCCACTAAACTTCCTTTTTAAGTACATTGGATGAATTGTGTGTAAATAGGGCATTCATAAGAATAAATCACTTAAATTAGGTATTTTTTAAAAAAATGTGGCTATTTTTTGTTCAATGGTGAATTCCTGAAAATTTGCTGTATAGTAGATACAGTCTATGGCCTCCATATAATAAGCTTTCCAAATGATTTAATACTGTTAGATTTTACCTTTTGGGTCTTCTAAAAGTCTTTTCTACAACCTGACTCTCAATTCCTCTGCAGACACTCAATGCTGAGGAATTCAGAAACAGGGAGAGCAGACAAGACGTCCCACAGCTGTCTACCAATAGCAACCTCCATGTATGCACAGTGATTGCTATGGCAACTCAGGAGCGGATGCTGCTAGCGCTGGCTAGGGAGTATAGGAATGAAGTGACATGGCAACACTCCATTTAGACGCTGGCAGGGAAGGGTCCCCAAACAGGTCAAATCAATGAAGAGCACAGGAGGAGCACGGACAGACCACAGGTGGGTGTTACCCATCTCTTTAATGAGATCTTTACGGGAGCAGAGGGCCAGGTAAGTGGTGACAGTTTCCCTTTTATGGTGACTTCTGTATATAAATTATTTAGAAAAATTTTCTAACAATATTGGTTAATTTGGAACGTTTATTAAATCAAGGCTTATGAAAAAATGAAGACTATAAATCAAATGGTCAAAGTGAAAACTGAATCACAATATTTAAAGTAAAAAGTGCTTATTTTGGGGGGGGGGGGAGGGGAAATCCAGAGTCATATTATAACCGCTATTTAAGCCTTTTAGTTTTCGATTCACAAACATTTTGGAAAATAATAAATATGTAATTGTCTGTTTTGTGTTGCTCTGCAGTACTTTATTCACTAGAGAGGTCTTGTGGTGTGTGTGTGTGCCAGAGAGAAAGTTGGTGTTGGATACTGTAATTCTTAGGTCAGGATTTCTTCCTTAGAATCGAAATGAACTAATTGCTCACCTGAATGATCAACTGCAAGAGACAATAGCAAAGACCAACATAGACAACAAGTATGCCAAGAAGGACACAGAGCTGCAAATCTCCCAGACACAGAAAAGGTGTAACATTTCTGAAACTAACCTGCAGCAAGAGATTGAGGTGGGCAAAATTAAGATCTATTTAATACAGGTAAATCTCGAATATACTCAGGACTTCTTAAACCTAAGGGAAACTGATCAGTGGCTTCCACCATGATCCTCTCATCCATTTGTAGAAGGTAACTTTATCCCACGGAGTGGGAATAAAATTATTTTATGATCCAGGAACTAACATTTTATATATATATATATATATATATATATATATATATAAAAATAAATTATAGAGCCACAATGACTGTGTATCACCTAGCATAATCGGGGCAGGGTTGATTGTAACAGAGAGGGACTGGGTACCTAAACGTGCAAAGTTTTTTCACTATATTGGGAATTGTGGAGAATTAACAAGGGAATTTCACATAATTGCTTGTTTAATGAATAACGCCCAATAGTGTGAGGGACGATGATGGTACCTGTATAATGGCAAGAACCTGGTCTTCCCCTGATATGGTATAGACAAGGTTTTAGAGTATGGTTGATATGGGATTTACTGAGACCCTGGATGTATTTATCATTTACCAGTTACACATGAGTTAGCAGGAACACTTAATGAGGTCCCTCTTTTAAGAGGTCTAGGGGATTTGTGGTAGCTTAATGGTCTACCTATAACAGGTAAGAGGAATCATTCATCATGAACTCTTCTCAGGCCTTGGTGGTTTTGTGGACCCCAAATTGATCCTACAGCCCAAAGGGGCTACACTTGAGTGTGTTCTAATGTGGCACTAAGGATCATTCTTTAGATGATTTGCAGAGTTTAGAGGAGAGCAAATTCTGTGAATCTTGAAATTTAGCCTGCAAATTTCCCCTTGTGAATGATATTCTTCAGCGTTACTACTGCAAACTCATCAAGTGAATAATCTGAAGTATCTCCATTCTAAAAAGAATTGTAATACCAATCGGTCACACACAAACACCAGCTTGTACAATAAGATACAACTTGCAGGCGTCAGGATGCTGGAGAGACTTTTTGCCTTGATAGTTGCAGACATTCAGCGAGATGGCAAACTAGGTGAGATCTAACCTGGAATGTGTGACATTGCAAACAGAATCACTATTCATACAGACTCCATGGATATCAACTCAAGCCTGTTTAATTCCAGACTGGGGAATCTGACATTTTTGTCAAAGTACCCGAAAACACTTCAACAAAAAGTGTACCCACTTTACTGCATTATAATCATATAATAAGTTACTACAGCTTGATCTAGCTCTGCCAGGGTGTTTTGTTTTTTTTCAATCTTTATATCTGAAAATATGTTTTCTGTAGCACAAGGTGTAGTTAATTTTTAGTTACTATTTACTTGCTGTGTTTTCAATGCATTGTATCTTAATCAATTTCAGACTATTCAAATTAAAACGGATGAAGAAATTAGAGCACATTTAGATATAGAGAATTTCCAGAGGCAACATCTGCAAGTGAGTAGACAAAAGCCTTGTATGGAAAATTAAAGGGGGGGATATACTAGGTTGTATTTGACCATTGCTTAGAATTTAACCATTTGATGAACATGTTTCTTGCAGGAGCTGGAAGCCAAACTTGAACACTGGATGGAGAAGTGTGATAAAGACGCTGAAAGGAAAGAGGATGAAATCCAGTCTATGAAGAAAGCTAGAGATAAGGATCTTGCTTTGCTGAAAACACTGGCTGAGCAGGTTAAAAAAAACAAAACAGTTACATTTATTAATGCAATAATACATTAGTGAGTCTCTGTCACTTGTTATAATCTTAGTGTGAGCCAAGAATATAAGCCATGAAACAAACCAAAAAAACGAAAGCCAAGGGATATTTCACTATCGAAGAGGGACAGATAGATCAAACCGGCCTTTAATAATGAAAACTTTGCATAAAGTCTCACATCCATGGAGCTCTGCAAATAGCCTTCACTATACAATTAAAGAAATAAAAGTTGCACCAAAACACAGTACAGCAGTGTTGCTTGTAGGTCTCACAGTAGTAGTAGTTTCCCCAAAAGAGAAAAAAAAAATAGATGTGTAATTTCATAATTATATTGATATATAGTAACAGGTATAGTAGCAAGTATCATACTCATGTGTTTGCCCTGAAGAGACACTTTTATTCTGTTATTTTTGACTCAAATTTTATTTCTTTTGTTGTACATATTTCTCTGCCTGATTTTGGAAGGGTTATCTGCTTTATAGTTAGTGTATATAGCCCTATATTAATATTTGTCATAGCTTTCAGTATATGCGGGGAGACCAGGCTGAGGTATTAAACTTCTGTTTGTTTGTTTGTACAAAGGATATTGAAGTATGCAACACTCTGAAGTATTGAACACATTAAAGATTTCATGAAATTCCCATCAGTATTTTGGCCTACTGGTTTACAAAAAGTGTCACCAATAGTGTTATCATACCTACTTCTTAGGTCAATTAATGGCTATGGTTCACTGCGTGTATATATCGTGTCATAATTCATACGTTAGAGTATTTGTCATTTTTGCCTATTGATGGCCTTAAGTATTTAAAAAAAAATAAAAAAAAACAACTTTTTGTATCAAGTGTTTGTGTCAGGAGCTTGAGCCGTTAGGTGTTCATTCCACTTAATTTTCACTGTAGTATTTATTGGTTTGGGCCTTAAGTGTTTGTCCACCATGGTTTCATATTCCCAATTTAGTGTTACTTGTGTGAGTAAAGCTGTTCGAGGAGGTGTCTTCAAAGACTTCCATGCTCTCGCTATTCGTGTAACTGCTGTTCCTAAGACATGGAAAATAAGTTTAACTTCTGTCTTTAAGTATAAAGAATATGAAAGAGTGATTACTGAAGATCGTTTAGAAAAGGAGAAAGCGCGACAGGAGAAGAGACAAGCACAGCTAGAGCTGGATAGTACGATCAAGGTAAACAACTCAGGAAAATATTCTTGGATTAGATTTAGCAAGTTAAGGCTTGTCAAATTTGCTTGGAATCTAGCAGTCGGCTAAAAAAGTTAGGAGCCAGGTTTTTTTTTTCTATAGTCACCAGGACCACTACAGTTTAATGTAGTGGTTCTGATGTCCATATCCGACCCCTGCATGCTTTTCAATGTAAACACTGCCTTTTCAGAGAAAAAAATGAAATAAATAAAATTGCTGCTTAGGAACACCTCTAGTCTCTAGTGAGACAGACACCAAAGGGGATTCCTAGTCCAGTGCTGGACAGCACCTATGTTCAGCATGGAGGCACTGAATGTTTCCCATAGAGATGCATTGATTCAATGCATCTGTATGAAGAGATGCTGATTGACGCTGCTGATGCAGCGCAGCATTTTGCAGCGCATGTGCAATAGCCTCCCAATGTTTTCTTATTGGAAAGCATTGGCTTAGCTGAGACCATCGAGATTGATCTTAGCCATAAAGGTGGAGACAGGCACAGCATGGGGAGTAAAAACAAGTTTCCTGTGCGATTGGATCGCAAGGAAAGAATACAACAGGACAGGGGAAGTGGGGGGGAGAAGAAAACTATGGGGCAGAATACTCTGGGACAGGGTGAAGGGAGGAGGAAATAATACTATGGGACAGGAGATTGGGGCAGCAAAGAATACTATGAGACAAGGGAAGGAGGGGAAGAATACTATGGGACAAGGGAAGGAGGGGAAGAATACTATGGGACAGGGGACGGGGAGGGGGAAGAAAACTATGGGACAGGGTGAGGGGGGAGGAAATAATACTATGGGACAGGCGATAGAGGGAGAAAAGAATACTATGGGATAGGGGACGGGGAGGGAAATAACACTGTGACGAGAGCAATCTCGCCACATTGCATTGGAGGAGCCTGGTTGCCTGCCCGCTCCCTTTAGACTATGGACCGGACTTTTAAAATACTTTATTTTCCCTGCAGAAAGGCTTATTCATGCCTTTCTGCCAGGGCGTTCGGTAGATTTTATCTACTGAACAAAATACCGAAGGCGCGAACACTGGGAAGCTGGCGTGTGCCTTCAATTCACCTCCCTGAAGCTAGCGTGTGCCGTCAATTGACAACCTAGTTGCTGCGGTTAACCACAGCTTAATTGACTGTTACTGGGTGGCCGCGGTTACACTTAGCGGCCGCTAGGTGGCGGTGTTATGGAGCTCCCCGGACAACCAGCAGTGCTCAGCCCGGAATCAGTGCACTAAAAGCGGACACTTTTACGTGCAGGCACCGCTGAGACTTCAGCCTTCCCTGCTTCTATTCATGGCTGTTTAGCCGAACGCTGGATTGATCGGGACTTTTTCTATGTGAATGTTTTAACCCAGATAGCTATGCCATGGAGCCTATTCGTGTAATTAAAGACTTTGGCTTCATGGCAATTGAACTGTGTGTATAGGATCTGAGCGCTATTCGGTAGTTATGTGCGCTCAGATCCCAGCTATCTGGGGATATGTGACATGTCTGTATTTTATGTATTACATGCAACTATGTATATTTTGACGTATTTTACGGTCTTTGTGTCCCCACGTGTATAATGGCGATTTGCCTCTGTCCTGGGAGATAATTGGATTACTTCCCAATTATCTCCAGGATAGAGGGAGGGAAATTAGGATGCATTGTGGGGATGTTTTACTTCTGTGTGTCTGAATGTGATACATGTCTGTCTGTGTTACAGTCTCCCATCTGGTCCTCTAGGGGAGTGTCCCCATAAATACTGGGCAGGTAGCCCTGAATAAATCAGACCACTGCTTGACCCTCAACACAGATCTCTGTCTAGTCTTTGGGATTTACTGTATGCTGTTAGAGACTGATTGCCAGGAGTGTAAGCCGCTTTGGTGCTTTTCCTGTTCGTCTCCTAGCAGCTATTCGTTAGGTTCCAGTTCGGGAGTTTGGAGTGCTACTTTGTATACAGTTCGGGAGTTTGGAGCATTTCCTTGTATTCAGTTCGGGAGTTTGGTGTTCTGCAGTAGCTGTGCCTGTGTCTCTGGAAGGGGAAGATGTACTAAACAGCGGTTCCACTCTTTTATGCCGGAAGTGTCTTAAACACTATGGGACAAAGGAGGGGGGAGAGGAAAGAACACTATGGGACAGGGGAGAGGAAAGAACACTATGGGACAGGGGAGGGGAGAAAGAACACTATGGGACAGGGGAGAGAGGAACATTAAGGGGGGACACTAAGGTACAGGGGAGGAAGAGAAAAGAAACACAGGTGGGGGGGCACTAAAAGAGAAGTGAGAGGAATATTAATGGGAATGGGGGGCAGTAAGAGAGGAACACTAAGGGACATGGAGGGGGTTGGGGTGACACCAACCCTAGTGACGCCACTGACCTGGGCCCCTCTCCACTAAATGGGCTGACAAATACCTAGTATTGCCATGGTGACCTGGCATTTGTTGAGTCCAGTATCAAATGATTATTGAAGACATTTTGAAATAAATGCATCAGAGTGCAAGTGTTCATTTAATTACCAACTTTATTAAAAGTATTTCAACTTAAGTTCACAACTTTCTCTCTTTGTAGATTCAAGCCTGGTGGCGAGGCATGATGGTACGGAAAGGGTTAGGAGCCTATAAGAGAGCCAAGAGCAAGAAAGGAAAAGGAAAAGGAAAGAAAGGCAAAGCCAAGAAAGGAGGGAAGAAAAAATAAGCTATATCACATAGCTGCAAGAGCATTGCACAGGAAATCCTGCAAATGATTTATCTGTAATAAAGATGTAAGGTGAAAGGAACGACCCCACTGTTTAATTTTACAGCCATAGTTAAAGAATTGCCTTGCCAATGCCATACACATTACAGGGCTGCACAACTGCACCTTGGCTTAAGCATAACTTTGCAATTCCCTACAATCCACAACTGTTTAATCCAGCACTGTCAGCGTTATTCACTGAAATGAGAATTCAATGTCAATTCAAAGTATATTTTAAATTTAAGGTTTAAAAAATAAAATAAAAATTAAGGACTAGAAAAATTCTGTTGGACATATTGCCACTTAGGCCATATATATATATATATATTTTTTTTTTGACAATCTTTATTTTCATTTTATCATTTTGTCACAGAGTAGTGTGAATGTGGTAAAACATCAATTGTAACATCGTATTTCTGAAAACAGTAACAACATGCGTAACCTTTTTACAATAATTCTCCAGTCAGGCTTCTCTAACAGTAGTTTCCAGTACATGCATTAGGTAGTGCAACTGATGATCAGGTTTCGAGGCTCATGTCTCCTCTTGCCTACATTGTGCACTTTGCTGCACTTATGGCGTGCGTTCTATGATTAGGGTGTTAACCGGTGTCTGATCTAGTAGCTATAGGGGATATTGACCGTGTTTCAAGTGGGTCGCTGTGATTATAGCTCCTCTAGTGGTCATCTCCCCGCTAGCGTCTGGGTTCCAGGGCTTAGTGTCGAATGTTGTCGCGTTCAGGTTCTTGTGTCCATTGTCCCCGGCCCACCCCCCACCCCCCTGTGCATCCTGTCTAAGTTATCGGTCGGCTGAGTGTCAGTCTAGGGAGCAGCAAGACCCATGGTGCCTCCTGTTTCCTTATCTGTTCTCAGTGTGTCATCGTCGGTGCACTCGTGTGCCGGGTCATCGACCCTTAGTTGGCCCAGCGCACGACTCGGGCCTATCCTTGTTCCCAGTGTCACTGCGTTCGCGCAGGTGCAGCTGCTAGGAAAAGAGATCAGTTTTCTTTGGAAAGATGGCTACAGGCATGGGGGTTGGTGTACTGGTTGTGTACCAGTGACAGAGCAGGTGGAGAGGGCGGCCGGGCAGGTAGGGGTTGAGTATGGGGGGATAAAAAGGGTGTGGGGAGAGAAGGATGGCCCCCCCAGGTGGAGGAGCGTGCCCCCTTGCACCTGCCAGCGTCTTTCCTCTTCAGTCACCCTCGCCTCCCCCCTCGGGGCCAAGGCAATGCCAGCAGTCTCAGTTTCCTTATTTCAAGTGCATGGGTTTATGGTCCTAGTTCCCTCTTCGGTATATGAAGTAGATCCACGGGGTCGACGTCTGCAGGTATCTTTCTGTGGTTCCCCTCAGGGATGCTGTGAGTGTCTCCATCCCGTGAATCTCTTCCACCTTATCCATCCACTGTTGGAGATTGGGGACCTGTGTGGTGCGCCATCTGGCTGGGATGAGCAGTTTGGCTGCATTTAGGAGGTGTTTCATGAGTGATTTTTTTATATCTTGATAGGGGCATCTCTGTATGGTGAAGGAGCATCTGAAGTGACTGTAGCTGGAGGTCGGTATCCAGTATTTCCTTGATCCGTGTGGACCTGGGTTCAATATCGAGCTATTTTTCTACAGGACCACCAAATGTGTAGGTCCGTCCCCACTGCCTCCTCGCATCTCCAACATAGTTCGGTGGCATCAGGATTCATCCGGTGTAGCCTCTCAGGGGTTCTATACCATACAGTCACCAGTTTGTTGTTGAGCTCCTGATGTTTGGAGCTCATAGAGCTTTGATGCGCAAGTATGTGGATTTTAGTCCACCGTTGTTCTGTAAGTGTGACGCCCGTGGCTTCCTCCCAGCGTGCCATGTATTTCGTGGGTTCAAGGCGGATTGCCGTTTGGAGCAGAGCGCATAGCGTGGAGACATCCCTGCATAGGTGTGTTCGGTCCCTGCAGAGTTCCTCGAACCCCGTCAAGCTCCTGTGAAACAGGCGTCTCCCGTGATGGGATGTGTAGTATGCTTTTATTTGGAAGTGGCGGAGTCTCTCCAGACTCGTCGGGGCTCTATCCGGTAGGAGGTCTGGAAGTTGTTTCAGGGCATCTGCCACACACCATTGGTGCATGTGTGTGAAATACATTGCTCCGAGCGTCTTGATGTCCTGTGGCATGAGGCTCCCAGCTACATTGGGGTTGTGGATGATTGGGGTCAGCGGCCCTGGTGTCGTGGTTAACGAGAGTTTGGTTCTTATGGAGTACCTCGTCTGTAGAGTTGCCCAAAGGGTGAAAGGGTGAGTCCGAGTCTGCACGCTCCTCGGGGGCCCGTCTAACCAAACAGCCGCCAGAAGCGTCTTCTCCGTCTGCGCCAGCTCCATGCGTATCCAGATCTTGTCAGTCTTTAGTACATGCCAGTCCACTACGTGGTGTAGGTGTGTTGCCCTGTAGTAGGTCAAAATTGAGGGGAGTCCCACTCCTCCCTGCGCTTTTGGCTGCTGCAGCTGAGCGCTCTTAAGTCTGGGGGGCTTAGATTGCCATATGAATCCGGAGATGGCTGTGTCGATGGTGCGGAAGAACAACGTCGGAATTTTTATCGGGAGTGTCTGGAAGAGGTACAGCAGGCGCGGGAGGAAGTTCATTTTAATGGCGTTCATTCTGCCAAACCACAACACACATAGGCTAGCCCATTGTTTCAGTGTGAATAGCATTGGGGCAAAGTTGTGTGTGTAGAATTGGGTCAGGTCCGCGGAGAGCCATATCCCCAAGTATTTAAGTTTCGTTCGGCAGCATGTGAACACGAACTGAGTTTGTAGATGGGCAATTTCCGGTTCCGTCAGTGAGATGGGCATGGCTTCCGACTTATCTGCATTCAGTTTCATGTTGGATATTAGCCCGTACTCCGCAAAGGCTCGCAGTAGATTCGGAATGGATACCAGGGGGGTTTGCTGATGAAGAACAGCAAGTCGTCAGCATTTGCGGCCACCTTGTGTGCCGCCCCCCCGCAGGGTGTACCCCCCTATTCTCCCATCCCGTCTGACCGCCCCCAGGAACGGTTCCAGGGAGAGGGCAAACAGGAAGGGGGAGAGCGGGCAGCCCTGTCTCGTCCCATTTCGTATAAAAACTGGAGCGGAGAGAGCGCCATTGACCCGTACCCTAGCAGTTGGGGTCGTGTATAGTGATGAAATCCAGGTTATCAGGTGCGGTCTGAAGCCCATAGCCTGCAGCGTAGCCTTTATATACCGCCAGTCCACCCGATCGAAAGCCTTTTCCACGTCGGTAGAAAGCAGTATGAGCTTCTGTGCCAAGCTCCCGGCCGCATGGATGACGTTTAGGGCACGGATGGTGTTGTCCCTAGCCTCTCGGCCAGGGATGAAGCCAACCTGGTCGGGGCTCACCAGTCCCGGGAGAGCATCACTGATGGGGGTGGCAAGTAACTTCGTGAAGAGCTTCAGATCTGCATTTAGAAGCGAGATCGGTCTTGTAGCTGGAGTAGCTGGCTGGGTCCTTACCTTCCTTTCGGATGACGGCTATTGTCGCTGCTAGGGAGTCCCGAGGGAGCGTCCCTCCCTCCAGGAAGGAGTTAATGCCATTTAGGAGTCTGGTCAGAAGCACATCCCCAAATTCCTTGAGATATTTGACCGGCAACCCGTCCGGGCCCAGGGCCTTGTTAAGCTTGGATCTTTTTAGTGCCGCCTGGAGCTCCTCCAGCGATATGGGCACTTCTAGTTCCTCCGCCTCCTCCTGGCTTAGCGTTTTAGAGACATGCTCTCGCAAGTACTCAGATATCGGCAAATCCCTATGGTGCATCGATTCTGGGGTAGTCATGGTGGGTAGATTATACAAGGTTTCGTAGAATTCCTGGAAGGATTCCACTACTCTGTTCGGCATCTGAGTTGGTGTCTGTTCTTTAGTTCTGATTTTAGTGATGTGACACATGCGTCGCCTCTTTTGGCGCATTCTGGCCAGTAGGCGGCCGCATTTATCCAGGCCATATATTTTAAATTAACTTTGACTTCTTACTTTAGTAAATAACCCCGTAAATGTTAATATGCATACATGGACACTAGCTGTTTAACTCTCCTTGCAGAGATTGGACCGGTGGCAGTCACTAACATGTGCTTCCAATAACACTATACATTTGTCAATATGCTTGTTTAACATCACATTCTGTAGAAAACTAGCTGAGGCTGCATATCCTCAGTTCCGCGAAGCAGGTGTTTCTCTGACGTGTACTTTCATTAGCTTTCTGATATTATTTATAAATCGCCAACAAATTCTGCAGCGCTGTACACTTTTAAATAATGTTAGTAAACCTACAACTCTCAAAAACCATTGCATTATAGGACACTAGAGAGACAGAGTTGTAACTTGCAAGAAGAAAGTATTTAATAATGGAGGAGGATGCATAAAGCTGCTTTTTGTTTTGTAAGACTATAACCATAAAAAATTAAATACAAGTAGTCTTTTAGATCTTCAATTCAATATAGTTGTGTTGGTGCATGGAGCTGAGCTTATCCAATAATCAATGTATTATAAATAAAGCAAAGGTTTCTGTGAGTTGCAACTGACAAGTGAGCTGGAACTCCCACAACCCATAACAATTCACAGGACTATTTAAGTTTAAAAAACAAGTAGTCTTTTAGATCTTCAATTCAATATAGTTGTGTTGGTGCATGGAGCTGAGCTTATCCAATAATCAATGTATTATAAATAAAGCAAAGGTTTCTGTGAGTTGCAACTGACAAGTGATCAGGAACTCCCACAACCCATAACAATTCACAGGACTATTTAAGTTTTAAAAAAAGGGTTTGGGGGGTTGGGGGGGTGGAGGGAAGGAGACACTGCAGGCTGGGGAGAGTAGGAAATTGTGAACTTGATAGGAAAATAGCAAACAGAGGGGAAAATAGGCTTGCTGTGACTACAGATGAGTTGGAGAAGAATTTAGCTATTTTGAAATTGAAGAATTAAGTGAATAAGCCCTTAATAGTTGAAATGTTAAGAAACTGCAGAGAATGCAGAAAATTATGTGGTAGAACATTAGAAATACATTTTATTTCGATCAAAATAATTATAGTGGCTAAATAAGAACAAAAAACAACAGTGGGTTCTCAAAATGGTAGATTTTAATTCAAATTGCCACACTTTCTAAACAAGTATTAAGCAATTTAAAGACATATACAGCAACATTTTATATTTATATATATATAACATTCTTAAAAATATGGAATGTATTTACAGAAATAAACAGCCTGGAGGTTTCTTATAAATTGTGTCTAGTTTACAAGTTTTGAACCGTCGTTCCATTAAAAAAAAAAAAAAAAAAAATGTACATACACAAATGCATTCAATTTGAAAATTCCCAATATCTGTTCATTTTAACCATTCACAATTTTAGAGATGCTATTTAAAAAGGCAACTAAATCTCGGTGATGTTGAATACTGGTTGTGCTTTTTAATATTATACAAAGAGCTAGGTAGACGTTCAGAACATCCCTTTTCTATAGAATGGAACCCTGATCGGAATGGTTGCTATAATCCTCCACCTATTAAACAGTGATGCTGTTTTGAGAAAATGTGGAATAAAGTTGTTTTGCCTCTGCTTACAATGTTTAGAAGTTTATAAGGTTAAAATAAAAATGTAATTGTATGAAAGAAACAATATTTATCTAAAAACAAAAAAACAAGTGCTTTATTATCTTCTAACCAACGTATAGTGTTCTGTAATGTAGTTGGCATTTATGTGAACATTTAAGACCTTCTGATTCTATATGGTGTTTGCTTTTAATGGATGACACAATAAATAGTTTGTGTCTTTTTAAAATTTTTTTATTTATTTTATTTGTGCTTAGCGTGAACAATCATGTTTGCACTGCCACGATAATTGGTGCAAGCAGGTATGGAAACATACATTAACATAGGTATGGCATTAAAATACATAGCACAGTTTTTTTTATATTCAGGATGGGAAACATGTTAGAGGTTAAACATTGAATCATGGTTGCACAAAAGTTCTGCCTGTCTCGATATTTCGTAATACAGTAAACTGGTCAATCATGCAGCCTATGGGGATTAACATGCTAGCTGAACATAGCTGAGACTTGCTGCTTGGTACATAAGGTCACATCACTGCACTATCTGATCATATTATTAGCATTTTGCGTCAAGAGCTAACAGATTGTATACATGCAGTACAGTTATATTTGCCTGAGTAGGTTAATTGTAAATCTGTTTAGACATATTAGCTAAATTAACAGGCTGGAGAGATGGAAGTGCAGGCTAAAACTGAAATCATAGTTAATATAGATTGAGTGAGATGGACACGTTTTCTAGGCAAGATGGCATGGTTAGTGTTGCTTAAAAAAAATTAAAAAAAAGGAAAATTTATGCCACCGTGGTTAAAGAACCCTGGGTCCCCGGAGAGAGACTCTCCTCCCGATTGTGGTTATTCAGGAGACAGAGAGTAGGCAGCCCCGGTTCCTGTGCAGAGAGCAGCCAAGTATCAGCCGGTTGGGAGCTGGGTATGTGTGAGGTCTTCATAGTGAACCGCGGCCGTCATGTGTGTGACTCTGCTTCACCGGATCGTGCCAGCTTGCAGCCTGAATACCCTTGGAGCCGCTTTGTCAGTCAGCTGGTCTCCACTCAAGGTCCTTGGTGTCGATTGGAGCACTCCAGGTCAGGTCTCAGGTTAGGTAGGTTGCTCAAATGATTTCTCCCCAAGTAGTCAGCAGTGAGCGCCAAGAGCCCTGAGGAGGGGCCTCTTCCTCCATAGCGTGCCGGTCAGGCCCAGCCGCCATCTTAGGTGATGTCCCCGGAGTGAAGTCTCTGCTTGGGTAAGAGCCCCAGGGTAGGCCGGGATGACACCCACCAGCCCAAAGGGGGGGAAGCAGGGCCATCACCCCACTGAGTTAGGGGACCCCCATGTTGCAGCCAGGCAGGATAGCAGGGCGGCGGCCGTCCACCCTACCCACCACCTGGATAGGCTTGACTAGGCCTTGGTCTTAGGGTTCCGTGTTCCCCCCAAAAGGGGCCCAGATTCAGGTCGCTGATTGTTCTCCACGACTGGCACTTCTCAGTGCAGTTTCCTGTCGTGACTCGGCTCCAGAAGTTGCGTTTTTGGGACCAAATTGCCTGAGAATAGCAGGAGCTATAGTGCCATGAGTCTGCTCTGCTTGGCGGTCCGGCCCCGCCCCAGTCAGTTTGTGTCTTGAGCAACTTATTTTATATTTTTTATGTCAAAGGGTGATATATAAACAGAAGGCACTCTGTTCCCAGAAAATGTTGTCTTTACAATTTTATAGAACAAATTGAAGGAAGAATTTAATTTCGGATTACATAAAAGTCATTCTTTATGTCACATCTTGCTGACCCAATTTCTGTTTATTAACGTGGATACTGCAGGCTTCTGTTTACAAGAAGCTGGACTGCATTTTTGAACCATGAAAAGGAAGTTATACCCAGTTATAACTTAGCATTACACTTTCTTTAAAAATATATATTTCTCTAAAAGGCTTGTCACAAACATCCTTATATGTACAGAAATACAACAAATAGTACTATTATAAACTCATGTGCATTGTATACACACCATACCTTTCAACTGTCCCGATATTGGGACAATCCAAATTTTAGGGTCCTGTCTGGGGTTTAGGGAACTATCCCCAAAAAGCATAGCAAGAATGCATCATTAGATACGTTCATGTTACACTGTCGGCACAAGGACCATGTAGAGAGAACAAACAACACTCCTTGCATAGACAATTCTCAGTGAGACAGCTTGTTTGATTGGTGAATATACACATGGTTGATTTGCCAGTAATTTAGGCAGATCTACCCCCATTCTGGTCAGTGCCAGTGACGAGATTTGCATCACTAACCCACCCTTTTTCCCCCTTGCCCAATGGCTTCCGGATACTCGTGAAACTGATGCTAGAAGCTATGACATACAGACATGGCTATATAAAATTTTAGGAAAACCAAATGTAGTCAAAGTCTAGTTTTGGACACATGTTTTTTTAGGCAGACGAACACCACTTGTTCCCTTAAGGTGGACCTATTACTTGAAAAGTAGTATGTAAGCAGATCAAGAAAATTAAGTGCATGATCAAAGAGTTTTAAGGGGAGTGGGAGGGGGAGGGAGGGGTATTTCTACAATGTTGCACCATAAACAGGCGTCTTCAACTCAATTAGTGCTGTCAAATGGCTGAGTGTGTACATACACAAATAAGGAAGTTTTCTAAGAATATGCAGGCGTGGCTACAGAGGTAGTCAAATGGTCCAGCATTCTTCAATTCACTTCCAACCCCACACAAAAATGGCAACATATTAGACCCAAACCTATAAAATACACGAAAGAAACTCATGAGAAGCCTTGAAGAAAAAGCCTGCATGGACACAGGCAATCTACACAGTCATTCACTTATCTGTGAACTATATTATCATTTATTAAGTATGAATGACAAGTGCCAAGATCGGCAAAGCCCTTCACTTAAACTTTGAGCTATAATTCAAAGGACACCCTTCACAGATGCCTTATTGGCAGTTGGGAAGATGTGACAGATGTTTTCTAAAAGTATTGATTCTCTCCTGAAATCCGCACCTTTATTAAATAAGCCTTCAGTGTCAGGCAGTTTAACTCTAAAGCAGATCAGCAAGCACGACTACATAAGGGAATTAATGCGAGAACAGCAGCAGCAAACCTTCCTAGAAACTGCACTTACACTATTTTTTTTCAGTATTAAAAAAGGCACTTTTCAAAGAGTCTCTGTTCTGTTGCACACACACAAAAAAATAAAAAGTTTATAAAATGCTAATAATAGAATGTCTTAGAATTTCAACTGAGATTCCAATGCAGTCAAAAGATGTCATAAGACTTACGTTATCCTATGGCAAATGCCTAACTTGACAATACTTAAATTGCTAAGTTTTGACACTTCCCACAGCTGCTATGAAATATCTATAGAGGCTTCAGTGGTCTTGTGGGATCCTCAATAGACATCAGTGTTGTACTCTCGCGCATGTTTGAGAGTAAAGCACTGACATGGACTTGTGGTGAATGAAGCACCAGAAGCTGAAGATATAGAGAGTGCAGCGTCCGTGGGGGACAGCATCAGGTATGTATAAATCACCTCTGGCCACGGCAACACAAGTGACGATGTCAAAATATGCAAAGACCCCAGAAGGTGACTGAGCCACTTTAAATTTAGCCTCCCCCAAAAAAACATTCTCTGCAGTGATTTCAATTCAGGGTGGAAGAATAAACATGTTTGTTTTAATAGACAATTTACAATTTAAAACTCCAACAAATATATTACATCAATATTTCTTCAACAGTCTATTTTTACAGTAAAATCAGATATTTAATTTGTACATTTTGAACATAGCAATGTTTGCATTAACTCAGTGCAGTTACACTGTTAACATTTATAGTAAACTGTTTTATATAGATGCAGATAGCAATAAGGAGATATATTTTAAACAAGCTCTTTCACTGCAGCGTACTAAAGCCGCAGATCTGGGAAGATAACCTTGGTTCACATATACTATACAAGGTAGTTCCATTCATTAAACAGTGAGTTTGGAACAGAAAACACAATTGCAGAGTTTATATAGAAATATAGAGGGGGGGGGAAATACCTCTGATTCTGTTAAAAGCTTTTAATCTATATTTTGCAATTTGGTTTTGAAATCATTGTAATACACCACACAGTTGTAAAAGCTCCATAAGGCAGTCTGTAGCAAACCAATCTGTCTACAGAAAATGAGATTTGATGTATGACTTTGTATAAAATTACTCCAATTAAGACAACCGTCTAAAAACAACATATAAAATGCTATTAACCGCTATTGGGACAGTGTTTTGCAAATTCATATGTAAGAGCAATCTGAAGAATACAGCTAATCACCTAGTCAGCCAACAATCCTTCCCTTTCTTAATAATCTTGCTGCAATGTAAGTGGTTTGTACTGCTTTTTTTAAACTAGTGCATATAAATGTTTTAAGATGCATAGTAAAGGGAACCGTCAAAAACTAGGATTTTTAACTTTCTTATACTTATTTAACATTAATTTGGCATCCTGTCAATCATTGTCTTAAACTTTGCCATTTTCTATCACTGTGCATAGTATGTGGACATAGAAAACAGAAGCAACAATTCTACAGAAAAATGTAGCATCACGTAAAATAGGTTAACGCAAATAATTGTATTCGATTGTGATGGTTCCCCTTTAACGTTTAAGTATAAATGGACAAGAGAGAATCCCATGGACTGTCTTATAAGCCATAATTATAACACCTCCTGCCAAACATTGCACATGGTTTTTATTGTACATTGGATTTTCTGAAAATGGTGCAACATCAGATACGATTCCCCTTTTGTTTTTATATAATCTTTACACGTTTAATGTATTACTAGTGTATTGCATTTTCAGTTATTCAGATTAGATATTAAAAACAAAAATCTACATGTATTTTGTTTTTAAATGTCTGCTTGTTCTCACCATGAGCCATGTTTACAAATCCTGCAAAATACAATGGGTGAAATAATAAAGTTCAATAAAGTCATAATGCACAGAGACTGATACTGAGATACACAAGTTCAGTGCTACCTGAAATCCCAGAATATCACAAAAGGGAGGGTAAATGACTAATCTCAGACACAACAAACTTGTATGTCCCAGTGTTGTCCTATGATTAGACCCCTGAGAAAATTAAATTAGACAAGTTATATGAAATCCTGACAGTCCTGGAAAGTCATTAAGACCTTAATAAAAAAATAAAAAATAATAAAAAACTTTTTAATAATAATGTAATCTGAAACATTTAACACTTTGGTATTGTGTGTTATGAGGTGTCCAGAGCCAAATGGCATTCAATTTCCATAATACACATTCCACTAATGAATATCCTCTACTTACACCTATGTGTGTTTATTTGTATTTATATACATATTGCTTTAATGATACAAAACTAAAAAGTCAGAGTGGACACAGAAATCTAAGGTATCCAGCAATGGGGAGATCTCCATACATGATAGATACATCTTCAGGAGTTTCCTAAAGGATGACATTTTAGGAAAAACATGAAAGCATCAAACATCAAAGTTCTACAGATCTGAACATTGTGTCTTTGGTCTCCCCTTAAATTGTAATTCATTGTACACAAAGCATGATGTGACCAAAATGTCAAGTAGAACTCTGGAACTGCTGGCATAAATTAATAACAATAATGAACTATTTAACCATCATGTTTACATAAATGTCAGGGCACTTAATGTAATAACCCCAATGAACCTTTCACGGTTAGTGATGACTTCAACAAACACATTAAAAATGTAACTATATTCTACAAATCTATAAATCAATAAAAGACCTAGTCAACAAAAGTTAGATGGTCAGAAAAAACAGAAAATGATAACGCTTAGGAGTATATTTTGTGAGCCAAAATTCAATCAACATTTAGTAAAATTAACCGATTTAAAAACCTCTCCAACTCCAAGCTACAGTCACAGTTCAGTTATTTTAGCCTAAATGTTATCATTTGGATTTCAACTCACTGCATTTCAGAATTGTGTGCATAAAGCCCTTTTGTAACAAAGTAACATTTTCTAGACTACACTAGAACTGTGAATTCTGTAGGAAATTTTATGCATTTTACTTACAAAATGTTAACGTGAAACTGTAAATGAAGTAGAGTTTCAGAAAATTAACCGCATATACACCATGACAATATATACTACTGTTAATAAATTCTCTTGTGTGTATTGGGGAGAAACTGGATTGGCCTTACACTCTCCACAGGCTTTGAAAGTTTGCAGGTAGAACCAATTCCAGTCCAGGCTTTAGCAACATTTTCTGCTCCAGTGACTGTTAGCCTTGTCCTACAAATATTTGCCAATCACTGGCAGACAGCATTGCAGGAAACATACAACTGAAGAGACAAATGTTAGATGGCCCTGATTAAGATCATATGCTCTTAATGTCAGATCTTGGATATTACTGGCTGCAACTTCTAAGAAGCTTCCTCACATCTGCCTTTGTAAAGTAAGCCAATGGCCAGGGCCAATGTAATAATATTTAATTCACGCAAATAGAAAAAGACACAAAACCTAGAATATAAATTCAGATAATGCAGTTTGAATCACAACTAGGAGTGTGTGTGTGTGTGTGTGTGTGTAAGTGTGTAAACACACAAGCTCACACTTCATTCATATTTTACTCACAAGAATGACACATGGACATTAAGTTTGTAACATATCATTGCAAAAATATACTTAAGAAATGTAATAACTTAATAAAAACGAGAAATATGGGTTTCAAGACTCATTTGGTTGACTTACAATTACAGGTATACCTCAAATGCTTGAGGAATTTATGCAGTATGCTAGACTAAATTGTGTTCAAATGGCAATTCTTGTGATTAATATGTGTCTGAAGGCAATTTAACAAAAATGATATTCATTGGAGAATATGACAAGTCAGTAGAATGGAACTTAATTCTTCTTTATATTCACTGAGCTATGCCTTCTCACACAAGTTGACATGCATGAATTTAATTCGTACAATAGCCCTTAGTCATTTGTATTATAACGTGCATATTAGGAAGTTACTAAATTTCTAATTTTGCTGTTTTTAGGCAACATTGCAAAAGAGATATTTAAAGAAGCATAAGGGACATCAGAAATGTGATGTTGATGGCTTTGTACAGAAAGATATTTAACACGTGCATTTACAAAGACCAAATATTTGAGAAATTCACAAGAAAGTTACAATCTACCTAGTATTATATATTTTTTTCTCATATTTTCATTTAAAACGAAATGGAATCCTGTCAGTTTGTAGGGGTTGCAACACTGCACTGTACAAATAGTTTTGTGATCCAGGACTCATCCCCCCACTCCCTCCCCCCCCCTTTTTTTTTTCTTCTACTTCAATCTTTGTAAGTATGCATTACCAATCAAAATATATACATATGCAGGATGTCTGAAGCAAAGATTTCTTTATACATATATTCTCTAGCTCCAATTATAAACTTGTTTCTGTCTCCTGCCGTGCTTGTGTTTCCCAGAACTGGGATGTCCTAAAACTTTAAAAGAACAAAATAAATAAAATCATAAATTAAAAAAAAACCAAAAAAAAAAAAACCTCGGTCCCTGATGTATCACAGAAACTTGATTAAGGACTCAGAGCTAGCATACCCAAAGTGTCATCTCTGGCCAAAACATCCACAAAAGGAAATGGATGTAATGTGTACACATGTAACAATGTCAGTAATCTGCCCCAGTTTCCACAAACATGAAAATGCATAGTCAATCTTCCCATACTAGTCCTGTCCACCACTTGCAGACTGTTTTGCAGAAGTCTATTGATGTTAGGCACACAGCAATAACAGGATTGATGTTTGCATTTGTAAATATTTTTTTTCTGCAACAGTCTAGTCTTGTGTTATCAATACTGGTTCTTCGCTGGTTATGTATTAAAGTTGTCCAGAGTTGGCATACTAGAACACAGAGATATGCACAATGTCACTGACAATGCAGGTTCTTCTCAAGCAGATAAAAATCATCTGGGTACTCTCCAAGTTTGGTGAGAGAAAAAAACATTAAACAAATGTTTCAAAATTCTATTCAGGTGAATAAAACCAGCCTTCAGTATTGCAGACAAAAGAGCTTCTCATTGTACCTCCTCTATTTGTCTATTAGCCCATCCTCTTGGTTGAGCCAACCACAAGTACACAAGAATGTTGCAGGGCATAGAGTGGGATTTCTTATGACAAAGAAAACGAACAACAAAAACAAAGTGCTTCAGATGTTGGGTGTGGTAACAGGGCAGTGTCTGGGTGCTTATTTAAAAAAAAATAAAAAATTCATAAAATTTAACGAAAAAACTGTTGTGGACTGATTGAAGCTTTAGGGTGTTGTGTGTCATGATTTTAATGATGCAATGTTGATCCTGCACAACAGTGATGGGAAACATGAGAGTGCATCAGTTCCAGATCCTAGATGAGGTTGTGGAATCAAACTGTGGTGGGGGACAGATGTTTTGGAGGTGCTAAATCCAGCAGGGCCTGCACGGTTCCTGCTACTTCCACCAAACCAGTTTCTTCAAGAATATGGGGAGGCAGACATAGACGGTCCTATACAGGAAAGCAGTGGAAACAGGGACAACAAAAGACAAACAAAATAAAAAAACAAAAAAAACTAAATGAAAATAATGATAACATTAAATAAATGCAATAATACATTGAAACACAATATAGCAAATAAAATAAAGCATAAGTGAAAAAACAAAACGAAAAAAATAAATAAAATCACAAAACTCCTTTGCACTGCAAAACAATAATAATAAATAATCAAACTTGTAAGGAAAGATATAAATTTGAGTCAGTGACAGATTTCATTAGGCATAAAAACACCCAGATGACCATGTGTGGTGAAAAGCAGGAAAGGGTTACAGCAGACAGACACCAAGAGTATGAGTGAAAGCCACATCAATCTCAGCCAAGGAGAAAGAATAAGACACACAGAGAAGATAAGCATCCTTTGAAGTCTGTAGCAAAATTTATTTACAAAAGTTCAGCAAAAAAACAAAGTGCAGTTGGCATAAAAAGACGGAGGGAACAGTACATGTCAATGCTCTGACTTATGGTTAATCCAATACATTTTAATTTTATCCATAACAAGAAATTATCAAAAAATCATTGCTACAACTGGAATGAGAAATTCAGTATGACTAATGGAATAGGTAAGGCAATGTAAACAAAGTTAGCAAAACACCTATTTACCAATTTTTGACTTTCAATTTGCATAATGGAAAGAACACATCCACTGGCATAAAGGTGGCATTGTACTGATCACTTTATTTTGTAAAACTGAGATAACACATGCACTAGTTTCCTCTTCCTCTCACTGCTGTCAATTTCAAGAGAGAAAACAAGGAAGAACACAGACAGGGATATTTACATATTTTACAAAGACAGGAGAAGAAAGAAGACCGTCAAACCCATTTCTTATGCCTCATAAAAGCATGAAACATAATAAGCCCTTGTCAAAATGTAAAAATATAAGTGTCAAGACACCTTAGAATTTTTAATTTGTGGAATTTTGCTGAATGAAATTTAACTGACTTAATTGAGAATTGTCTTCTGATATGGGTTACGGGTAAAGACTAGTCACCAAACAAAATGTTTACATTAAAGAGAAACAAAGGGTTAAACTTGTAACCTTTTCATAATGCATGAAAATAAACTTGAAATAAAATACTTTTCAAGATCACCACACCAAGACACCATACAGCTAAGATAATCAACTACTTCACAGACATTATCCTCGGCAGGATGATGCGCCACATATAAGAAGCCTTTAATGCTGGTCTATCTATGGGCCTGACCTTATTACATAAACCTCTGTCCAGCAGCAGTTTAAGGGATAAATACTTATCAACCATCAGAGTTCCACTCATCATTCTTTAAAGTGACACACCAAAATGGCAGTGATACCTATTTTTTAATGCATTATAAAAACAAGGCATTACCAATAATGATAAAACAACACCCACAAACCTCACCATTGAAGTTTTGTATTAGACTCTGCCCAGAGGGTCTCATTTTTCTCAATAGAGTCTCAAATTTTCCAATAAATTCCAAACCAGCAGGGGTTTGAATGATATATATGATGATACAATGGATAGATACCTAAATTGTTAGCTGCTGGCACTATCATTGTGTTGCCTCACTCAGAGAACCTGTAAAGGGAGGTAGGGACTATAAAGATCTACTCTGGAACAGTGTATACACACCATACAAATACTGCAGCAGGCTCATGGGTGAAGTGAATTTTGCAAATCTGTTCTGTAATAAGCAGCAGTGTGCAATTAGACAGTGCACCATTATCTAAGGAGGATAGGTTCTGGTGATTGGAGTGTCGCTCTAGAATTTATGTGAGTTTTGAAGAAACGTTATAATAGTAGGGCATTCAAAACTTATAACGACTTGATGTTAAAATAAGGTTACAGTCGCTTAAACTGTGCAGTAAATTGTGGTTCAAGAAGCTTATCCCCATCATACCTTATTAGCCACGCAAACATACAACTAGCTACAGTCTCACATAAACACACAAGGTTAACTGCATGAAAAATATACTGAATACAGTCTTCCTCTGGTTAGCTCCCTTGGAAATGTACATCACTGAAAAGTTAGAAACACATACACACAAATATACATTTAAAAGAAGAAATAAAGAATTGTTATGCTTTCCAATGCTTTAACACTCTATGCCACTGTGATGTGTTTCAAGTAGTATCCAGAGGGGGAAGAAAAGCTTTAAGATGGGTTTACATTTTCTATCCTCCTTTATAATATCACACAACCTTTCGTTAAATCAGTCTAACATTTAAGGACAATTTTGGTTGTAGTGCAGAGCATTAACAACCCCAGCAAAGAAGGCACTGGATTATCACAGTTAAGTCACTATTCCAAGTAGTGATGCAGAAGACGATTTAGAAGAACACCTCAGTACACATCAGCTCAGATAGCACAGTTTCTTTCCTGAAATATCTGGTGCATGTTGATTCACAGATACTCTCAATGTCTTACCTGCTGTGGTAGAGAATCAGAAAGAAACTGTATAAAACTTTGGTAGAAATAAATCCAATTTGGATGTCTGAAGCACCAAATCTAGTTATCTAGGGACATTCCTTTGCATAGGTATAACAGCTCGTAAATATTATAGGCAGCTGTTAATAGGTGAAGACATGCTACATGGATTTCCTCAAAATATTTGAGCAGTACAAGTGGAGCTTCATTTTACTGGCAAAACCTTAGTGGGGATACTTGTATTATTCTTTGGAATAAACTGATGTGGAAGGTTTAAGGCTTCCATTGTTAATGTTCAGTAAATACAGCATATAATAAGGTATTTGTGCAAATAACTGGACACCTAGTAGCATGGAGGGTAGAAAATACAGTTCTACCCCTCATTAACAGTCAAAGCATGTAAGCAATATAGGTGGTCTCTTTTTTTTCCAGTGTATTCTTTAACAATCATTTTGTGGTACCTGAGGCTGACCTTCATTTCCTAGATGTTTGCAAAAAATACTCTCTGAAGCCTCAGATTATGGCTTCTTCTTTGTCCCTTAATGAAGGTTTTATTAACAATACTTGTGACCATCTCTTACAGTAGCAACTCAACACTGAAATTGTGCTTTATGAGCAAGATTTTTGTGGAAGAATAGAAACGGTTAGGATTTTAATAAAACCCATCTCATAAGTTAGTAGAAAGCGTACCCCCCGCCTCTTCAAGCCTTTGTCCAGAAGGTAAAAACCCAGCGATAGAGCAGGAAGAGAAGAAGCATAAGGGTGCAGTAAAACACCCCAAAACCCAGGAGGTGGGAGGGAAGAGCAGGTGCTTGTGAGCCTTCTCCAAAAGAGAGAAGACTTTCCAGAGTCCCCATAACGCTGCAGAAGTTTAGCTGGAGGATATCTGAAGGAAGACAAACTTTGTCCTGTCCAGAAGGGGTGAGCAGGGAAGGAAAAACAGAAACGCAGAGTCAGTCATGCAAACACCAACATGCAGTTAGAGTCACATCACTGCAGATTTTAGAACCACAAATAGGGTAGACAAGCCAGGAGAATAGGCCACAGACAGCAAATGTTCTTACCCCATATTAGAAATCAGCATGACAAAGCATTTTCCAGTTTAACTTGTTACATAAAGTTATCTGTTAACACTGTATTACTCCTTTCAATCCTATGTCATAACTATTATGTTGACTACTAATTCATTATTACTCTATGGTCAAATATTCATAATGGTGATTAATGTCCTGATATAAAAGCCAAAATCCCCAGCACTTTTCTACAAATGTTCAGTGTGTTTCTTGCAAACTGTTTACTATTCCCAAGAACACCCAGGAAAGTAGAAGGACAGAAAAGATTGTGACAGAGTTAACCAAGATAGAAATTACAGAGACAAAAAGTAAAATAGACAAAACAATTTTACTAAAATTACACTAAAGGTTATTTTAACTTTTGCTTCATAGTTTCACAGTTTCTGCAAAAGAAAGATGCGTATTATGCAAACTCCATGGATTCCATGTAGAGTAATCATAGGTGCAGCCATTAATTGGTTTATGTATTCCAGGTACACAGTTGTTTACTCACCTATGCTGCATTTTAGCCCTCTATCAAACCATAATGATTCCTTGGGTGGATAATTAAAAACTGCCAGAATGTTGAGACCACTCCTGTTTAATCTTCCTCAATTACAAAAAAATATATATATTTTCTCTTCCAATTGAAATTATGTAGTACACAGCTAGACAAATTTACTTTGAATCTAGAAGTCAGATTTTTTTTTTTTTTTTAAACTAACAAAGCTTTAAACGTGTATAGGGACACTAGTGTCACTAGAACCACTACAGTTTAATATAGTGGATCTGGTGTCTATAGATTGTACATGCAGGCTTTTCAATGTAAATACCGCCTTTTGAGAGAAAAGGTAGTGTTTATATTACTGTCTAGTAGCACTTCTAGTGGCAGTCACTAAGACGGCCACTAGAGGTGCTTTCTAGTCCAGTGCTGCAGCTACATTCAGTGTCTTCACACTCTGCATGAAAGCAGTGAAGAATTCCCTTAGAGATGCACTTATTCGATGCATCCCTAAGAGTAGATGCCGAATGGCACAGAGTGGCATTTTGCTGCACCTGCACAATAGCCTCCCAGTGATTTCCTGTGAGTGTTTACGATTTTGAGATGATCACGACTGGTTATCTCAGTCATGGAGGCAGGGCCAGCTGCAGCAAGACGAACACAGTGTGAAAAAAAAGGAAAAAAGGGTAAAAACACCTTTCCCATGCAATCATAGGGAGGCTGGTCATCTAAACAGACCAACTGACTGACAGACACATACATTTACTGACACATACACACTGATTTGACACACTCTGACAGACACACACACTCAATGATTTGACTTACATTTTTCCCATACTCCCACATTGTTATTTTTTTTTTTATTATTTTTATGTCCACCCAACCTCCCTACCTAGCATTTATTTTTACTACTTTACTATACCCAAAGAAGTTAAGCTTAAGTGGGAAAGTATTTGGAATTTCATCCCGTTTGTTCTATCCTACTGGGATACAAAAAGGGAAATTTGTCAAGGATTTACAAATATGACCAGGAAGACAAATTAGGTGGGTGAAATACTCAAAACACTTATGAAAATACCTTGTGAGGAAGGAAGCAAGGTACATTTAAAAAAATTAAGGAAATGTAACTTGTTTTCAAGCACTAACACGTATTTTTACTAGAACCTCAAACCACTGAAAGAGAAAATCCAAATTTCTAGCAAACATGGAACACAAGTTACAGTAGTACTGCAAATCGTGGGCAGATGAACAGGTGCTATCCATACCTGAGGAACACCTATTTTTCTGCAAGCTTCAAGGAAGTTTTCCACATTTCGTCTGCATTTTGCCATAGTGAGCTTTGGCTATTAAAGAGAGAAATTATTATTTAGGAGGAACCGTGCACACTCTTGCCTCTTTTAAAAAAAAAAAACTACTGCTATACTTACAACAGCTGGCGAAGGAACATGGATACTTGGTACTGATCTAGGCCGTACGTGATTGGCTAAATGGCACAGGACCACACCATCTGTCAGGGCAGCTCCCAAGTCGTCGGGGAGGGAAACTTTTAACCGTGACTCAATGTTCTAAAGAATATAAAATATCTTGTCTTACAAATAAATCCATAGGCATCTGCAATAAGGTAAGCTATGCACATTACCGATCATCTGTATACAAATAATAATTAGCATAATTAGCATTAGCCAAACAAAGCAGTAATCAAATTCAAGATGAGAAGCATTCTTATTGCAGATATAACTACAAAAATACTCTCCCAAACAAAATCCTAATCACAGTTCAGCAATGAGAACCTCTATGGCCTAATGTTTGAAAAATACTTGATCAAAACTGATCCCAAAAAGGCAAACACTGATTTTGAGTTAAAAGACTGAGAAGGAGCCAAATCTACTCACACAAACTGAGATAAGCTAAATCTTTTACAGGTCCCACCTCTAGGACTAAAAAGTAAGGTTGGGTACTAGTATCACTCCATGAAGTGATAGCCTCCATAATAGCCATTTGTGTAATAAGGAGGCTTTCTAAGGCAAAGCACCATCCCACAATGGAGAAATTATGAACACATATTGCGACTAATGCTAAACTAGTCAATCCACAAATCATAGTATGCAAAGAACATCAACGCTAAAATTAAAAATTAAAAGTATCACTAACTCAGAAGCCGTGTAAACCCTGGAATAGGCATTATACGTAAAGAGATACTCTAAGAAGAGCAAGCACCAGGACACATTTAGCTTTATGATGCAATTATAGTGTACAGATACAATTAGGTTCGGAAATATTTGGACACTAACACAATTTTCATAATTTTGGCTCTATACGCCACCACAATGTATTTAAAATTAAACAACCGAGATACATTATAAGTACAGACTTTCAGTTTTAATTTAAGAGGTTGAACAAATATATTGTTTGAAACATTTAGGAATTGCATCCATTTTCATACACAGTTCCTTTATCAGGGGCTCAAGTGTAATTGGACAAATTAACACAATCATAAATAAAACGCATGGAAATCACCAAACGCTCCTTTGTGGTGCTTTGACAGGCCTTTACTGCATCTTGTTTATTCATCGGTCTTTCTGCCTAAAGATTTGTCTTCAGCCAGTGAAATACAAGCTCGATCGGATTGAGATCGCATTACTGACCCGGCCATTGCAGAATATTCCACCTTCTTTGCCTTAAAAAAAAATCTCCTGGGTTACTTTTGCAGTATGTTGTGGGTCATTGTCCATCTGTAAAGTGAAGAGCCGTCCAATAAACTTCACTGAATTTGACAATCTGAGCAGGCAATATATCCCTATACACTTCAGAATTCATTCAGCTGCTTCTGTCACATCATCAATAAACTCTAATGACCCAATACCATTGGAAGCAATGCATGCCCATGCCATCACATTGCCTCCACCGTATTTTACAAACGATGTGGTATGCTTCAGATCATGAGCTATTCCAAGCCTTCTCCAAACTTTTTTCTTCCCATCATTCTGGCACAGGACAATCGTAGTTTAATCTGTCCAAAGAATGCTGTTCCAGAACCAAGCTGTCTTTTTTAAATTTATTTTTTTAATGTTTTTTGGCAAAGTCTAATGTGGCCTTTCTATTCTTGGGACTTATGAAAGGTTTGCTCCTTGTGGTGAACCATCTGAATTTCCTCTTCTGAAGTCTTCTCTTTATGGTAGAAATGAATATGCCTACCTCTTGAAGAGTGATGGTCACTTGGTTAAATGTTGTGAAGGGGTCTTTCACTATTTCACTGTTTTCCATGGACCTTCAGACCTTTTTTGTCTTGCAGAGCTCACTAGTGTGGTTTTTAATTCTCAGAATGTAATAAGTGTTGATTTGGCCACTCCTGCTATCTCTTTTTTTTTTGCCAACCTAAGGATGGCCTGTTTCACTTGCATTGGGAGCTCCTTTGAACACATGTTGAGGGTTCACAGCAACAGCTTCCAAATGCAAATGCCACACCTAGAATCAACTCCAGATCTTTTACCTGCTTAATGGATGAAGAAATAACAAAGGAATAGTCACCAGTTCATGAAATAGATTTTGAGTCAATTGTCCAATTACTTTGGTCCTTTGAAAAAGAGGGGGCTACATATCAAATGCCTAAACCTAATTTGGATTTGAATACCCTCAAATTAAAGCTGAGAGACTGCACTTTAAGCTCATATTCATTATTTAACTGTAACTTGAATTTATTTTGGAAAACAGCCAAAATAACAAAACTTGTGTCAGTGTCCAAATATTTCCAGACCTAACTGTAGAAGTTAAATCGCTTTGTTTACGCAACTTTTGCCACCCCTACCTGTCTGTGACTTACACCGTATCCATGAGAAAAAAATAAATTAAAAGTTCTTATTGCCTGCCCATTAACTGAACTTTACTAACACAAATGAGACAACTGCAGGCTCCAACAGAGCAGAAAAAAGTCTAAATCAAAAACACTGCAATAAGCAAAGCAGTTAATGCTCTAGCTGTGCTCTGCATTATACCATAGTGTGTTTAGAGTTCAAATACTTACCTTCCTTAGCATTTCCGTCACTTCCACTTCTTCTTGTCTTAATTTAGGACTGTGTGTTGTTCTTGAAGTTGCAGACTCACTGGGAGAAGCATTGGGTGGTGGGGTGTTACCTAAACAGAAGCAACATTTTCAATAGGCTATTACTTGGATTAAAAACAGGTGGAAAGCACAACACTATTGCATAGTAAAGCAAAGACAAGGCTAAAGGTTAAATGTCCATTACAAAAGCAAACAGAATAAGACAATCCTCCAAATGACCAGCTAAAAGTGAGCACACAAGACTCCACAGGAATACAGGAATCCATTCTGCATTTTGGAATTAAGCATGAAGGTACAACAGTGATGTTTGAGAAACAACACCATCCAAACAAGGGGTGCAACCCTTGCTTACTACTATATGGATATGCCCTTTCTGTAATTTGTGATACATAGCACTGGCCTCACATAATATTCATTTACACACTACTACTTGTATTGGTTTTTCTATAGAATTTTCATCTGCCATTGTTATTTAAACAACCACTGGAAGGAATGTAATGTTGATGAGAAATCTTTAAACAAACACGGGAGAATATAATTCAGTCTATTGTATGGACACCATGTGTGGATTGGTAATTTTATACACTATTTGAAAAAAATTCTGAAATATATATGATGTTTCAAAGCTGTTAGACCAGGCAGCTGCTACTTGCCTCTCTTAACTTCTTCTCGCACCGCAGCTCTAAACAAAAAACTCTCGGGCCGTTGTGGGGAGTATCGGTAAGCAGAGGAAGAAGCTGAAGAGTAATGACATGTTGAGAAAACAAATTAATTCATTCTTGTAAACAACATATAAAGCCCCTAACAACCATAGGACACTGTAGGGAAAGAGTACATTCTGTACCATTTAATAAGTTAAGGTTATCATTACTATGTTACTAACGCTGAATATAGTCTAAAGAAAGGGTTGTCATTATTCACTGTCTGCCCTCCAGAGCAAGGCAATGCTGCCTTAATTGTATGGTGATGATGTAATTTGGTTCTCTTATTACTAACCTATCTTCACTGTTGTGCAAAGTCTTAGTACATTTTGTGTACAATAACCCACCTCAAACGAACTAGGGACTGCTACTTTGAAGTAGAAAAGAAAACAGAGCCAGTCAGTAGATGAAACACATGTAAACCCTTTGCACTTTGCTCATTAAATTGATAGTTCCAGCTACTTTGAAAGGTAACTATAACAATTACTGACGGCAAACTGTTCCTTCCCTAAACTAAATTACCTCCTTGTAAACATTGCTTTGAAATTAACCATTTTACCTGCCTGAGGCCACAAAGTTTACATATGTGAATAAAAAAATGCAATGTGTATTAAATAATCAATTTTTTTAATCCTAAACATACACACCTGAAGGCAGAAATTCACTAAGGGTTTTTCTCACTTTGTGTTACAATTCATTGAAAAGTCCATATAAAGGTAATAAAGCATCTGAGATTTAAATACTTGTGGTTTCATTCAGTAAATGGAACTTGGCTTATTATGCCATTAAAGAAGTGTGTAAAAAAAAAAAAAATACATGGTAGAATTGATGGTTTCCCTATCCTGTTACATAGGTATCTCAATGAGAATGGCACAGACAACACTTTGCTCAATTGTGCAACCGTAAAAGTACCATGAAATCGGGGTCTATTAAAGGCAGTTGTGCAGCCCTGTCCATTTTCTTAGTGTTTGGCAGACACGCAATAATTAAACATTTTTTTTTTATAATTTAGGTCTTTGCTTTCAAGGGATACCACAGGCACCCAGAACACTTCTGCCCATTGGAGTTGTCTGGGTGCCAACTCCCACCACTTGAACCCTCCAAGTGTAATTATTGCAATTTTTATAAACTGCAATAATTACCTTGCAGGGTTACGTCCTCCTCTAGTGGCTGTCTGTCAGACAGCCACTAGAGCGACTTCCGTGTTCTTAGAACTATGCATGAGGACCTCAAGCGTCGCCAGAATCCCCATAGGAAAGCATTGAATAATGCTTTCCTATGGGGAGGTTTAATGCGTGTGTGCGTGCGCAGCCATTGCCACGCATTCGCATTCGGTCTTCCTCGCCGGCTGATGGCAGGGGAGGAGCGTGGGTGGAGCCTGACCCAGCGCTGAGGGAAATCGGCGCTGGATTCAGGTAAGTTACTGAAGGGTTCATGGGATGAGGAGTGGGAGGGAGAGGGGCACTGCAGGCCAGGAAAACAAATATGTTTTCCTGGCACTGGAGAGTCCCTTTAAGAGGCTTAGTTTTGCTATTTTCACAATTTTGACACTCTTGCAGTTCTTCCCAAATACTAATAGGAGAGATTTCATCCCAGAACAGCAAAATATAAAGGAGGACTTAGATAAATTACAGGGTTGTTGCTACAATGACACTTGTCGCTTAGAAGTTTTTCTTTTTGACAATAATTTTTTTTTTTTTTCTTCCCTTTACACTTCATATACCTCTTATCAGATGTGCAATATGAACTGCAAAACCTTGAGAGAAAAAAAAAAAAAGGATGATGGCTGTCAGGATTGACACTATACTCATTTTTCAAAGGGGTGGGGGAGGACAGTTTTGCTTTAAAGCTGCTTTAAAGGGACTCTCCAGTGCCAGGAAAACATTCTGTTTTCCTAGCACTGCAGGTCCCCTCTCCCTCCCACCTCCCATCCCCGGTTGCTGAAGGGGTGAAAAAACCTGTCCCGTGTCACTGCTTCTTCCTCCGCCGCCGCTCCTCCCCTTCATTAAGTCAGCCGGGACTTTAGCGACGCTGGAGGTCCTCACACAGCGTGAGGATGGCCAGCGACGCTATAGCACACATAATCTGTGCTATGATCCCAGAAGTGCCCTCTAGTGGTTGTCTAGTAGACAGCCACTAGGGGAGGACTTAACCCTGCAAGGTAATTATTGCAGTTTATGAAAACTGCAATAATTACAGTTGTAGGGTTAAGAGTAGTGGGAGTTGGCACCCAGACAACTCCAATGGGCAGAAGTGGTCTGGGTGCCTGGAGTGTCCCTTTAAAGCTTAAATTTATTTATGTATAACTATTTATTTACAATAGGACACTGATCATCAGTTAGGCTTACTTGTCTGAGAAGCAGGTGAAACTGCAGTAAGAGACGATCGCTCATCGGTCTGTAGGTAAAACAGAAGTATAACGAATATTAAATACAACCTGCAATATAGCAAAATTACTCATTATAACCAAACATGGCATTCTGCTGATTTAAATGACATCTGTACATATAAGCAAGACATTCAAGAATCCAAACTATATTAACCATGCAATGTAAAAGCTAAATCTGTTATGACATTTCAATATATACCGTATATACTAGAGTATAAGTTGAGTTTTTCAGCACATTTTTTGTGCTGAAAAACCCCCACTCAACTTATACTCGAGTCAATGTCTGTATTATGGCAACTTACATTGCCATAATACAGACCAGGACCGCCGGGCTCATTCCAAGCCCGGCAGTCCTGGTGGGGGCTGGCAGCGAGCTGTAACTTACCTTTCCTGCAGCTCCTATCAGCTCCCTTCTCTCTCCTTCGGTCCGGTCAGCTCCCCTGTCAGCTCGCGAGACTTGCAGTGGAGCTGACAGGGGAGCTGACCGGACCGGAGGAGAGAGAAGGGAGCTGACACAGCCCATCCACTGGACCACCAGGGAATGAGAGCCCCTCTCCCCGGCCAGCTAACAAGCAGGAAGGGGGGACAAAAAAAAATAAAAAAAAAATTATTAAAATAAAATAATAATAAAATAAAATAAAAATAATAATAATAGAACAACAAAAAAAAAAATATTAAAATAATAATAAAAAAAAAATAATAAAAATGCCCACCCCCCACCAAGGCTCTGCATCACATACACACACACACTGCATTCACACACACACAGCATTCACACACACACACACTGCATTCACACACACACTATGTAAATAAATAAATATTTAATTAATATAATTTTTGGGGGATCTAATTTTATTTAGAAATTTACCAGTAGTTGCTGCATTTCCCACCCTAGGCTTATACTCGAGTCAATAAGTTTTCCCAGCTTTTTTTGGGTAAAAGTAGGGGTCTCGAATATTCGGGTCGACTTATACTCGAGTATATACGGTACAAATATAAGAAATGCGGTATCTATTTCTACACCATACGCAAATAATGAAATTTCCTTGTTACATTTCCCTTCCTTTGGTTGCATTATAGCAGGAAATGACAGCTGTGCAGTATTAACAGGGCATGTGGGAGTTTCAGCACGACAGGAAATACCAAGATACCAGTAGTCTGCATGCTTGATTCACCTGCATGTGGTTTCCTGGCCTCCTCTTAATGGTATTGGTGCTATTGTCAACCTCAAAGAAAAAGAGTGGCTCAAAGCCATTCTGTCAGCGGCAGAGAGAGAGAAACAAACAGAAAAGAAATATGGAAAGAAGTTGTACGAAGTTGTTAGGATGTACAGAAACAAAGTGTAAAGCAGAACAATTAATATTAGTACAATGTAAGCAAAGATCACAGAAAGTTTATAGATACAAAGAAGATATGCATTTGAACTAACAAACTCATATCATAGGGATACAAGCAATTCCTATATTTAGAACACCTATATTAATTCAAAGGAAAAAAAACGTAAAAAAAATCTAAAAACTATTCCTAGCATAAAACATTTATTATGCGGTAAACATCAGCATTGTAGCATTTGTCAAATCAGTCAGGGACGTTCTCACTTGGTAGTGAATATAAATATTTACTGGCATTCTTATCTGTAAAGTGTCTATTCATTAGAATGTTAGCTTGTTTGAGATGGGCCCACAGCACCTACTCTACCTTTATGTCCAACTGGATTTGCTGCGAATACTTGTTTGTTATTACACCAATTCTGCAGCACTGCATTATTTGTTGGCATTTATAATAATAATAATAATAATAATAATAATAATAATAATAATAGGGACAATTACCCACAAATACTGTTTTCAGAATACTTATAATATAAAACAGATCAGCCCAGAGTGCTACCAATCAGCATGACAGTTAGGGGTCTTCCCACAACGCCATTTCAAACATAGCTAAGATGCCATCAAAGCACATGTTCGACTTAAAATACACAAATACACTGAAAAATGCTTTGTTGGAATAAAAGGATAATGGACTCGTTTGTCCAGTGTCAATGAGCACATACTTGGGCCCCATACATCAGGACTATGTGAAACTTAAATAAAGAAAATACACAAACAAAAAAAGTAAAAACAATGGAAAAAGTTAAAACACAAGAATATATGCACATGCCAAAAGAACAGATTACAAGGAGAATATAGCATAATTAAAGGTTAAACACAATATAGTCCTGCACAAAAATGATTAATGGAACACTATAGGGTCAGGAACACAAATGTATTCGTGACCGTGTAGTGTTAAAATCTCTCCTCCCTAGAAAGGGATAATTTTTTTTATTTTTTTTTACAGGGCTGCACGAGACCACAGACGCTGTCCCCGCCACCAACCCGCCTTTTTAGCTGACATTATTAGAATTGATGATCTCAGCCAATCCCTTCCCTATAGGGAAAGCATTGGACTGGCTGACATTGTCAAGAAGGCGGTGTGGGGACAGGGTTAAATGCCGGCCTGGCCAATCAGCATCTCCTCATAGAGAAGCACTGAATCAATGCATCTCTATGAGGAAAGTTCAGCGTCTCCATGCAGAGCGTGGAGACACTGAACCGCAGTGCTGCACTGCCCCATGAAGCACTTGTAGTAGCCATCTGAGAAGTGGCCACTGGAAGTGTGCCTAGGCTTTAATGTAAACACTGCTTTTTCTCTGAAAAGACAGTGTTTGCATGAAAATGCCTGCAGGGACTGTCTATACTCACCAGAACAACTACATTAAGCTGTAGTTGTTCTGGTGACTATAGTGTCTCTTTAATTGTAGTCATCAGACAGAACAACTCACTTGTTAAAGAGAAGTAATAACATTTCACATGGTTCTACGCAGGTTACCGGATTTCCCACCCACCTTCACTCTTAGTATGGAGATGGTGAATGGGGGCCAAGCATCCTCATATCGTGTGCCCCTCCCCCCCGAAAACCAGGATGCAATGTCCAGAGCTCTGTATAAGCTGGACAACCTATTTAAAGAATTCTGGACGAAGCTGCAACTCGGGTACCTTATGCCTGTCCCACAAGCCTCACCACCGTACTCACCTGAGAGGTCCCCTCGATGTCCCAGGATCAACACTTGGCTTTGGGCTGTCTGGCAGTGCGCCTCAGGTGGCAAAGACTGCATTGGCCACATATACAGGGAAGGCGTTGCATAGGCCTGCACTGGAGCTGGGCTCATACAAGCTGAGCCCTGGATTACCAAGCGGGCTGGAGCAAGGAGGAGTATACAGAGGACGACATAGGGGTTGCTCTACCATCCTGGTACCATATCGCAAACACGTGTGGCACTTCTCTTGCTGAACAGTACTATTTTGGAGGGACTGTTTCCTGGCAGGAATAGGCTGAATGGCATACGGGAGGTCTTCATTTATCTCCCCTCATGACTAGACTAGCTGATTTACGGAGGAGCTTTAGTTTGAAGGTTTCCTATACTCTTTTTTTATTGATGTTCTTTATGCCATTTTCTATCAGGTTTTGGAAATTAGCATTTTGCAACTCATATGAAATGTGTTACTTTGTAATGCGATGCACAAACAAAAATAAGGTACAAAAAAAAAAATGGAAATGGATTAGAAGACAGGCAGGGTAGAGACGCGAGTAGGCGGGGGTAAAGGTAGAGAGAAGCAAGTAGGTGGTGGTAGAGAAAGGAAAGCAAGCAGAGGGGAAGAGAAAGAGACGCAAGTGAAGGTGGTAAAGGGAGAGACGCAAGTTGAGGGAGTAAATGGACAGACGCAATAGGAGGGGGTAAAGGGACAGACAATTGAAAGGGTAGAAGGAGACAGACAATTGAAAGGGTAGAAGGAGACAGACAAATAGAGGAGGTAGAGGAAGAGGGTATGTGACAAAACACTCCAAAATAAAACACTCCTGCATTGACACACAATGCTACAAGTACTTGTTCAATTCACTAATGCTTCAAACACAGTAACAGTAACATCTTAAAAATATATCCATTTGTTTACACAAATTGGAATTATACATAAATATATCTATATTTACTCATATACAAATGTAAAAAAATAAAATAAAATTAATAAATAAAATAAAAATCAACAATTGCAATCACACATTCCATAGACTATATTCCCACAGATTACACAAAAAATCCATACATTTCAGATTGCAACACTATGCACTAATACAAACGTGAATTAACACAAACTTGAGGTACTAACACACAATTCCTTATATTCACACACTAACAGGCTGCAGCTATGTACAAATGCTTGTTTGTATCTTGCCATCACACACAAATACAAGCCTATATTAAAAAAAAACCTGACACGATACCCATATACATCCCATTGGGAAACAATGTTCAAATACACAAGCTTTCACTACTCACAAAATATTACTGTGTTTGACCACTTAAAAGCATTATTAAATTCAAGCATACTAGCATTACCAGAAAATCCACACAAACATTTACAGTGATTATATGCAAACACACAAAATGGCACCTACATTCATCCTGACAAGATAGACTCAAACGTGCATACACATGGGGTACACTATATGCAAACATGGCATTGTGGAGAACTGACAAGGGAATCCTTTCTTATCAAGTTTCCATGAAGGGGGCACAGAGCCCATGTTTGCCCTGGGTTCAGATTGTTCTCATTCTGTCCCTGCTTGGGATAGAATGACAAAAAACAAAAGCCAAACCCGGTTGTTGAGGATTTATCAGCCAGCATATAAGAGAGTGTGAACTACAGCTCTCACAGCTAAGGCATGCAGACCAATCTATGTATAGATCAAGGAATTGAATAATGCTGGAAGTATTAGCAACATGGAGTACAAGCCAAAGCCATACAAGCAGTCGTTTGGTCCTGATTGAGTTGAAGAGTACTCTATCAAGTTAATCAGATACATTTAAATACTGCACCCCACCTCCCCCCTTTTTAGAATAGTATTTCATAAAGATGAAATCATTATGAAATACTCATTATGACTGTGTTGGTATCTCACTGAAATTCCAACCCAGCAAGAGATATACAGAGACAAAGTAGGAACTACTTTGTCTCTGTATTTCTCCTCTGCCTGACTTGCTTAGGCTTAGGGCTGAGTCTAAGTGTTAATCCTCACAGCTGTCACCAGTGCCTGGTCATGTGCGAGAGACCACCAGTAACGTCGACTCCTGATGCTGAAGCACCAGGAGCGGAAGAGGAGCAGACCAACAACAAGGGACAGGTTCAGGTAAGTAAATCTTATATCACCTACTACCTCTTCTCCACCCCACCCAGCGACAATGTCACCATCGGAGGTCTGCGCATTAGGCAAAGTCCCCAGGTGGTGATAGTTCAGTTTCAAGTCACTGATCAAATACACCTTCCAGTACAATGAAGCATAAATGACTACCATACATACTATGAGGGGCATATTAACATTCCAAAGGTTACAGTAAATCACCAGCTAAGACAAGCACTAAGATTCGTGTTGTACAAGGCCATATTATCTGTTTACCAATCATCGGTGGGAAATGACATCAATATTCTAAGCAACCCGTAGTTAACTCTGTGGTAAGCATACCAATTCCAGCAACCATTCTTAATGATGTATATGTAAATTGCAATCCAACTAACTATAATGTGGCAGATTATTCAATAATTGTATGAAGGAGCACCAGATAAAAGTGAGTGTTTACGTAAAGTAGCCAATTATGGGATTAATGAACATATTTTAGATGATCTATATAGCATTCATCTCAAATCGGTAAGCAGTTATACTTGTAATTTTAACTACAGCTATGCAGAAGACAAATGCACTTAGTCACTTCTTGGTATAGCACCAAGTGTAAATACATGGTTTATATGCTTCCCCATGCATTTGGGTCCCAATAATTCCATGTAGGATTGAGCCATGCTGAATTTACACACTGGATTGTGGCAGATTATTCCATGCACAGTTCTTACCACTAACAAGGCACTATCATCTGTGTGCTGGGAGCGTCTGGATGGGAGGGGACACTGGGATGAAAGCAGGGAGAGATGGAGCAATGTCAGAAACACACACACACACAAACAAGGCAAAAATAAAACAAGCAGTAAAATGAGGATGAGAACACAAAAAATGGCAATGTCCTATGAAAACTGAAAAAAAACAAAAAAACAAAGTGTGTCAGTTTATAAAATAGAGAAGAAAAAAGTGGAAATTAGGCATGTGCATCCATTGATTCACTTGGCATAGAACATCTTTTGATTCATTTTTAAACTGATTGTTTCGTCTATAAATGAATTGTATGGGTTCTATGTCAGATTAATCAATTTGTTGTCAAACTAATCGACATACTTAATTGTAATGCTACTTCAACATATCACTTTGTCCCCAGATCTAGTCACAGCAAAAAGGTCATTCATGCACTCTTTTACTTGAGTTTGAAGTACTGCCCGATGCTAAATATAACACTCATTAAAAAAAGCAGTCCCTACTTCTAACAAAAAAAGAGAGACAAGGAGAAAGAGAGAGAATAATCATTGAGTATTAAAGAGATCAAGGCAGTTGACGGGTGGTGAACAACGCTATTATATTGCTTCACCCCCTTTGAATGATCACCATAGTAACATAATAAAGTCTCTCTAAGACTGTAAAGTAAGTTTAAGTAAATGAGGATCCCAAAGCCATCAATGAGGTGACTTGAAATTCAGGCATATAAGAGAGCTTTAAAACATGAGTAGGTGAGGGCACAACATGCATTGCTCAATTAACTATGCTATAGTCAAGCAACAGAAGGTGAACTCTTTCACTGACAGAAAAAAATGTGAATTTTTTTGCACTAGTTTAGTAAAGTGTTTGTCAGTTGAATCCCCAAATCATTATTGCTGATTACCTTTATGAGGTTTGTCATCATTGTTTAATAGATAAACACCCGTTGGGCAGCAGTACACACTAAAGACTATATCAAAACTTTATTGAATGCGGACTAGGTAAGTGTAACCCATAGTCTATTGCCTTCGGAAAAGATGTGATAAATATGGCAGGCTCATTCAATTATCTGGATGTAGGAAGACACTAAAAATAATATTTTCTCCTGATACCAGTTATCAGCAAGTAGGAACATGCACCATCACCAATTGGATTTTCTGTGTTTTCATCAAACAACCTATTAGTATAGTTTAAAGCATTTCAAATGTACTATTAGACAATACTCATAAATAAGTGGTCACAACAATGTTAGTATCTTATGCGGACATGCTAGTGGAGGTGTTCGTTGAAATTAAACTACTATTATTTTTTTTTAACAATTAATTACATCATTTTAATATGTGCTAACTAAAATATGATATTGTTGAATAATTTCCTTTAAGAAATGTTCTTTCAAAAACAAACAAAAAAATAGCTATACAAATCCCTAACATTCATTATGGTGTAACCATGGTGGCATGCAACTGTGCAGCAATAACAAAAGAATATTATTTAAAGTATAAATCCAGAAAAGCAGAGTGTTCAGGCACTTTAGATTATTGTTGTAATAATATAATGATCCATGAAGTGCCAACCCAGCATTCTTCTGAAGTGCCCAACTTGCTCTTTTAAGTTATGCCAAGTGCTAATGAGATATATAGCCTGCTCCAAGTGAGCAAGAGGTATACATAAATACACATTGTAATACACACTGTTTTAGATTTCTAGTTGTTGTCACATTCTAATAAAACAAACTGCCATATTTTACTTACCTCATTGCTCAGTGGACTTGGTTTCTGAGGGCTCACAACATTCTGCTGAAAAAGCAAAACATATTGGTCACTTGAACAGAAACTAAAAAGATGAAAACCCTACTGTACATCGCAAAAGATTCGTGATGACATTGTTTGAAACATGCCTGTAAAAATACCAGCTAAGACAGACTCAAACAGGGTAGGTCTAGACTATAAAACAAGACTAGTAAAGTCTCAGGAACCAGTCTAGGTACCATAGAAGAGCTTTCAATAAACATAAAAAATGCTATTCTGGAGGCCAATGGTTGTTTCCAGCTAAATTGGCACAAAAGAAGCTCCTGGGTAACAAGTAACAGATTAGCACCTTACAGCTGTAATGTAGTAATATATATAAATTAGATAGTGAACAGTTGATAATTCCTATTGGTGCCCCAGCTTCAATTACTTACAAACCCTCAGTTTAAAATCTGTGTTGGAACACTTACTATACTCTTTAAAGCATTATTTCAACAGTATTGTATTGCATAAAGAAGACGACAAATACTGCTACCCTGTTGGTGAGAAAAAAAAAATGGAAATCCACAAAGGAAGACAGACCATTATCTGTCCTTTAGAGAAATCGTATAGAACACCAATGAGTACCGTTTCTTATACCATCAGAAGGCACATGAAAAATGGTAAATAGGCTGACAAAAAGATGTTTGGCATGCCCAAAGCCACAACAGAATCAGAAGAATGAATTTCTGACTCAACAGCTTGCATGAAAGGTGGCTCATGGGAAAGTAACTTAACTGGTCAACGTAAGCAAGTCTCATTTCATTAGTGGAGAAAAGGCATCAAGCGGCAAAAAGAAGACCTTGCTAAGATAAAATAAAGGTTTATCTGGTCCATAAAGCACTGTGAGTAGACTGTTAAAGACTGGAAGAAGGTCTTGTGGAATGATTAATCAAAATTTTAACATTTGGGTTTATTACAATTTTTTTTTAACACGGATTTATTTATTTATTCTCTTTGTTTTTAATAATGACATTGCCAACAGTAAACATGTGATAGATTTAAATGCGTGAATTTGATAAAATGTGTTATTAAGTGCATGAAAGACAAATAAGAGAGTATCAGCACAGTATTATCACAGTTTTCTGGCAAATACAAAAACAGATACAAATACTGCAGTATCCAGGGCCCGATGTTGAGTATGGGGGAGTAAACATCAAAGTTTTTTTTTGTCCTAGAGTACATTTTCCTTATTTTTATAGATAAGTCAGGGATTCCATGAATCTCGGTAAGAGATAAATTTTCCAGAGGAAGCTATACCATAACTTTCCATTGTATATTGATAATCTAGTTGATTAATTATTTCTTGCCGTAATGGAGGTTGGCTGAATTTCCAATTACGAGCTATAGATATCTTAAGTGCATACAGAATGTGTAATTAAATATTTATATTTTTTTCTCCATTATGGGGAAATCTAGATAAAAGAGGAAAAGGGAAGGTGTGAGTAAGATGGTATCTGGAATTAGAACCTAGATCAGGGGGGATATACAGACTTTAATATCTTTTAATATACCACAACTATACCATATATAGAGTATCGTACCAGTCTCTAGATTACATCTCCAACATAGAGGTGAATTTGCTTCATATCTTTTATGTAGCTCAAAAGGAACCATGTACCATCTATACATGATCTTTAAATGTAGTTCCAACAAAGAGGTACAATTAATATTTTATTTTAATTGGATAGTAGTTTGGTAGTAGTATCCACCTATTTGTTGTTATATCTAATTGATTATCTGTTCTTTAATGTATCAATCTTCTTTGATATTTAAGTAAACTAAACAAATTTTGAAAAACTTTTAAAAACTGGTGTGTTCCAGAACTCCTGACTGGTATAGGACAGGTCTGTCAATTAAGTAAATTTACAAATTATCCAATAACATAAGTAAAATATAAATTAAGATATTAAGTCACATATCAAGATGTTAGAAAACATTCGTTTTTATTTTACTGTAGAGTACATGCTGGGAAAAAAAAAAAAATCTAAATGTATGTATATTGTACTTTACAAATGCAAAGTAGGTTTTAAAAGAACACAGCAAGGCTCCTAAAAACTGTACTCTGAAATTTGGGTTGTACATGGAAAATGCAACAAAGTCATGGAGTGCAATTCCTACTTTATGAAAAATATATGAAAAGATTTTTGAGGGGATTAATATACAGTAAATGCATATAATATACAGTTATATATTTGTTGGTGAACAAAACCGACAACCATATTTCAACAATCAGCATGACAGATTTTATACAACTTACCCTCGGAACACCTGCTTGCATGAGGCTGTCCTTCTTTCTCTCCTCTTCATACCTTTGAGCTGCTATCTGGGCCTGCTTTCTCGTATTTTCGATCATTTCTTTTCTACGGTCTGCATCTGTCTGTGGCACCAGGGAGAAGTAACTGAGTTATACAGCTTTTATGAAATGCACTATTCATGGGTCTTGCCTTATTAGCATAATGCTGTTAATGTACGTGTAGGACCTTGAGCCTGAATAAAACCGTAAACTGGCTGCGTTGAAATTTCACAAAAATTCCAATGCAATCCAAAGATAACAAGACAAAGTAGTGACTACTTTGTCTTATGGTAAAGCCTGAGGTTGAAAAAAGGCAGATCTCAACTTTTGTCCAATGCCAGCAGCCATCACAAGTTATGGCTGTGAGATTCTGACATCTCACTCATTGTCAGGCAGGATCCTCCTCAGTGCTGAAGTCAGATATCAGAAAGAATATGTTGGGGGTCGTAAGGGACAGCTTCAGGTAGGTACACATGCCTTCCGATGCATTCCACGGTCACCAGACCACAAGCGAAGATATCAGCTCTCGAGGGAGGTGGGATGCAATGGAACAGGTTTGTATCTAATGCAGGATACTGGGTAGATCATGCAGAGTGCCAGGAAGAAGTCCAATTAAAGCATCGTAGCAGTCTGCAGTGACACCCTGATTTGGTTTAAACACCAGAAATAATGCTGCAGAATTGCCCTTGTATAGTACAATGGTTAAATAAAAACTTGCAAATTGTGCAATGGAACGACATCTCCCCAATTTTTTTATTTTATTTTTTTTTAATGTATTTATTTATTTTTAATGTCTAATACTTTTACCAATATCTAGTCTAGGATCTCACTTTCTTTTGTTTGGTCAATTTATCCATAAATTAAGAATGGAATTAAACATAAGCATTACTTCTAGAGTTGTCTTTGGTGATGTAACATGGCATTAAAGGTTACCAACGAGCAATGGAAGCTTGGTTGAGCAAAGTGTAATTCTAAAGGAGTGAGGACACATCATTCGGACTCAAGCGAGGAACATGTTTGCCAATTAAACACATTTTCTTTTTTCATATTACCTGGTTAGGACTGTTTGCCATGGAGATTAGGTGATTAGCATTCAGCACATTCCTAAAAGAAAAGCACAACAATGAAAAAGACAAATACTCTAAATAAAACCTGCTCCAAGATATTAATGATTCAATATCATTTGCTCTTATTTTCCTGTCCGGTCGCACCTCCAACGCCTCCACGTTCTGTCAGTCCCTGCATAGGTGCAGCCCTGGAGAAGTTCTGAAGGCGAGCATCAGAGGTGGGGATCCGGGCAGAGGATAGGCGTAGGTCTTGGGCTGAGCGCAGGGGTCTCGACGGGACATACTTGTCCTCTCGATAACATTTTTAATCTCTCCCTTTCCTCTGGCACATTTCCCTCTGCCTTCAAACATGCAACCGTAACCCCAATTCTGAAAAAGCCCAACCTTGATCCCAACTCCCCATCCAACTACCGCCCTATCTCGCTACTGCCATTTGCCTCCAAGATCCTCGAGAGAGTTGTCTATGCCAGATTGACAGACTTTCGCGAATCCAACGCTCTGCTTGACACCCTTCAGTCTGGATTCCGCGCTGGTCACTCTGTCGAAACTGCTGTGACCAAAGTATCCAACGATTTAATTGCTACTAAATCTCGCGGCCAATACTCTATCCTAATCCTCCTTGATCTTTCTGCCGCCTTTGACACTGTTGATCATCAACAGCTTCTTCACATTCTCCGTAACTTTGGTCTACGGGATACTGCTCTCTCCTGGTGCTCCTCCTACCTCTCCCAGCGCTCTTTCAGTGTTTCTTTCCTTGGCTCTGTCTCTTCTCCCCAACCCCTCCCTGTCGGCGTCCCCAAAGGTTCTGTCCTTGGCCCCCTACTGTTCTCTATTTATACTGCCTCCCTTGGTAAACTCATCAGCTCCTTTGGCGTCCAATACCATTTATATGCAGATGACACGCAAATCTACCTGTCCTCCCCTGATCTCTCTCCACCCACCTTGACTCGTGTTTCTGACTGCCTCTCTGCTATTTCCAACTGGATGGCTGCTCACTTCCTTAAACTCAACCTGTCCAAAACAGAAGTTCTAGTTTTTCCTCCCTCAAGTGCTGCTACACCTGTGTCTTTCTCCATCCAAGTCAACGGCGCTACTATCACCTCTACCTCCCAGGCTCGCTGCCTAGGGGTTCTTTTTGATTCTGATCTCTCTTTTACTTCCCATGTTCAATCGATAGCCAAATCCTGTCGCTTCCAACTCAAGAACATAGCGCGCATCCGCCCATATCTAACGCCGGACGCGGCTAAGGTACTGGTTCATGCTGCTGTTCACTCTCGCCTTGACTACTGCAATCCCCTTCTTACCGGTCTTACATGTTCCCAGCTTGCACCGCTGCAATCTATAATGAATGCGGCTGCGAGGCTTATTTTTCTGTCCGGTCGCACCTCCCATGCCTCCACGCTCTCTCAGTCCCTGCATTGGCTTCCAGTTAGATATAGGGCCCAATTCAAAATTCTGGCGCTTGCTTACAAATCCCTAGATAATGCTGCTCCAACATACCTATCCTCCCTCATACACAAGTATGTCCCGTCAAGACCCCTGCGCTCAGCCCAAGACCTACGCCTATCCTCTACCTGGATCCCTACCTCTGATGCTCGCCTTCAAGACTTCTCCAGGGCTGCACCTATTCTGTGGAACTCCCTTCCCTCCTCAATCAGACTTTTACCCAGCCTCCACTCCTTCAAAAAATCTTTGAAAACTCACTTCTTCATTAAAGCGTATCAATTAAACTGTCAGCAGGTTTCTCATCCCCCACCCCATGACTCCGTTCCCGCACCTGTCAAAAATGACCTACCAAGCACTCAATAAACCCTTCTGTAACAAACTATTTAATTCCCCTACTTTAACCCTTTGTGTCACTATACCCCACTCCCTCTAAGATGTAAGCTCATCGAGCAGGGTCCTCAACCCCCTCTGTTCCTGTACGTCAGTGGTCTGATCTCAATTATGTGTCTGTTAGTCCACCCATTGTACAGCGCTACGGAATTTGTTGGCGCTATATAAATAATAAAATAATAATAAGTAGGTTAGACATTCAGAGTAAATAAACAATATGCTTATAATTGTTTATGATATAAACACAGAATGAATGGACTTTTCCTGTAGCTCCACAAATAACGCACTTTATCATGTCATAACCTCTTCTTTTAAGTCATTCAGTAAGGTCATTATGAACAATAACTTTTAATGACTGAAAAGATCACTGATTCATTTCAATTATTACAGTTTAAGTACCTGCAAAGTGTTTGTTAGCTACTCATTTCAACTACATATATATCGAGGAAAGTATGACTGTGGCATCATGAGATTAAACAATTCCTGACTTTCTGAACTAAAATGAAAACCTACTGCAAGACTTGGCCTCAGTTTTTATTAATCTGCCACTTACTTTCATAACACTCAGCCTCAAATTTATACTTTTCACTTTACCTGCATGGTGAAGGTTGTCTATCTTTGCTTTGTGGTAAACTTAGTGACTCTGGCCTTCTTAATTCTTCAGGGTCTCTGTGACAGATATAGTCATATCAAAATATACGTCACGTAAGACTCGAAGTATACACAGATAAGGTGAAATCATGGTACCACTTTGAAAGGAGCACTTAGCTGTTAAATTTAGATGTGTGGTACACAACAGACCGAGTTAGATGGATATGGTGTGTTTTTTTTTGTGTGTGTTTTTTTTTTTTTACCTGCTTAAATGCCTCTGCCCTTCGTCAGATTTGTGATATCCTCTAGTTGGAGTTTGTTTTGAAGGGGACACCTACAAATAAAAAAATAAGCGTTAAAAGACTGAAATAAAAACAGATAACATGCTATTTTACCTTTATTTCAGTCTGATGCTGGCTCTGCTTCTCGTCAACCTCCTTGGCTGACATTATCAGAAGTGATTATCTCTGCCAAGCACAATCCTTTCCCATAGGGAAGCATTGGATTGGCTGAGATTGTAAATTCTGATGATGTCAGCCAAGGAGGCAAATCAGAGGCAGAGCCAAACACCACACTCCCCAATCAGCATCTCCTCATAGAGATACATTGAATCAATGCATCTCTATGAGGAAATGTAAGAGTCTCCATGCAGAGGGTGGAGACATTAAATGCCAGTGCTGCATAGCCATAGGAAGCACCTCTAGTAGCCATCTGAGGAGTGGCCACTGGAGGTGTCCCTAGACTGTGATGTAAACACTGCATTTTCTCTGAAAAGACTTTACTGTAAAAAACCTTAAAGGATCACTACAGGATCAGGAACACAATCTTGTATTTCTGACCCTATAGTGATAAACCCACCATTTAGCCAATCAGGACTTCCTCATAGAGATGCATTAAATCAATGCATCTCTATGAGGAAAATTCAGCGTCTGCATGAAGAGCGTGGGGACACTGAACGGCAGGGCTGCTTTAAAAGGCGGTGTTTACTGCTCTGAAAGGGCAGTGTTTACTGCTCTGAAAGGGCAGTGTTTACTGCTCTGAAAGGGCAGTGTTTACTGCTCTGAAAGGGCAGTGTTTACTGCTCTGAAAGGGCAGTGTTTACTGCTCTGAAAGGGCAGTGTTTACTGCTCTGAAGGGGCAGTGTTTACTGCTCTGAAGGGGCAGTGTTTACTGCTCTGAAAGGGCAGTGTTTACTGCTCTGAAAGGGCAGTGTTTACTGCTCTGAAAGGGCAGTGTTTACTGCTCTGAAAGGGCAGTGTTTACTGCTCTGAAAGGGCAGTGTTTACTGCTCTGAAAGGGCAGTGTTTACTGCTCTGAGTGTTTACTGCTCTGAAGGGGCAGTGTTTACTGCTCTGAAGGGGCAGTGTTTACTGCTCTGAAGGGGCAGTGTTTACTGCTCTGAAAGGGCAGTGTTTACTGCTCTGAAAGGGCAGTGTTTACTGCTCTGAAAGGGCAGTGTTTACTGCTCTGAAAGGGCAGTGTTTACTGCTCTGAAAGGGCAGTGTTTACTGCTCTGAAAGGGCAGTGTTTACTGCTCTGAAAGGGCAGTGTTTACTGCTCTGAAAGGGCAGTGTTTACCTGAAGGGAGCTACTATACTCACCACAACAACTACATTAAGCTGCAGTTCTGGTGACTTTAGTGTCCCTTTCTTTATCAGTCAGTTTTTCAGTACATTTGACAATATAAAGGCAAAAATATAGAATACTGTAAAGACCTTACAATATTATAAAACATTCTATTAAATGCCAGAATTCATTCTAAACTGCACAACAATTACATACATGGAAAGTAAAAAAGGCATGACTGCAAATTTAGAAACTAGACACCTAGGTTTCATATATGAGATATGCTTGTCTTGATATTTCAGAGCACAGCTCTGTTCATTATTACGTTTCTCTAGAAAGAAAATAAACCAGCCAGCACAGAAAAATCATCCTCCCTAAATTGGTTTTCTGCTATTAAGGTTTGACGAGGGGTATACAACGAAGTAATTTATTTAACTCTGTCTAAAAAGTACTAACATTTCTATATTCCAGCAGTGGAAAGGTACATTATCTATATGAATTTCAATAAGATGATCTAATATACATATGAGATTTTATGACGTAGGGCTCAACAACTCTGCTTGTAAATGTTTAATCATTTAGTGGCCAAATACATAAAATAAAAATGATCTTCCAACAGGCATCTCACCCCTTGCGATACTCGGCGCTCCTCTATGTATGCCATGAACTGTGAACTTAGACTGTTTCCTCTAGATAGCCTTGCGTCTTCCTCTTCCTCCTCAGTAGCATAACTATCTATGTAATCAATATGATCCAAATCATGCTCCACTGCGAATGAGATAAACTATCAGTACTTTTATGGAATTATTTTCATGCACAACAAATAAGTCAATATCAACAACACCTACAAGCCAAAGTAATCACTTACCTCCGCCATTAGGAATAAATACGTTGCCTTTGTGCTCCGGTGGTTGGGGGTCTTTCCGCACACGTAGATCTTTATGAGCATCAGAAGAGCGAAGAGGAAGATCTGTAAATTCATCTGTTGGCTTCAAAGAGTAAAAGATAGTCCAATTTGTAGATAAGGCAATTTAGCACAATGTCATATCAAGAGATTTTTTTAAATTTATTTTTTTAAATACCTAATAGTTTTGCATAGCATTTAAAAGAAACTACAGCCAAAATATCTTGCAAAAGGCAAGCTAACAGAACTGCGACTGAATTACAAAAAAAAAAGAAAAAAAAATAGGATTTTTTTAAAAATAAATATTTATCTACTTCCCTTTCTTGAAATAAAACAGATTGCTATGTAAGTGAGATAATTTAAGACAGAAGAGTTAACTGTGATGGCAAAAGGGAAGATACACAATATTAAGATTAGATTTTATTTGTGAATAACATCTTTTAACCCAAATTTTGTTTTCTTTAAAAAAAAAAAGACTTTTAAAAAAAAAAATTACAATAATCCATAAGAAGTAACAGGTGAATTAGAAAAATCTGCTGTGAAGTGACGGTGATATGACTTAATTTCTCTTATGAGCCATTTTCTTCAAATGTTTATTTTTCTGGCAAAATTTGTTTGCAAAAGAACATATGAATAGAAAAAAAAAGCAACTGATCCTTATTGGAAATTTCACAGCACAGATTATCGAATTAAAGTCCAAAAACAATGTTTACGACTTTAATTTTGCATCTTACCAGGTAGAGTGACCGGATTACAACTAATTGTAGATTGATAAGACGATGTGTGCTCATGGTTACTGCGATTAAAGTTGCAAATGTTTTCAGCTAGCACTGAAAACAAATAGTCTCATAAAATATAATAAAATCAAGTAGATTTAGTGTGCCCAAACTGCCCTATACAAACGCTAATGAAAGGTTATTAATACAAGCCACAGTAGCTGCACAAGTTCACCTAGTAAATGCTTAGCTTACTGTCAACTAGGAATAATTTACAGAAAATGTGTCCTTACCTCATTCCCTGACCATCGCTTGTCTCCACTGTCAACACTATTAAAACCAGAGTCAAGAGCACCGTAGGTTCGTAAAGGATAGGTGTCATCATGACTACAAAAAGAATTAGTGGGAGCTCAGAGATCAAAAATTATTAACATAAAATATATTCTCTCATAGAAAAAATACTTAAACATAAATGTCAACATGAAAGCGAAGCATATGGCTACAACAATACAAAAAAGGAACCAATAATTATTAATTGCTTATATGAATAAAGATGATTAATATTTCCAGTTCTAGGAATTGGACAATAAAAAAAACATGTAATACAACATAACTAATGTTGATACTGGTATAATACACACACAGAAAGGAAAGTACATTGCTTTTGGTTCTATTCTACAGGGAGTGCAGAATTATTAGGCAAATGAGTATTTTGACCACATCATCCTCTTTATGCATGTTGTCTTACTCCAAGCTGTATAGGCTCGAAAGCCTACTACCAATTAAGCATATTAGGTGATGTGCATCTCTGTAATGAGAAGGGGTGTGGTCTAATGACATCAACACCCTATATCAGGTGTGCATAATTATTAGGCAACTTCCTTTCCTTTGGCAAAATGGGTCAAAAGAAGGACTTGACAGGCTCAGAAAAATCAAAAATAGTGAGATATCTTGCAGAGGGATGCAGCACTCTTAAAATTGCAAAGCTTCTGAAGCGTGATCATCGAACAATCAAGCGTTTCATTCAAAATAGTCAACAGGGTCGCAAGAAGCGTGTGGAAAAACCAAGGCGCAAAATAACTGCCCATGAACTGAGAAAAGTCAAGCGTGCAGCTGCCACGATGCCACTTGCCACCAGTTTGGCCATATTTCAGAGCTGCAACATCACTGGAGTGCCCAAAAGCACAAGGTGTGCAATACTCAGAGACATGGCCAAGGTAAGAAAGGCTGAAAGACGACCACCACTGAACAAGACACACAAGCTGAAACGTCAAGACTGGGCCAAGAAATATCTCAAGACTGATTTTTCTAAGGTTTTATGGACTGATGAAATGAGAGTGAGTCTTGATGGGCCAGATGGATGGGCCCGTGGCTGGATTGGTAAAGGGCAGAGAGCTCCAGTCCGACTCAGACGCCAGCAAGGTGGAGGTGGAGTACTGGTTTGGGCTGGTATCATCAAAGATGAGCTTGTGGGGCCTTTTCGGGTTGAGGATGGAGTCAAGCTCAACTCCCAGTCCTACTGCCAGTTCCTGGAAGACACCTTCTTCAAGCAGTGGTACAGGAAGAAGTCTGCATCCTTCAAGAAAAACATGATTTTCATGCAGGACAATGCTCCATCACACGCGTCCAAGTACTCCACAGCGTGGCTGGCAAGAAAGGGTATAAAAGAAGAAAATCTAATGACATGGCCTCCTTGTTCACCTGATCTGAACCCCATTGAGAACCTGTGGTCCATCATCAAATGTGAGATTTACAAGGAGGGAAAACAGTACACCTCTCTGAACAGTGTCTGGGAGGCTGTGGTTGCTGCTGCACGCAATGTTGATGGTGAACAGATCAAAACACTGACAGAATCCATGGATGGCAGGCTTTTGAGTGTCCTTGCAAAGAAAGGTGGCTATATTGGTCACTGATTTGTTTTTGTTTTGTTTTTGAATGTCAGAAATGTATATTTGTAAATGTTGAGATGTTATATTGGTTTCACTGGTAATAATAAATAATTGAAATGGGTATATATTTGTTTTTTGTTAAGTTGCCTAATAATTATGCACAGTAATAGTCACCTGCACACACAGATATCCCCCTAACATAGCTAAAACTAAAAACAAACTAAAAACTACTTCCAAAAATATTCAGCTTTGATATTAATGAGTTTTTTGGGTTCATTGAGAACATGGTTGTTGTTCAATAATAAAATTAATCCTCAAAAATACAACTTGCCTAATAATTCTGCACTCCCTGTATGGTTTTACATTTCAGGACATAACAATCGATGACTTAGCAGGTCTTAACCCCTTCAGGACGGAGTCAATAGTACACGTTCTGATCAAAACAAAATGTAAACAAAAACTGGAATTTGCGCTATATGTCTGTTCAACCGTTATTCACCTCTTTCATATTAAATGCACCCACACTTATTATATATAATTTTGTTCAGGAGAAACGGGGCTTTCATTTCATATCAAACATTTAGCTATGAAACATAATTTATTATGAATAAAATGTAAAAAACTGAGAAATTTTAATTGAAAAAAAAAAAATTGTAGTTCCGCCTCACATTTTAGCTGTAAATGTCATAATACTGTTAGGTTTTACTGCAATAAAAAGCACATATTTGTAATCAGCGATGTCTCACGAGTACAACAGTACCCCCCATTAACAGGTTTTATGGTGTTTTGGAAAGTTACAGGGTCAAATATAGAACGTTCCATTTTCAAATTGAAATTTGCCAGATTAGTAATGTTACCTTTGAGACGGTGTGGTAGCCCAGGAATGAGAATTACCCCCATAATGACATACCATTTGAAAATGTAGACAAGCCAAGGTATTGAACGTGGGGTATGTTTAGTCTTTTTTAGTAGCCAGTTAGTCACAAACACTGGCCAAGGTTAGCGTTCATATTTATTTTTGTGTGAAAAAAGAAAAAACTAATAGGAGCATTCAGGTGTGTGAGCACAATGCCAAGGAGGAAACACACATAGGCAATGATCTTAGAGAAGCAATTGTTGCTGCCTATAATATTGGGAAGATTTATAAGGCCATGTCCAAACAATTTAGCCCCTTAGTGACCAGACCATTTTTAAATGTTCTTACCGTTAAGGGCCAGGGCTCTTTTTACATTTCTACTGTGTTTAGCTGTTATTTTCCTCTTACTCATTTACTGTACCCACACATATTACAAACTGTTTTTCTCATCATTAAATTGTCTTTCTAAAGATACCATTATTTTAATCATATCATAGCACTTTGCTATTTCCAAACCATTTTTTTCCCCACAATTAACGCAAGTTACATTGTAACACTGATATCTGTCAGGAATCCCTGAATAACCCTTCACATGTATATATGTTTTAAAAGACGACAACCTAAGGTATTAAACTTGGGGTATTTTTACTGTTTTCATGCAAAATTTTTACCACCAATCTTTGCCAAATTTTTAAAATATAAAATAATTGGTGGTTTTTTTGGACACACATAGCAATTTAAGAAAACATGTACAGATAACTTTAAGCATTACTGCCAAAGAACACCCCAATATGTGTTCAACAACATCTCCTGAGTACAGTGATACCACCCATGTACAGGTGTATTGGGTTCTATGGGGGTTAAATGACCTTATTTGGAGGGTGTGCATTCCAGTTTTCCAACTTAGAATTTTCACAACTGGTCATCATGCACCCATGTCCTGTTTGGGACATTTTTGAAGCCGGACAATGTAATTTACCCCAATCAAACCATATATTTTTGAAAAGTAGATGCCTAGGGTATTTCACATTTATTTTTTATTTTTATTTTTTGAATTCTTTATTTTATTGAGGCATGTGATTATGGTGGTACAGAAAAAAGAGAAGGAGACTTGCAAGAGTTGTACAGATTAGGGTCACTATAACAGATTACAGAAATCTCCTAGGATTATTAACCTCATTTTATATTATATTAACAAGCTTAGACCATAGGTGGATAACAGTTATAGTATTTGCTAGACAATGCGCATTTCCTGATAATAAAGGCTTCTAGATAAGATTACATTCAGGTACCATATTCTGTTTACTATTTACTTAATACACGCTGTGAGTACCTGCAATAATGGCATGTCTAAGTGGTTCTGTGCACATTTTTGTTATTAGATGACATGACGTTTAAACATAACAATTGGAATCTAAGTATTATCTGTTTCTAGCTTAGCTGAGTAGTTTTTCGCTGTAAACCGTTAAACACAAGCTAAACAAACGGAAAGGGATTAGCGAACATGCTCACTATTAACATGGAGCTAGAAATTAGTATGGTTTAAGTATGTTGGATTACAGGCTATGCAAAACAACATCAGTTACAGCTTTCTATATACTCATTAGATTTAGCCACCAGGGAACAGCGGAGAGCCGGGCTTGTCGAGTTGGGTACATATGTAAGCTTAGTCATTTTAAGTGCTTTCTGTGGGGGGCTGCATATGTAAAATCGACTGTAGGTGTATGTGGTTGGCTGTCGCTTGGTCATTCCTGCAGCTGTGCTTGGTCGGCTGGCTTCCTTGTGTTTCACGCTGTGAAATGCTTGGGTACCTGCCGGTCAGGAGTGTGTCCGCTGTTACCAGCCTTGGGTTGGGAGTAGCGCTTGTGCCCCATGTCCATCGCTCCACTATGTTTAGGCAGGGTCAGAGTCCGAATATAGTCCCCACAGACCTGCCGGTGACAATGGGAGGTGTTGTTTTGGATGCTGTGATTATGCCCTTGGTAGTGAGCTAAGCCTGCGTGGTGAGTATGTACCTTTTAGGGTTATCCGTTGCCTGCTGGCCGCCTTCAGTACGCTGTGTACTTATCAGCGTCGGTTTCCAGACAGCGCCCAGCCATTGCTCCGATGTTGTGGCTTGTAGAAGGCGCGGCAGCCATCTTGGTTTGTGCCATGCGGTCTCAGGTTAGATTTTCCCCTGCACAGTTATCAAAGGTGATGGTGATCTCTACTTCCCCGGTGGGGTCCGGGATAACCCCCCCGGCCCACAGGGGGGGAGAACGGGGCCCTCTGCAGGCGAGCGAGAGGTCCCACCGGACCAAGCGCGGGGGATCGACCGCTTCCCCCGCCAGGGCCTCACGGCAGGCCACAATCCCGCCCGTCCATCAGTCGGCGTCGCCGCAAGACGGGAGCCGACAGCCGCACCGGGGGTTATTGCTCAGGTCCCCTTGCCTCCTTATTACTGCTGAAGGTTTTTCAGGCGAGATGGGGTTGTTTTGGGCAGATTTTTGGGGATTCCTCGGGGAGCCGAGGTGCCCCACGTCCATCCAGCTCGGCGGTCAAGCCCCGCCCCCCATTTATTTTTGTTTTTTAACCCTTTCCATGCACTAATTATACCACCAGTCTTTGTCAAACTTTTGGGTAGAAATTTTTGTGTTATTTTTCTCTCACATTGTATTTAGGCATGGATTCTCAGTTCCTGTAATGTGTTACTGACAAAGAAAACCCCAATATGTGTTGAGCAACATCTCCAGAATACAACAGTGCCCCCAATGTACAGGTTTTATGGGTTTTTGCTAACTTACAGGGGTCAAGTGTAGGGCTTTCCCCTTTTGCACATTGAAATTTGCTAGATTGGTTTGCTGGGCCTATGTTGTCTTTGAGACCGTATAGCATCCCAGGAATGAAAATTAACCCCATCATGACATACCATTTGTAAAAGTACACAACCCACGGTATTCAAAATGGTGTATGTCCAGTCTTTTGTAGTAGCCATAAACGCTTGCCAAAGTTGGTGTTCATTTTAGTTTTTTGCACAAAAAAATTCACTTTTACTGGCGATTTCATCGTTGTGATAAGTTTTACTGTTGTAAACACTCATATTTGTGTTCAGCGAAGTCTCCTGTGTATAACAATACCCACCATGTACAGGTTTTATAGTGTTTTGAAAAGGTACAGGGTCAATATAGGGCTTTCCCAATTCAGTTTGCCAGATTGGTTTGCTGTGTCTGTGTTGCCTCTTGAGACCATAAGGTAGCCCACAAATGTGAAATAACCCCATCATGGCTGGCCAAAGTTAGCTTTTTTTTTTTTTTTTATAAATGTTTCCCCCCCCTCCCCTAATATAAATATATATATATTTATTTAAAGGCTGGGCCTGTAGTTGTGGGAGGGGCTTGAATCTCCTTTAAAGGGGCTGCCAATCAAGTCGCCATCTTGCTATTTCTTACCAGTTTTCCCTCGTGGTCCTGGTTCCAGTTTGTCCTACTTACCTGACCACTCACCAAACGCTACAAGCCCGCTGCCTCCTCCGGCTTACTCAACCGCTTGTTGTTCAACCGCAAGTCAGACCCTTGCCATAAGGCCGCGGTCGCATTCGTTCAACGTCATCGCGGTGTGGGTCTATTCATGTCTTATTGTATTCGTATGGTTGTAGGCGTTTCCCCACTATTCATACAATTAGTTTTACTTCTATGGATACGGGTTTCGGTTCTTTCTAAACGCAAAACGACCGCAACCATTGTTTCGGGTCCTTTCACTACGTTCGTATGTTTTAATCATTCACCAAGATACATACGAACCTTTCCAGTATGTTTGGTTGTGAAACAGGTGAACGATTGGGTAAAGGCATATACTTTTCACATGATTCTTCCCATTTACAGATGTTACTAAATTTCTCTATTTTACAAATTCAGACGAATAGTCAATTTTGCTTCACGATGCCCCCTACTGGTTACACATGTTATTACAGGTTTACAAATACTTGGTATATAATTGATGCGATTTAGATTTGTTAACTTATGATGTATCATCATGCTAAATGAGCTGACATTTGTCATCATGATGTTCTTCCCACAGGTGCGTTGCAGGAAGATTAGTCATAAGAATTGTGCCCGCTTTGACAAACTTGTCCTTTTAGGTTGGTAATTTGGTTCAAGGTTGGCTTAATTAAATAACTCCTTCTGATATTACATTAACATCTCGAATTCCTTAAGGTATCTTGGTCAGACCAGACTGTAGCATTTATACAGGTCCTTCCATTCCGTATCAGCTTCTGTCAAATTTCACTCCTCGCGTCTAGGTTTTGTGGTAGGTTCCTTTATTATTACTCGGGCCCACGATCTGGCCCACTCACCTATCAATATGCTGAGATACTTATGACATTTTATCTATAGGTCGCAGCACGTATATACTGCCACACTTTTCCCTAATTTCTGCAAAAAATCATCTTTTCTGATCCAAACTATCTAAGGTACGATTTTCACAACTCCTATACCTTTCTCCTGTTAGACAGTACTGGCCATCAGTGATTTTAGGTGTCCAACTAGGTACTGTCTTCTGGTCTTAATCCATAGGCTAGTGATCCCGCGAGGCCAACACCCATCCTCATACTCTGAGGTATACGCCCATCGGGCCAAAACATAGTTATTCACCTTGCATGGTGGCATTGGGCCTTCCCTTAGATCATGGACTATTCCATGCCTCACAGCAGAGCTCCGAAGAAGATGTATTCCTTTCCCAGTTACTGCCAGGAAAGCAGAGTTGTTCAGACTACTAAACATTAACACCGACAACTCTGATGCAGGGGAAGGGCCTAGTGGGTCTGAGATGCTGGCTCTTCATGCTATGATGACCTCATTGATGTCTTCCATTGGAACTATTAGTGATAGACTTGAGAAATTGGAAGTCTGTTCTTCCCATGTGCCTGCAGGTCCTGTTATTCCTGATTTAGCAGGATCAGCTGTCACGCCCGGTAACTCTCTTGCCACATTTAAGGTCCCTGAGAGAATCAACCCATTACATATGGTCCCAGATAATCTCAAAAAAGGACATTCTGGAAGACAAGGATGTTAACCTAGTCTCACTCCTCATTGCCTTCCAGGATGTTCTTGAGAACAGGACATTTGCATATAGGGACATTTTAGTGGTACTGAGGGCAAGAGATGCTAGGCTAAACAAGAAACTGTCTATACCTGAATTTGTGTTAGGTTTTGGGATTTATAGGGATGGGTATTGCTCTGTATATCCTGAGAAAAGAGAAGAATTAGACATATATATGCACAAGCTGAGGCACAAATACGATGGAACAGCCTTTTATGACTACCACCGTTCTTTTTCAGCAAAAGTGGCTGCAACTCTGACTCAGTTTAACTACAGCATAAATTGGAGTAAGCTGGACACAGTTATTCTGCAGACATTTTGTGGGCCTCAGGACTCCGGCTTGTGCAGTTTGTGCATCCACATAATACAGCAGAAGTTGAGCAGGGCCACTCAGGCCCAAGCTTGGCAAGACCAACCAGAATTTTGAAGGATAAGCTGGGTAGCGACATTGTTTTCCTGTGCAAATCCCAAATTTGCAACAATTTTAATGCGGGCACTTGTGGTTTTAGTTCCTGTAGATTGTTACACGTTTGTGCTCACTGTTTCCGGGCTCATGCAAAATCCATGTGTCCTAATAAATGTTTTCCTAAACCGTGCCACACTTGCATCAACGTCACGTTATTGGCTGTGCTGTTGCAACACCACCCCTCACAACACTTGGTTAATTTTCTCACCAAAGTGTTGTCTGAGTGGTTTCACACGGGTATCATACACTTGCCAGCTGGTACACTGGAATGTAATAATTTACAAACCGCAATAACAGACCAAGAGTTAGTGAGTGATCTCATAAGGATTGAATTAGAACAGGGTTTTTGTTAGGGCCATTTGTTTCCCCACCTTTCACTTCATGGAGAACTAAAACCATAGGGGCCATCACTGGGAAAACTTCACATAAACCCAGACTGATCATAGATTTATCAGCACCAAATTCCTCCACTATTCCCAGCCTTAATTCCCTCATACCCTCCGACGAATTTTCTCTGCAATATGCCACTATTGACAATGCCATCTGGGCCATTTTGGCAGCTGGGACAGGAGCATGGCTCAGTAAAACGGATATTGTCAACGCTTTTAAGTTACTTCCCAATCATCCTTCTGCACGGCATTAAGTGGCAGGGTTTATGGCAGGGGATATACATAGAGATATATATATATTCTGTTGGACTCAGAAATACAAGCATTGTGCTGACATTATCAGAAGTGGTAGCCTGATCCAATCACAATGCTTCCACATAGGATTGGCTGAGACTGACAAAGAGGCAGATCAGGGGCAGAGCCAGCACAATTCAAACACGGCCCTGGCCAATCAGCATCTCCTCACAGAGATGAATTGAATCAATGAATCTCTATGAGGAAAGTTCAGTGTCTGCATGCAGAGGGAGGAGATACTGAATGTTTGGATGCATTATAGGCAGCCATGACCCAGGAAGGATCTCTAGCAGCTATCTGATGAGTGACCAGTGAAGTTATCACTAGGCTGTAATGTAAACACTGCATTTTCTCTGAAAAGACAGTGTTTACAGCAAAAGGCCTGCAGGTAATGATTCTACTCACCAGAACAAATTCAATAAGCTATAGTTGTTCTGGTGACTATAGTGTCCCTTTAAGGGGTTGAAGTCCATCATTCTACAATCTGAACAATTATTCAAAAGTGGAAAACATTCTAGTTGCCAATCTTCCCAAGAGTGGATGTCCCACAAATTCACCCCAAGGTCTGACAATGCAATGCTCAGAGAAATTGCAAAAAAACTAACAAAAAACCCCACGAGTTACAGTTCAGACTCTACAGGCCTCAGTTAGCATGTTAAATATTAAAGTTCATGACAGTACACTTCAAAAAAGACTGAACAAGTATGGTTTGTTTGAAATGGCCAATGGAAACACTTTCCTCTCTAAAAAGAACATGGCAGCACGGTTTAGGATTGCAAAGTTGCACCTGAACAAACAACAAGATATGGAACAAATGTCCAAAGTGGAGATGTTTGGCCATAACGCACAACTCATAATTTGGCGAAAACCAAACACAGCATATCAGCACAACACCTCATACCAACTTTCAAGCACGATGGTGGAAGAGTGAGGATTTAGGCTTGTTTTGCAGGCACAGGATCTGGGAACATTGCAGTGAACCATTCACTCTTCTGTATAGAAAGGTATCTAAAGTCAAATGTGAGGCCATCTCTCAAACAACTAAATTGGGTTTTGCTACAGGACAATGATCCCAAGCACACCGGCAAATCTACAACAGAATGACTGTAAAATAAGAATCAAGTTGTTGCAGTGGCCCAGTCAAAGTACAGACCTCAACTAGATTGAAATGCTGTGGCAGGACCTTGAGAGAGCTGTGCATAAATAAATGCCAATAAACCTCAATGAACTGAAGCAACGTTGTAGAGAAGAGTGGGTCACAATTCCTCCACAACGAGGAGAGACTGTGAGAGACTGATAATGTCATACAGAGACGATTATTTCAAGTTATTTTAGCTAAAGGTGGTTCTAGACGCTATTAATCATAAGGTGTATCTCCACAGGGAGCTTGTGCTTACAGCCTTTGACTTGCAGCTACCCAACAGGCTAACATGCAGTGGAGGACAGCAAAGATAATATGGTAGCGGGCCCATGACAATCATTTTCACATTACTCTACAAGTGGTTGTGCTATTTCCTCCAGGTGAGAGTAGAGTGGTATTTCAATAACAGGCTCCTTCTTGCCTGGAGACAGACCGTGCATCTTCAGCATTGTCTTCTAATTAACCACTTTAAATGTTTCCATTGCAACAGACTAGATGCCAAGTTAATCTTTGCAGTGATGTGAATAAATGTGCATAAATGATGTTGTTAATTAATGTTTGGAAATGTCAGGGTGAGTATCAATAATGTATCCAGTTAATAACTATCTATAGTTAACCTTACCACGTGCTAAAGCCATGAGGTCTTCTTTCATAATCAGGCAGGTCTGGTGCACTCTTACATGCTTCAATGTTTAGATATTTGAATATGTGGATTTTGCCCTTAATACAAATCTGTTTAGATAAAAAAAGGTACATTGATGAAATCCATGTGGATGGTATATAATCATATGTACACATGTAATACAAAACAAAAAAAAAACATTCCTGAAGATCAATATTATATTGTAAAGTTGCAGACAGCTCACATACATATTTAAATGTTATAAAATAACTCAAGACAGAATCCCACTTTAAAAGCAACTCATTTTATTTTTTTCAGCAATTCAAACTATTAAACACTTTCAGTCCACCCTGAAAGCAAGCTAGAATGCTCAGCTCTTGACAGATTACGGAGGATGACGACTAAAATGCAAATATACACACTACTACTCTTGCTTGTTGTCAATATACTGTAACAGGGATAACTTGTTCTTAATACACAATTGCTAGCCTTAAAATTAGAAGCATTTACATAACAGAGGCATTTAAGCTTTGCTTGTCTAGCTGCACAGCACTGCTTGAGGAGGTTAACAGCCGAGAAAGTCAACAAAGTTGCTTTTGGCGACTCTCTTTCATTAATTACTACCGCAGTGAAAGCCCCTAGTTTCTAGATTAAATCAATACACTTGGCCCAGTCAAGGTTACTTCTATTGATTATTTGTAAAACCAGGAACGTCTTATTATGAAAAGCAGCGGTTGCCAGTGATATGAGCATCATGCATAAATCATACTTAAAGGACACTATAGTGCCAGGAAAACATACTCGTTTTCCTGGCACTATAATGCCCTGAGGGTGCACCGACCCTCAGGGTCCCCCTCCCACTGGGCTCTGGGGAGAGGAAGGGATTAAACTTACCTCTTTCTCCAGTGCCGGGCGGGAGCTCTCCTCCCTCTTCTCCTCCTCTTCGGCTGAATGCGCATGCATTTACAATGCTCTCCTATGGACGCTGGCGTCTTCTCACTGAGAAAATCACAGTGAGAAGCACGCAAGCGTCTCTAGCGGCTGTCAAGAGACAGCCACTAGAGGCTGGATTAACCCTAACATAAACATAGCAGTTACTCTGAAACTGCTATGTTTATAATAAAAAAAAAAAGGCTCAACTCTAGCTGGACCTGGCACCCAGACCACTTCATTAAGCTGAAGTGGTCTGGGTGCCTATAGTGGTCCTTTAAGTATAGGGTCTCCCTGGCAGTGGTTACTATAGTATGCCTTTAAAACCATTCATGCCTTTTTTTTTTTTTTTATGCCCCAAACAAAGCAAATTTTTTCAGCAAACTTGCTTCTTTATGAGAAACACAGTTTTTTGCCATGTGAAAATGTGGACGCCTCACCTGAGCCGGCGGTGACTGTAGAGGGTTGTTATCAAGAGTGATGTTCTGCAGGTGGCGCAAATTTCGGTAACATACTGGGATAGAGGTAACTTTATTACATGAGAAATCCAAACGAACCAGAGGCAGCTCGGCGAGTTCTAAGAAAAATAAAGAAGAATTACACAGATTATTTTCATTTCCATCTATGCACCTACCAAATTGTATTTTTTGGTCTTCATATATAGACCACCTAAAACGTTCACCTGAGAGAAGGGGAGAATGTAAAGGGTTACTCCAAGTTCCATTACCTCTTCATTGATTTTGTTAAGTGCTAATGGAGACTAGAGCCTGCATGTACAGCATTTCAATTTGAAATGCTGCACATACAGAAGTTTAACCCCTCGACTGCCAGAAGTTACTCTACCCTTTGGCAGCTTCATTAGCCAGCCGGAACAAAGTTCCAGGCTGGCTAATGTTTATTTTGTACAAAATTGGCAACTGTCGCAAGCATGATAGTCAGTGGGGCATAGCCTCCACCTCTCCTTGTTCTCCTCTCAGTGTTTGGCAAGTGGAAATTATGTCGGCCTAGGGCGATCAAGCTGTAGGAAGAACTTGACTTGGCACTGGAACGGAGGTGAGCTTTAGTGTGTTTGTATGTTTTTTTTATATGTGAGGGGAGGAGGCACCTCAGAAAGATTTTATCTAACCCATGGATGTCAAACTCAAGGGCCGCATGCGGCCCACACTGAATGTCTTTGCGGCCCGGCAAAGATATTCACTGCCCCAGTCACCTGGAGGCATGCGGATATGAAATAAAGCAGGCGGAGACGGTCCAGAGGCTGGCAAGCGAATCCAGGCGGGCGGAGGCGGTCCTGGAGAGAACGGAGGCAGTCCTGGAGAGAACGGAGGCGGGCGGAGGGTGTCCAGGAGAGAACGGAGGAGGGCGGAGGGTGTTCAGGAGAGAATGGAGGGGGTCCAGGAGAGAACGGAGCTGGGCGGAGAGGGTCCAGGAGAGAACGGAGGCTGTCCATGAGAGGGCGGAGGCGGTCCTAACTTTTTTTTCTAAAGATTTTTTTTTTTTTTTTTAACACCTAATCTAGGCAATTATTTTTTGCCTAGATTAGGTGTTTTTAAAAAAAAAAAACCTTTAGGAAAAAAAACTTGTTTAAAAATGTAAAAATGTTTAAAAAAAATTATTTTTTTAATAAAATCTGTCAACATTGAAGTTGCTGTTTAGTAGATAGGAGAGTGCGCTGGATCTTGTGCATTGTTTATTGTATAATATGGCCCCCAGCAGCACCCCATTTAAGCATGTTCAGGTGAGAGCAACCCCCCCCCCATGTGTGTGTGTGTGTGTATATATATATATATATATATATATATATATATATATATATATATATATATATATATATATATATATATATATATATATATATATATATATATATATATTCAGCCGTCATGAAACAACAATGTTGTTCTATGAAAATATAAGGGTTTTTTTGTGTGGCCCACATAAACCTAAACCTTGTTTATTTGGCCCATGTTAGCCTTTGAGTATGACCTGCTTGATCCAACCAAAACCAGTGTATTATGAAAACATAAAATGCAAGGGCTGAGGAAAGATTAAATTTTATTTCAAAGCTATAATTCAAGATATAAGTGTTCATCATTAGAGGTAGAGGAACTATTAAGCAGACACTATGCACTTAAAAAATAAATCTACAAATAAGCATTACAGGAAAGAAAATAAAAATATTCTATTCAGCTTTGAAACAATATGAGCCAGTAAAACCGTTCACAAGCTGCTGTTTAAACATTTTGGGTCTTGTCTTTGAAAATCTATTGAAACATGCCAATCTGGACAACATATGCTCAAGCATATACTTTATCTTGATCCTTCTGTAACAGCTATCTTTTTGCATTATTTCACTTGAAATTCTGAGGTTTTTTTTTTAAAATCTGTTTTGAAAGAACATCACCATACCCAAAAGCACTTTCTGAAGTGCTTTATGGGTGAGAAGTATCCTAGTATAAGCCAAGTTTATAAAAGTGCTGATTTCTATGCAAAATCAGGCAGGGAGGTTTGAAGTCTCCTTCCGTTAGCTCTACTTGAGCGTGCCAGCCTCCTCCCACACAGACTTCAGACCAGATATGCACATGTTCAATTCAGAAATTTCTCAATGATGTTAAGATCTGCAGCTTTGCAAGCTTTTTTAAGATATACCCCCAAATGAACACATGCACGGATAATTTAAGCATGTATTCATTGGGGTACAGCGATTAAAAAAAAACCTGGACAGTAGAGTGTTACTTTAACAATAAATTTATTTTGAGACGTGAGGGTCAAAAATACAAACATTAAACCTGGGGGAGTAATGGAAACGGCTAATAATAATAATAATAATAATAAAAAAAAATCTTCAAATCAAAGCCAACGGAAAAGCTGACTCACATCTAGTTGATTGAATTAGCGCCAAAAATGAAGTCTAATAATTAGCACTTTGGGGTTTTCAAAAGAACATAATGCAAACAGATTGTCAAAGCAGGTAAACAATCCAATATAGTAACTGCAGTAAACTAGAGAGCATCAACAGACGTTATGATTGCTCTTCATGATCATAATAGCCACAGAATATAAGGCCATTTTACAGATCAGTTTTACCTCCTACATGTTGCAAACACGATGCCTGATGTTACGAGATGATGAGGACAGTTTAACAGTATGAGACGAGTGTTTTTATGATCCCCATGATACAGTTAAACCCCTACCACAGCATCACCAATCACTAAATCTAAACACCTTTACGAGAAAGCAAAGTGTGGCCCTAATCCTAGTTAGGTCCTTGACATTAACATATTCTTAGAAGTTTCATTTATTTTGTCCACTTCATGTTTTCCGTTAAAAATCAAAAGCAAAAATGTGGATAGAATTTGGAATGTTTTACTTACCATATGAACAGGCAACAAGCTCATATTGAGAAAATGAATCTATGGAAGCTCACAAAGGGGGTTTTCTTGGACACTTCACTGTTAATGCCAGTATGATAAGGTTTAAATAATCCTTGTTTCAGAATGAGAAAACTATATATATATATATATATATATATATATAAATATATATATATATATATATATTTATTTATTTTTTTCCAATGAATGTGTTAAACTGACAGGAAAGATTAATGAGTCACAGATGAAATACAGTATTTCATACCAGAGCTCATCCAGTGCCAGCATATTTCAAGCATTGCTTCATGCACGCATTGCACACAGTAAACCTCTCAATGTGCTCTTGCAAAGTTCTGATACTAGCAGCAAGGGGAGTTTGGCAACTACTTGGATAAGGGAACTTCCCTATCTCTGGCAGCAGGTCAAAGAAAAACTACCTCACTATTCTGGTTCACATTACAAGATGAAATACAGCATGACAAAGTATTACTGCATACATTTTTACACAAGGTTTTTTGAAAGGAAACAAAAAAGGGCCTATATTAATCAAAAATGCCCTGTTTACAATTTCTGCCAATCCATTCTGTTTATAACACAATTATTAGCATACCTAGGACAGCCTTGAAAAGAAATGGAGCCAAGAGTTAAATTTAGAATGGAAATTATGAGACTGCAAATGGAAGCCTTAAAGGGATACTATAGGCACCCAGACAACTTCAGCTCAATGAAAGGAGTCTGGGTACAGTGTCCCTATTGCACTTGGTGCTGCAATGTAAAACAGAGAAACTAAAACGAAGAGAATCTAGTGGCTGTCTACCAGACACTAGAGGCGATTTCGGAATGTAACTGGACTTTTCGTCCGCTTACTGACGCTGGACATCCTCACACTCTGCATTACCATTTGTCTGCTTGAAAGCCAAGGGGTGTAACCAAGTTAATTTATAAAAGTGTCAATTTCTATGGAAATTTGCACTTTTTGAAAAATGAAAAAAAAAAAAAAAGAGGACAAATTCTTCACAAATAAAGCTTTTCAGCAAGCTACAGATGTTTAGGGGTCTGGAGTGACCATTTAATTAATCAAAAAAAACCTGAGAGAAAGGAGCAGACAGCTCTGCAGAGAAAGAAAGGTGCACACAACCCTGCAGAGACAGAGAAATGCACAGACATCAAACAGCTTTCTGCAGAGGGAGAAAGGCAAAGACAGCAGACAGCTCTGCAGATAGAGAAAAGCAGACATTTATCCACCGACACACGTTCCCACCATGTGGGTACTAGCACTTTTGATGATCCCGGTAACGGCTGCCGGGTGAAACGCGTGTTGAGTGCAGACTTTGGTGTTTCCTGGCGGTTCACCCTACTTATAATTTATGTTAATTTTCACTCCTCCGCTCAGGATCCCATGTTTATTTTTACTTGTAATTAATGTTATCACTTAATCTCTCTCATGTTGATACTTAGTTGAGGAACCTTGATAGAAGTTACCTTTTTCAGACAATTCTATCTATTTTGGGTCACTCACATTGTGGGAACGTGTGTCGGTGGCTAAATACGTAGGGACTAGCAAATCATCCTTTGGCTAAACTTTAGACCAAGTGCAGGGATCAACTGACACACGCACCCTCCCTGTGTTCCCTTATACCTATATGTGAACTACAGATTTACATTATACACCTGCTCCAGTATATGTACCTCATTTGCATATATGCCTCTGTTAAGATATATCAGTTGACTTAGATATGTATATATATGTATATGTTTATAGTGGACATTAGCCCACTTGATGTATTAGACTTTCCTCATATCATTTGAGCTACAAGGTATTAGTTTTTTGACAGTGATATCAGGTGGCAGGTTACTCAATAGCCACACACTATATGTACCTTAGAATCAAGTCCTGGTTGCCACTTATCTACCTATCTGGTTATTTGGTTTCTCTTGTCATTTGACAAGTTATTTCACGATTTACCTTTTTGTTTTGTTTCTTGTGCTTATCCACTCACCATCTGGCAGCTGCATTAAGTGATTCCTCCTGATGTTGAAATCCCGTAAAGATTCTAATTTTCCAATCTGTGCAGGGAGTGTCTGGATTTCATTGCAGCTGACATCCTTGCAAGAAGAGAGGGAACAGTATTAAAATAACTTCTATTAAATGTATCTGAATCATCCATTACTTCCACTGCTGTAAAATCTAAGTTTCTATCATTCACTGTCCAGGCACTTTTTCAGTCTATTTTCTGCAATGTGATCCATTAGCATGTGGAATCGATGATTCCTTGTATAGCATCAACTAACCATTGCCAAGATTGCAAATGAAATAAATAGCTGATTTCATGCTTGGAGCACTGCACTCTGACTGATCTGTTGAGAATTGTGAAGATTTGCATTTGTTTTTTTCTCCTAACCCAGAGACTTTATTACAATTTTTGGGTCTGAGTCTTCCCCTCCAGATGATGTTACAAGTGATATGTGCTTAGTTGATATATATTACTATTCTCATTATATCTCCTTTTGCCGATTTATGACTTGCAGAGACCTTTTAGCTGGGTAGGTCTCTTTTAGCGAGGCTAAAGGCAAGCTCACTTCCTTTGTCAAGTTTGTCAAGCTTGCATTGCCTTGAAATCCACACTTTGTCTTCAGTTTTAAATAGAAATGCATGAGAAATAAAGAAAAGGACAAAATCTAAAAGACAAAGAAGAGAATACGGCTAAAATACAAGTGCAGATGGGGAGGTAGGGGGGACAGGGAGGGTGCGTGGCATTTTTATTGGCAGGGTAATCTAATTCACTAAACTGGGAATTGCCTGGAATGGCAGATTTTAAATATCTAAGGATATGTAATTAGGGAGCTACCCCTCATTGGTACACTGAAGGTATCATAGCCTACAATTTTACTACATGACAGGAGGCTCGACATTTTTCCTAAAACGCTTTACTGAAAACATGGGGGGGTATAAGTTTTTTTCTTAATTATCTTTCAGCAATTTAGTAGACAACTTCCTAACTTGGTAGCCATATATTTGGAAATCCCAAGCAAGGATTCTACTAAACAGGTGAGAGATCATAAATTTAAAAAAAAAAAAAAAAATTTAATAACTTTTTTTAACCTTCAGAAATTTACTAAATAGCTCTCAATTTGTTATTCTTAAATATGGAAATTCCACATAAGGAAAACAATATTAAAGAGTTGTCTACTAAACTGCCAAAACTTTAAAATGAAGAAACAGGGTTTTTTTTTGTTTGTTTTTTATTACTTTGATAATTGAACAGAGTAATAATTTTCTAGTTTGGTATCCTCATGTGGGACTGCCACATAAGGTTACCTTCACATGGAGCTTTTTAGTAACAGATAAAAGATGTAAATTCTGAAAAACCTATATTTTTATTCAGCAATTTAATAGATAGCCACCAAATTTAGTATCCTCATATATCACAATCCCACATCAAGATAATAAATGAAAGAGCCTTCTACTAAACAGCTAAAATATCAAAATTAAGAACAGCTCATTTCTTATTTTTGATCCGTCAGTAGTTTAATAAACAGCAGGAGCGTGTTTGTATGTATTGCTGGCATTTAAATGCAGGTGTGCGTTTGTGTGTAGTGTTGGCGTTTGAAAGGGGTGTTTTAATACAGGATAGTATGTGTATGCAGTATTGGCATTTTTTTTAAATGAGGGTGTATTTGTGTATAGTGTTGGCGTTTGAATGCCGATATGTATGGACATATACAGGACATACTTGAAAACGAGAGAAATCTCAATGTATCTTTCCTGGTAAAATATTTTATAAATAAATAACACAGATACACATACACACTAAAACATACAAGATGTAATTTATTTATTATAGCCACTCACTCCCCTTCTTCCATACCTTTTGGGTGCAGGAGGGTGGCTTTCCTGACGCTCTGTATGAACTGGCTGTGGGGAGTCTGGTACAGACTGTCTACCTAATAGAGGCCGGTTGTGCTGTTAAAAGGCCCTAGCATGCCGATCGGGAATCTACAGGTGTGAGCGTCACCCAACAGCCCCAAGGTTGCGAGCCCTCATTAAATAAGGGATATATAGTTTTACACAGGAAACAGGAAGTGGAGCAACTAAACTTAGATAATGTAAGTCCAGTTGTTCCACTTCCCACTGCCTCTGTGGGGGATGGGGGTGGGGTAGGAAAATTTTTACATCATGTGTTCCAGGGGGTGGAGGATTAATCCCACACCTCCCGGTTTTAACGTTGATGCATAGAGGCACGGTTGTACTACACTATTTTAAGTAATGGCTGTTAATATCCATGGGCTTTACACTTTAAAGTCACAAAATGCAAATTGTTTAACACATGTTTAAAATTATAATATGTGCCATAAAATGCAGAAATTCATGGATTATGTTTAGAAATGGCTGTTTTTCCTACACTGCTCATGGTTAATGAATGTAAACATTATGGAATAAAAGACTTGTCTTTACTTTATCCATTTAATTATTGCTTCATTTCAATTCCAAGGTGCTGGGAACAATGGTAAAGCAATGCTAGTGTCACTGTTCAAATACTAATGAAATATTTAAAAAAAAAAAAACATAAAAGGTGCATCAATCACAGACATCCCAGAATGTTTCGCAGAAACAAACAATAACTTAATCATCTATTATCCCGGGTTTCAGTGCCATCACTTTCCCAGTAATGCCTCGTTTCCACTGAGCGGTATGGTTCGGAAGGGTTAGAATTATCCAGCCTATTCAGGTGAGCATTTCCACTGTAAGTCGGACCGTCACGGAGCTTAGACTAAATGCCTTGCGTGTCATTTGTCGTGAGCATTGATGTTTTCCTGTCAGCCAATAAATGGATTGTATAGTGTGATGCCAGTAGCTCTGCCCTAACTGTACCGTACCATTTCCTATGGACCTCCATCTGAAGGGGGCCCAGGAATGGTGCGGTTTGGTTCGGTTGTATGGGTCACTTTCACAATGGAAACGCTCAAAATAGCGTACCAGACCGTACCGACCCAAACCGTACCGCTCAGTGGAATAGGGGCATTATAAGCCCAGAACAGCTTTCCTGAATGCTGTATAGGAAGCATATTTTACATGAATGTGCTAGAGCTGCCAGGAACTGAAAGAAATTAAACAGGTGTGCACAAATAAAACTGCAATGAACCCTTGTACAATGGCACAGCTAGAGAAGATGAGTGGACAGAGAAGGAAGAGATCACATTATGCCCTGCTACAACTTATATGCTGTCCTGACTGCTACACTCACTAATAAATACATCCTGACTCACTACTAACTCCCATTGTAGCTTTACTCTAATCACTATACTCTGTGTGGGTACTCTGAGTTGCTGCGCAAGAAGTCAGTACTATTACAGAAAATACTGATCCCAATTTGATATAAAATGTGACAGCAAACCATGATTTCAAACAAAACAAATTGCCACAGCTATATATAATTAATCTCTTTGTACACTGAATACATTTATCTAGTTTTGTAGCCTGGGTGCACTTTGTTCTGACAATCCAACAAAATATAGATTTATGTAGAGTTGGCAAGACACTGCATGTTAATGCTCATTCGGCAGTTATTTATTTAGGTCCTCTTCTTCTAGTACTGCTCCAATCTTAGCATTGTCCACCCAGAATCTCTTGTGTGCATTCCTATCGTTCATATTTTAGGAGTAAACCATTGAACCATTACCTAAATACAGACTGCAATCTTACAAGAATATTAATCAATGTCCTTTTGTGCACTCTGGGGTACTTTCCGCTACCCTTTCCAAGCAGCTGCATACATTTTAAGGATCTGGTTTAGTCCATGGTTAGGCTTTTCAAACTGATCCAAAATGATGTGCATTGTGATATTTTATTGTTGTTATCGTGTTTGAAATTTGCACAGAAACCTATGCTGCCACAAAACATATCACTGCATATATGTTGGCAAAAATGTATCCTATACAGAGAGGGTATATTTAATTTTATTCTCCTTATGAACACAAATCCTTAGAAGTTGCAAACTCAAAAAAAAAAAGCTTACATCATTAATTCAAACTCTATATGCGTTACCTTGCTTTAATCAAAACATACACACACACACACCCCCCTGTATTTTTCGCTCCATAAGACGCACTTTTTCCCCCCTCAAAAGTGAGGGGAAATGTCTGTGCGTCTTATGGAGCGAATGTGAAGCTTTACTTACCTGTCTTGTAGCGTGGGCCGGCAGCACAGCACTCTCCGCGGTGCAGGAACTTCAATTTCAGGTTACGGTTTCCGGCGGGACTGAAAGGAAGTGCACACTCAGTGTGCACACTTCCTTTCAGTCCCGCTGGAAACCGGAACCTGAAATTGAAGTTCCTGCACCGCGGAGCGCGCTGTGCTGCCGGCCCACGCTACAAGACAGGTAAGTAATTATGGGACAAGGAGAGGGGGACACACTATGGAACAAGGGGAGGGGGGGACACTATGGGACAAGGAGGGGGACACACTATGGGACAAGGGGAGGGGGGACTCTATGGGACAAGGAGGGGGACACACTATGGAACAAGGGGAAGGGGGACACACTATGGAACAAGGGGAAGGGGGACACACACTATGGAACAAGGGGAGGGGGGAACAACACTATGGACAAGGGGAGGGAACACTAGGGACAAGGAGGACACACATGGGACAAGGGAGGGACACTATGGGACAAGGGGAGGACACTATGGGAGGGAAAGTGCACTATGGGACAAGGGAGGGGGGAGAGGAAAGTGCACTATGGGACAAGGGGGGGGGGCACTATGGGATGAGAACACTATTGGACAAGGGGAGGAGGGGTTAAAAAAACACTACAGGACAGGGAAGGAGGGGTAAACAATCACTATGGGACAGAGGAAAGGGGGGTTAAAATAACTATGGGACAGGGGAGTGGGGTTTAAAGATAACTATGGGACAGGAGAGGGGGGGTTAAAGATCATTATGGGACAGGAGAGGGGAGTGGGTGGTAAGGAACAAAAAATTCCTTTAAAAAAAATATTCTGAACAAACTGTCCCATAGTAAGAAACACTATGGAACAGTTTAGAATATTTTTTTTTCTGGGTTTCCTCCTCTAAAAACTAGGTGCGTCTTATGGTGAGGTGCGTCTTATGGAGCGAAAAATACGGTATATGCTCCTGATGAAAGTCCCAGATGAGGACTGAAACGTCGAGCGGCCATTTTTAACATGTATTAATAAAATCTACAACTTTTAATCTTCAACTGAAAACCGTGAGTGCTGGTCATCTTTACCATTTGGATATTCGAATTTCCCCCAGACTGCAAGCACCCGGATTTTACACTTTGAGTCTGTGTGCAAGGAATTGGTGTTTTTCATACATACATACATACATACATACATACATATATACATATATACACACACACACACACACACACACGTTTTTTAGAAAACAAACAAAAACAATATAGTTATGCATACCAGCTCAGTTAAATGTCTCAATGCACCGATTTCTTCTGGCAAAGAGTCCAACTTATTGTTACTTGCAATGAGGACTTTTAGAGGCAGACTGCAGAGGTACCCAGGGAGTGAAGTCAACTGGTTACGGCTTGTGGAAATAAAACAATATCAAGGTATTAATAAAAAATAAAAAAAAGATATATAAACAAATGGAGGATGACATAGTAGATTAAACAATGGGGGAGCCCATGAGGCAGTATTTGGGAGGCAAACAGAAAGGCTTGCACCTGCTCGCATCTACTAAAGACATCTTGGTGGACTTGAAAGCTAGTTTTTGGCAGGTTTTAAACCCTTCCTCACCAAGTACGTTTTGTTTTTATAAAAATATTAAAGGGACACTATAGTCACCTGAACAACTTTAGCTTAATTAAGCAGTTTTGGTGTATAGAACATGCCCCTGCAGCCTCACTGCTTAATCCTCTGCCATTTAGGAGTTAAATCCCTTTGTTTATGAACCCTAGTCACACCTCCCTGCATGTGACTTGCACAGCCTTCCATAAACACTTCCTGTAAAGAGAGCCCTATTTAGGCCTTCTTTATTGCAAGTTCTGTTTAATTAAGATTTTCTTATCCCCTGCTATGTTAATAGCTTGCTAGACCCTGCAAGAGCCTCCTGTATGTGATTAAAGTTCAATTTAGAGATTGAGATACAATTATTTAAGGTAAATTATATCTGTTTGAAAGTGAAACCAGTTTTTTTTTTCATGCAGGCTCTGTCAATCATGCCAGGGGAGGTGTGGCTAGGGCTGCATAAACAGAAACAAAGTGATTTAACTCCTAAATGACAGTGAATTGAGCAGTGAAATTGCAGGGTAATTATCTATACTAAAACTGCTTTATTTAGCTAAAGTAATTTAGGTGACTATCGTGTTCCTTTAACATAAAATCTAGAATATATAGCTAGCACATAAATGTAGGACAGACATCATAATGGTGCATACAGATTGCTGTTCACAAATACATAAAAACTTACAATATGCAAATTATTTACATAAATAATAAATATGGAGTTAGAAATTGACAGATTATATAGTAAACTTTTCTGGCTATATTTCAAGTATTTGTATACAGATTAAATTCACAGTGGACTCGGGGCCTTTCGAGGTGGCAGAGATAATGGATTCTCCCATTAGAGAAGAGGAATTATTAGCAGCCATTAAATGGACACAATTAATGTATTAATTAATGCTTAATGTAATTGTTCGGGTGTGTATAGTCTGTCCCTGCAGGCATTTTAATGTAAACACTACTATTTACATTGCTGCCTAGTTACACCTCTAGTGACAGTCACACAGGTGGCCACTAGAGGTGCTTTCTGGGTAAGAAAGGGTCAATGTGCAGCACTGATGTTCAGCATTTCCACGCTCTGCACAGGGGTGGCGAACATTCCCTACAGAGATGCACTGACAGTGCAACTCTATGAGGAGATGCTGATTGGCGCAGTGCGGCGTCCCAGTGCTTTCCTACGGGACTGGCTGAGATCGTCAATTTTGATGATTGCAGCCATGGAGGTGGAATGGGGGTGGAGTCAGCTGTGACAGACTTGTGCGGATTTGGAGAAAAGGAAGGTGATTAAACTCACCTTTTACAATGATTACAGGGGCCACACCCCTAAATAGTGCTATTACCTGTATAGTGACAGGAATATATATGTTTGTTTTCCTGCCACGATAGTGTTCCTTTAAAGTGGCTAAACCGGCAAAGCATCTAGACATGGCAGATTTTCTATTGGTTTTTATAAAAAATTTGCATCAGAACCGATACCTAGATTAACAAAAGCGCTGAATGCGGTGACAGATGGAAAAGGTTTAAGTCCAGAGTCATTGGCAGCCACAATCACTAACCATCTGAAGCCAGGCAAAGACCCGGAGGTGTGCGGTAGCCATCACCCAATCTCGCTCCTTCACATGGATGTCAAACCTTTCACAAACATAGTCGCAACCAGAATGCAAACATTGTTACCTGCCCTGAATAGACAGGGTTCATACCTGGATGGGAGGCTAAGGGATAGTAAGCTACGACTCTTTTCCTTACAAGACCTGGCCAGGCGGAGGGGTAAGCGAATGCTTCTTTTGGCCACCGATGCCAAAAATGCGAATGATCAAGTGAACTGGTCCTTGGGGTTAAGATACTGAATTGGACCACAGCATTATACAGCTGCCCGAACGCAAGGGTTTGTGATAATTGGGTTCTGATTGCTGGGCTACAGATTCGCAGCGGGGCCAGGCTTAACAAGTATGGAACGCTGTCCAGCCTCTTGCTCAACCTATCTAAACGCAAGGTTCTAAATGTGTCCACCCCTGCGGAGGAGTTTGCAGCCCTTCAATCACTGTTGCTGTTCCACTAACGCAGCCAAAAATTTAATATTTTAGGGTGTAGGGGACAGCACTATCAAAGCACTTTCCTTCACATTACTGCAGAGAATACAGGAAGACCTCAAACAATGGTCCTATCCACACATATCTTGGCACGGTCAAGTGGCTGTGGTTGAAATAAATATCTTGTGAGGGGGTTGGCACTGCATGATTTCATAAAATAACCATTAGGAAAGGCACACTTCATCCCAATACCCAGAGTAGTGGGCAATGTAGGTCTGATGGAGGGGCACGGACTCCCCTGATCTTATTCCACAATCAAGACACTATTACAATGAGATGCCACACAGAGGACAGCGGCATTGAGAGATGCCCTGGCACCGAGCTAGAGAAGGCAGTGTCGGTGTGGGGTAGTTCAGCACAAAAGCTTGGTCAGTTCTCAGGACCAGAAGGTGAACTACAAACTCCTTTCATTCTGGTACAAGACATCGGTACTGCTCCATAGAATTTTTAGACTGTTGGAGGTGCCAGGAAGTGGTGGGAACGGTTGCACATATTTGGGGATATTGCCGTGAAAAATCCTTTTTGGGAACTTTGGGGTGTTGGTGAGTAGGGGGTTGGGGGGCCATGTCTCCCCATCTGCAGCTTTACTTTTCTTTCCTTTCACCTGTCCTCTTAGAGCTCACATAATTGTACAACTTGGTATACCCATGGGTGAAAAGGAATCTAATAATGTCCTACAGACAAAGTCATAAGCGTCTTTTGGGGAGGGAAACTCAGGATATCTGCCTAAGCCAGATTGAAGATAGGTAGCTGTGATCTGTTACTCATGGTTTCACATTCATTATAAAGTGGGGATGCAATTTCATTGACCTTAATGTTGGTGTATAGGGGGGGGATCCTGGGAAGCTTGCGCTTTACGCTTTGTATTGTAACTGTGGAAAAAAAAATTCTAGGGGGACCATGCGTGTCTCACTTTCTTCTCTTCAAAATATTTTCAGATTTCCACACAAAAAATATATTTGCATGCAAACAGAAAAAGTGTAAAGAAAACAAGAACAGGTGCCTTGGAATGCAGGGGAAGAATTTGAGGTGTTGTGTGCTGGGCACCTCTGTGCCCTTCCGGTGGATATCCCCAATCATCTATTCTACTCCCCATCAATATACTCCTCTCCCTCTTTTTTTTTTACTCCTCACCCCATACCACTCGGTTCTGGTTGTGAACTGTTAACAGACACCCTTCATAAGACAACGGCTTATAGTAAGATTGTAAGCTAATGTGCACGAACAAACATTGATGCGATTTCCGCAATGAGATGTTGGAAACGCAGAGTGGCTCGTGATGTTTATTCAGTACTACTTGATACACACTGGTTCAGCACTGATCTAGCAGAGGTCTGCAACGGAGCCGAAAGTTATGTCTTTCTTTACTTCTTATACAGTATGCTTACCTGTTTGATACGAACGCTAAAATCTGATGTTTTTTTTTAGCAGTGCAGATTCAAGAAATCTCAACATAAGATAAAAAGTATGAATGTGAGCATGATACCCACATAGAGTAGTACAGTTAAGCTACTATACAGGGGGCTTGCAACATAAAATTGCCCCTTCCTAGTAAAACGGTTCTCTACCAATTGACACAGTTCTTCATATTCCTCTATTTAATCAGAATGCAAGAATAATGTGTTTAATTCAGAGTTGTGCATGCTAAAGGAAAAGTAAGAGGGGGATGAAAGTCCTCTTGCAGTCACATACAGGGACACAATTCAGCTTTGTTCTACAAATACATTTCTATAATGTCTTAAAGGGACATTATAGGCACCAAGAAATCTTTACCTTATTGAAGCCGCTTTAGTGTATAGATTATGGCCCAGCAGTCTCACTGCTCAGTTCTGACATTTAGGAGTTAAACCACTTTGTTTATGCAGCCCTAGTCACACCTTCCTGCATATAAGTCATTCCTAAACACTTCCTTTAAAGAGAGATCTAATGCTTAAGTTTCCTTTATTGCACATTCAGTTTCATTTCAAATTTCATATATCTCCTGCTTTGTTAATAGTCTGCAAGAGCCTGCAGGTGCCCTCTGTGTGTGATTAAAGTTTAATTCACAGATAAAAAAAAGTTCTTCTCCTAAAGTAAGTTTAAGATCGGATTGAAAATGAAACAATTTTTTCATGCAGGCTTTGTGAGACAGAAACAAAAGAGATTTAACTCCTTGATGTCAGAAATTTGAGCAGTGAGTCTGCAAGAGCATGATCTATACAACCAAACAGCTTCATTAAGCTAAAGTTGTTTTGATGCATATAGGAGGGCAAGCCACTGAAATGCTGTTTGAATTTCAACGTCAAATAAAAGTAAATACATGTATACACCAGATTCCTAATTTTACATATATCCACATATTTATACAGTATTCTTTTGTTGGTCTTCTTAAACACAATAAAAAGGCATGTGCTCTTACTTATGCATAAGTGTAAGCACCGACTCCCGCATGGTTAAGTATTTCATATATGTTCCATTTGCGCAAAATGCATACAAATATCCAAACTGTTTCTGTTCCTACGCATGTGAGACACAAATACATTTTTTCTACCAAATGTAATGTTTGGCTGTAAGCCAGGCACTATCACAAAATAAACAGTATCAGAATGAAATGCTTTCTCGTTTCCAAATAATGATGTCATTGCTTTTTTATCTAGCAAGACAATGTCAAGTCAATATCCTTAGGCAGGATTGCCTCTGGATACAGAATATAATAGCTCACCACAGTGTTCTATTGCACAGTATTGATTACCATGTAGTAGGAGGAGGGTTACCTGATATTAAGGAAGGTCAGAGCCTGCAGGTTTAGCGTGGCCTCTGGCACATAGCGAATGCAGTTCTGATAAAGGTTTAGACTCTCCAAGGAAATGTAGTGACATATTTCAGCCGGGACTTCTGATAATCTATTCCGAGACAGATCTAGAATATTTTGAAGAAAGAAAGAAATTAAAAAAAAATTAGAAATAAAATCACAATCTTAAGAGTCCATCCCTGTTTTTTTCATTTACAATACAGATTTCAACTTAACACAGGTTAAAATTAGCTTCTTTAAATTTTTTTACAATAAGAAAATATTTTTGTGATTTTCAAAAAACATGTATTCGCATATTACAATTACATATTGTTATGTGGTATGTTAACTGTTTAGTTCATTTCCTGACTTACCCAGGTCCATTTTTAGCCATCTTTGGTCAGAAGCAACAATAATCTGCAAATACCATGCACAATTTGAATGTCATGAGAACATCAAGATTTATTATTTGCTCATTAGCTCAGTGGTTCACAATCCAAACCAGTTCGGGATTTAGTTATTAACCAGTTGGGTATAAGGTGTGTTTTTTTGGTGTTTCCCCTCCCCCGCCCCTAAAAACACCTTAGACACAACTAAATCCTGGACTGGTAGGGGTGCATTGAGAACTGGTTTGGGAATGGCTGCATTAGCTCTTGATTACCTGTATAGGTCTGTGCTTCCAACTAAAAAGCATTTAAAGATGGCCTCCACCACAGATTAAGGGAAAGCCAGGGACCCAATGATAAGAGGTATTTACTTACATGTAAGCAATACAAAATAAATAGAAATGCTATAATATATGCACTCTCTTATTTAGTTAAAAAAAATAAAAATAAAAAAATAAAAAAAAACAGATTTCCTCTAACTTAATAGGGGAGATTAGTAAGTATTGAATAAAAGTGGAACAAAGTTGAAAATGTGGGACAATAAATATGGAAACCATAGGAATGCACAGAAAGTATGTTTGTCAGATGATTCTGAAAATACAGTAATATGGTAATTTTACTTAGGTCTTTCCATGAATGAGAATGCTGCCGAATGCTAAACTGCAATTTATACCTACACACATTCAAATAGTCATTCATACTACATTCATTCGCGGTGGAGGGGGGATTGTATATAGTGTCTTCTTAAACTGCCTTATCATCTTTATTGTTCCTCAATGGTTGACCTGTTAAAATTGTCTAGCTCTTGCACAGGCAAAGGTCTGCCATTTAGCTCATATTTTTATATGTAAATTCAATTAATTGTTTATTTAAAAATAAAAATAAAAAATCAGTTCTCCATTGAACACTGGTAATTTATTTGGTTTATATTTTATGCCAATTTTGATGGTTTTGCTTTTGCCATTATCTCGCATGCATATTTTTACTGCTAGCATAATGTGGGTGATTAAAAAGGAAAGCGGTTAATATAAAAGGAGGTAGTAGACAGAGTACACCAGCGACAGACCCCCTTATCGCCTGCGTGCAATCCATCATACACTATTAAGTACAAAAGGGACATTTTTTTACAGTATTCTCATGTGATGCACTGTTGTGCGAAACATGTTCAATGCTATTGTCTTTTGCCTTCTGTACTCACTGAACAATCTAAATGAAAGAGGAAGAGCTGTGGAGTCAAAGGGAACTCTTTCCTTGTAATCTCTGTAAGGTGGTCATTTAAGTTCCTTTTTAAAGTATCTAACCCTGAAAACTCTCACCAAATGTGGAAATGAGATCCTTCAGTGCTGTTACATCTCCAACATTGGTCGGTATATTCACTATATATTTTATTTAGTTTTGTTGGAACCATATACCACCTTTATTGAATTTTATAGAAGAGCTTAACCAAACGAACACAGTGGTACTCTGTTTAAGCCTTTTTATGCTCTGTTTCCAAGTTGAAGTTTCAAATTATTTTTTTTAAAGTAGAGTTCCCATTTTATTATTGAGGGCTCTTTGGCAAAGATTTCAGAAACAGATCAAAATTTGAGTGATCGAGATATTCTTTTTGAAGGGTTGTGATTTCCTAGAAATTCGGTAATATCATTATGTTCTATTATCTGTTTTGTAGCTAGATAATTCTTAACTCTGAAATACGTAAATACTTAGCTTGAAGCAAGAGAATATTTAGATTGCAGTTGTTGAAATGGCGTTGATTTACCATTAAAATAAATATTCAATACCTGGTTAATCCCGCATCTCCTCCAGTTTCTCAGATCCATATCGCTCACATTAATTTCTAATAGTTCTATAGGAGCAGATAATGCTATACCATTTAATTTGGTATATTTTTAACCGTTTAACCACCTTAGTAAATAACCCTGATATTCTCTGGCTATACATATACAGTAGGGATGGTTCTTTGCAGAAGAATCAAATTATGTGAATTTCCAGCAAACTATAAAACACTGGATTTATTTTTTATTTTTTTTCATACATTACCTATATAATAAGTTTTTGCTTTTGGTTTTAAATGAGAATCTCTGGTAATGGTAAGTTACTTTCTCACACAGTTTTCTGAATGGGAATCTAGTAATATGCTGAAAACAACAGCTGACACACTCAGCTACCAATGGGGCACAGTTCCAGGCTTCCTCATCAAAACCTCAAACAACATCATCAGAAAATAAGACGAAGACCTTACGTGCACTGTCTTCACAATTTTGGTGTTAAAACGATATAGCCCCTAGGGGTAAGATGCAGCCAAGGACCTCCAGGAATCATAACAATTTCATCGAGTTTATGTTGTTATGGTGTCTGCAGTGTTCCTTTAACCCCTTCAGAATGGAGTCAATAGTGCACGTTCTGATCAGATCAAAACAAACAAAAACTGGAATTTGCGCTACATGTCTGTTCAACCGCAATTCACCGCTGTCACATTAAGTGCACCCACACTTATATATTATTTTGTTCAGGAGAAACGGGGCTTTAATTTATCATTAACTATTCATATATGGAACATAATTTATTATGAATAAAATTTAAAAAAAATGTGAGAAAATAAGATTTTTTGTTTTCATTTGTATTTCCGTCTGACATTTTAGCTGTGAATGTCATAATACGGTTAGGTTTTACTGCAAAAAAATGCACATATGTGTAATCAGTGAGGTCTCACGAGTACAACAGTACCCCCCATTAACAGGTTTTATGGTGTTTTGGAAAGTTACAGGGTCAAATATAGAACGTTCCATTTTCACATTGAAATTTGCCAGATTAGTAATGTTACCTTTGAGACAGTGTGGTAGCTCAGGAATGAGAATTACCCCCATAATGGCATACCATTTGAAAACGTAGACAACCCAAGGTATTGAAAGTGGGGTATGTTTAGTCTTTTTTAGTAGCCACTTAGTCACAAACACTGGCCAAAGTAAGCGTTCATATTTGTTTTTGTGTGAAAAAAGCAAAAAATGAATATTTGGCCAGTGTATCATGGGGGTAATTTTCATTTCTGGGCTACCATATGCTCTCAAAGGCAACATAACCAATCTTGCAAATTTCAATGTCAAAAAAATGAAATGCAAGCCTTATATGTGACTAACTTTCCAAAACACCATAAAACCTGTACATGGGGGGTACTGTTATTCTCGGGAGACTTCACTCAACACAAATATTAGTGTTTTAAAACAGTAAAACATATTACAACAATAATATAGTCCATAAAAGTTCAGTTTGTTTGTAAAAAATGCAAAAAACGTCACTTTTACTTAAAATATCATCGTTGTAATACAATTTACCAGTTTGAAACACTAATATTTGAGTTCAGCAAAGTCTCCCGAGTAAAACAGTACCCCCTATGTACAGAATTTATGGTGTCTTGGAGAGCTACAGGGTCAAATACAGTGCTTGCGAATTAAATTCTCTGCACTTTCTCCCTGTGTTGTCAGGCATGTCAATCAAATTTTAATTAATCAAATCACAGTATGTTAAAAGATTACTTAAATATACATGTAGATTTTTAAAATATATGCATTTATAGATATTGAAATTCTACATGTATACTAATGTAATCTTTTATGTAATTATATGTATTTATCTATATATATATTTGCGGTTATTTGTATTTTATATATAGATAGAGATATATAGAATGTCATTCTAAGTGTATTTTGTTACCAATAAAAATATAAATATATATATATATATATATATATTAATAACAAAATACAGTTAGAATGAAATTACATATGAATATATAATTTATATAAAATTTTGTTTCAATATTTTAATTATTTTATTTATCGTTGTAATTATACGTATATATATAATATATATGTGTGTATATATCTATTATATAATATATACATATTATATATATGTAACGTCATTCTAAGTGTATTTTAATACTAATATATATACTTATAATATTAAAATACACACACATATATATATATATATATATATATATATATATATACACACATACACACACACACACACACACACATATACATATATTATATATATATATATAAATAAATATCTATTTTAATTTTACACGTTTAATTCTTTTTTTGTTTTACTTTCCCACCAGCAGGGGGACTGCCTGACATTTCAGACAGTCCCCCTGCTGGCAGATCCACAGCCAGCTATAGGGGGCCATGTGATCGCTCTTTGAGGGGGCCTCATTTGCCAGGCAGCCCTCCAGAAGAGGATCGCGGCGGGGGGGGAAGTAAATCTCACCTCCAGGGATAGAAAGCCGTTACGACGTTCTATGCCGCCGCAGCGGTTTAAAAGCCCTTTTAATGCGGGGCGGCATAGAATGCCGTTAAGGGGTGCCAAACATCATTAAGAATTAGAGAATACAAATGTACGCTGCCACAGATTCCTAAAAAAATTTTTTTATGTTTTAATTTTTTTTACATTAAATAGCTTGGCACAGCCCTGCTGCTAGCACTAATTCTACAAGACATTTAACATGAGAAGAGGGACTTTATAGTACAAATTTGATTGCCTGCATTGCTGTTTTTAAATCTGCCTCGGTTTTGTTTCCTAAAAAGATACAGCACTTTCAAAAGAATCTATGGTGGAAATGATGTAACACAGAAAAATTATATACGGTTACAATATATACAACCTAGAAGGTTTCTCCTTAAAAGGATTTTTCCTCAATTTGTCTGATAATCTTATTGACTACTAAATCGAACCATGAGTTGGTAACTTTTCTAAGAGTATCAATTTGCACATAATTTTCATGTATTGGATTTAATTTTGAAATGATAACATACCACTTAACAATGTAAATCATCTTCCAACATTCAGGCTACCCTTTTCAAAATGTTTAGCCCCACAGTATCCATAAAAATTCAATTTCTACAACCAATGCATATAATCAAAAGGCAAGAAAAACGATCAGTGTCACCCTCGAGTGGAAAGCCTAAGACGACGCAGATAAATATGAAACAAAAATCATATTTATCTGCTTTTTTCAGCCTGCAGAGTGAGGTAATTGCCTCATTCAAAGCTAAGGTTTTCAAATGAAACAGTTGTCCCACAGTGATGCATGTCCCTTTAAATCAATCTAAACACTATAACTTGTGGTACCCACATCAGTCCATCCTTGCAATTGTGCTGTCTTGGCGTTATATTTGATTCTGGCCTCACATTTGAGCCTCACATCCAGTGTGTTACCAAATCCTGTAGATTCTACCTTAAAAACATAGCCCGCCACCGACTGGGTGCGGGTATCACAACCAGAAACGGGTCAAGACAGCTAAGGTGAGACACCACCAGGGCGGATCGTGGTGGGACACCTTCCCCCCCTCCCCGACTGGATGCGGGTATCACAACCAGAGACGGGTCAGGACAGCTAAGGTGAGGCACCACCAGGGTGGGTAAGAGTCTAGACAGTGGGGCAGGAAGGCCACCCCGGACTGTAGCCTGTGTCAGGGTCCCCAATGTAAATATAGACTTACCTCCCGCACCCAGAGACGATAGACTGTAGCACACAATGCCACCTCTAGGCGACCATAGCTGCATGTATACTATCCCCCCCCCCGGCGGGACACTAGGGCTGACAACTATGACCTAGATAAGCGGTACACAATCTCAATTTTGGTTCAAAGTGTTTAACATGCATGTGTTTACTGGTACACAACTAAGAGGAAAGCGGAGTGTAAAAACACACAAAAAAAAATAAAAACCAAATCTACATTTAACAGATGACAAGAGGGGCACACTAGCTCACAACTCTCTTTACTATAGCTCAGGTTTAGTACACATAAGTGCTGACATACGGTGAAGTCACACCCGGATCTATACACCTACCTATCGTCTGCCCACTGGTGGGGAGGACGATACCGGGAGTTACACCCCATATACCTCTGGCGATTCGTAAGACCAGATATCACCCACCTTTTAACATGTTATTTCAGTTCTCTACCCTTTCTTTCTTTTCTCTACCTTTCTCTTTCCTGTCAGGCCTGGGGGGCAATGGAGCCAAGGGCACACCAATTGTAAAGAGGGCACGACTGAGGGGACGGATTATGCTAATGACGAAGCGAACTTCTGAAATGAGACCATGGCATTGAAGGTTGTTTCCATTAATACTAAGGGTCTGAACGCTCCCAAGAAGAGGCGCCTAGTGTTTAAGGAAATGAAGAGGATGGGAGCAGACATCGCCTTCCTGCAAGAGACACACATATCGAAAAACACAACGTTCAAAGTAAGTGATCGCATATTCCCCGCATCATACGAAGCCAGATCACACGGGAAAAGGAATGGGGTGGCCATACTTATCCGCAACACATGCCCTGTCCAAATTTCCGCAACAGACGCAGACCCCGAGGCGAGGTACCTCATCCTGACTGGGACCATACACTCCCACACCGTACACATGCTCAACTTATACGCTCCTAACGCCCCAGATAGTAGGTACTGGCAAACCCTGAATGCTAAGATAGCGGCACTACCACATGGCATACTCCTGGTAGGGGGCGATTTTAACGCAGTGCCGAGTCCGGCCGCAGACAGAAGCTCCAAACCGTGATACGTGAGGTCCCAAGGTAGGGGCGGGCAAGACAGGGCACTTCATGACTTCATCCAAGCTACTGGCCTAGTGGACGTTTGGCATGCACACCACCCGGACGCGGTCGAGTACACGTTCTACTCCGCCCCCCATGGGACTTATTCTAGGATAGACTACTTCCTAGTAAACGACGCGGGGCTGGCCAGGGTGGTGGACTCATCAGTAGGGTCTATCACATGGTCGGACCACGCAGACGTCTCGATAACCCTGGGAAATCTATGCACCGCCTCGCCGTGGAACTGGAAGCTGAACCCTACTTTGCTGCGCGACCAATCCACTCAAGCTGAAATTAGGAAAGAAATCTGAAACTACTTTCTCGAAAATGAGACGGAGGACGTGTCGCCGGGGATCATATGGGCTGCACATAAAGCGGTCATACGCGGCGTGTGTATCCGGTTGGCCACCAAGAAAAAGAAACAGAAAACAAAGCGACTCCGGCAACTGTTAGAAACGCTGCGCAAAACGGAACTGAAACACAAGACAGCGCCCTCACCCCAACTCCTTGACCAGCTGCGAGACGTTCGGAGATCCATTACTGAATTCCTATTAGACGACGCAGCTAGGGACATTACCTGGTCTAGGAGGTCCTACTACGAAAAAGCAAACAAAACGGACACCCTACTAGCTAGAGTACTGCATCCGAGACAAAGACGTACACACATTGGAGCCCTCAAGCACAGAGACGGAACTATAAAACACACCCCAGCTGACATTGCCCATATATTCACAGAATATTATAGGTCATTATACAACCACACTCCTAAAGACCCGGAACGCCTAGCGACAACAGAGACCGCAATGCGCACCTTCCTCCAAGACCTGGACCTGCCAAAGCTAACCACAGAACATGCACAGCTCCTAAATGAAAGCATCACCAGCGAAGAGGTGGACAAGGCCATAGCGGGACTCCGGAGCCATAAGGCCCCGGGCCCCGGGCCCCGACGGATTCGATGGGGGGTATTATAAAATGTACCGAGAAGAGCTTTCACCCAAACAATCCCAGCTCTTTAATGATTTCCTGGAAGGCGGAAACCCCGTAAAGGAAATGTCGCTAGCAAACATTATCCTTCTCCCAAAACCAGGCAGGGACCCCCTACAACCAACGAACTACAGACCCATCTCCCTTATCAACCAAGACATCAAAATATTAGCAAAGATACTAGCAGCTCGCCTTAACCCCATGCTGAAGTCATTAATACACCCGGACCAGGTGGGATTCATTCCAGACCGCCAATTATTTGAAAACACCATAAGAAATATTGACCTAATATGGCGACAACGGGTAACCAACTCACCCACCCTGGTAGTCTCACTTGACGCTGAAAAGGCGTTTGACAGAGTTGAATGGCCCTACCCTTTTAACCTTCTGAAGTTTCTGAACTTCCCGGATAAATTTGTGACCGCACTCCAAGCAATGTACAGCAACGCAACGGCACAGGTGACAATAGCAGGTACATGGCCCCAACCATTTAGTCTGGGTAATGGTACGAGACAGGGATGCCCCCTCTCTCCACTTTTATTCGCATTAACGCTGGAGCCCCTACTACAGGCCATCAGGCAAAACCCCCGCATAAAAGGGGCAAAAGTCAGGGGGCAGGAGTTCCTTGTCTCCGCTTACGCGGATGACGTACTCCTGACGCTTACGGAGCCAGGGAACTCGATGGCGGCCCTCACAGAAACTCTAACAAAATACGGAACCTTCTCAGGATACAAGGCCAACTTGGATAAATCAAGTGCCCTCCCGATAGGAATGACTGCGGGGGATGTGGCGGCGATACGGGCGACCCACAACATACCAATAGCACAGGGTCATATTAAATACCTAGGGATTCAATTACCGGATGACCCAGTAAACCTATACCGACTGAACTACACCCCGTTACTAAAGGCACTCACCACTGACATGGACAAATGGCAAGATAAACCCATCTCATGGATAGGGCGTGTCCATGCGGTTAAAATGAACATATTACCCCGTATACTATTCCTATTTCAAGCACTGCCCATCAAACTCACTAAATCAGACCTAGCCCCGTTACAACAAGCGATAGGAAACTTTATCTGGCAAAATAAACGTCACAGAATTTCAAGAAACATTCTATACAGACAGAAACAAGGGGGTGGGCTAGGCCTACCACACCTGTACTCCTACTACTTGGCGGCCCAACTCGCACAAGTGGCAATGTGGCACACCCCTCCAGAGGAAAGGAGATGGGCGGATTTGGAGTCATTAATGACGGAAGCAGATCTGCCCCAATTCCACATATGGACCCCGAGAGAGGATAGACCTATCCTGCGCACGACCTGCCCGGCAATCCTGAATTCTATACGATTATGGGATGCCGTGGCTCGCAAATTTAGACTGATATCCACACCATCCCCACTAACCCCACTGCTACGGAAGAGGGCTTTCCCGCCAGGGCTGACAGCGAGAGACTTTGCCAACCTAGAGAAATCAGGGCTACAAAGGATATGCCATATGTTTCCGAACGACTCATTAGTTACCTTTGAACACCTAAAACAGACGACACACCTCACCCCCGCTGACTTCTTCCGTTACCTGCAACTTAAAGACTACGTGAAATGCCCACTCATACAAAACGCGGCCACAGGGCGTATGTCCTTTTTCGAAAAGATGTGCCTAAATGAATCACCACTGCCAGGCCTCATCTCGAAAATATACGCACACATATGCTCAGAATCAGTGGAATGGGGCTCGCTCACATACACCAGCACATGGGAACAGGAACTAGGGGAGGAACTAGAGGGGGTGGAATGGAGAGAGATTTGGGAAGCGAACAATGCTGTATCCATATGTGTGTCTCTCCAGGAACAGGCCTATAAAACGATGTTTAGGTGGTACACTACACCTGTGAAATTACGACAAATGGGGAAGACACCTACAGACGACTGTTGGAGAGGCTGCGGCCTCAAAGGCACTTACCTCCACATGTGGTGGGAGTGCCCGCGAGTAAAAGCCTTCTGGTCACAGATACATCGACTAATGACACGTATATTCCATAGAGCCCCAGATTTAAACCCATGGACGTACCTACTTAACAGGTCCTTAGAGAACTGGACAAAGAGGGAACAAAAGCTAATACACAAAGTGACACTAGCAGCCAGGAGAGCACTAGCCCAAACGTGGCTGAAAGTAGAAGTACCCCCTATGAAGGCAGTCATAGCAAACATAAAAGACGTATACCTTATGGACAGTCTGACAGCCAGAGTACGAGGGTCCATGACTCTATTTGATAAATTATGGGAACCCTGGACAGCTAGCGACTTAGCATGAGCGGACATAAGTACCAAGTGAGAAATTCCCCCCACCCCCCCCTGGAATTGCCCCCTATCAAGGCCTCTCTCACGAGGGGCCGCTTAACACCAAACGGATGGTCACCGCCGCCCCCATGACCTGATGGGGAAACTCTCTATACTCTCTTCTTTCTATCTCCACCTCTTTCTTCCACCCTACCATTAACGGAGATTTAGTATGCTACAGGAGCCACCATAAGCAAAGTTAAGGTAGAAGGTTACACAAGTTTTCCAGAAGTTTTACAGACTTTTTAGTTTTTGTTATTCTTAAACAAACATACAAAGGTTGGTAACTTGACAACTATGGATACCTTATGGCCAACGACAACACTGGTAAGGTAAACAATAGCCCAGGAGCGAGGTGCTGGTATGGCTTTCATGCAGTACTGCGCACCAGGTATTGTGAGCATGTCAAGTGCTTCAGTTATAAAACGAGTTTTCTTATATAACCAAAATCCCTTGACAGGTGGCCAAATGAACCTAATGCCACGAAGCTTGTTGGTTCTGCTTAGCAATATTAATTGTATGTATATGCATAATTATGTACACTTATAATGTGGATCAACAGGCTTCTGCGTAAGCCGAACCGTTTATATGGCTCACGCCAACTCTGTCAAGATGGAAAAATAAAGTATTT